TCTCCACTGCCCCCAGACAAAATTGTATGCTTTTAGTAGGCTACAGTTGTAATGGAACGTTTGTTCACGGCACTGTTATCACAGTGTAGAATTCTGTGGTTTAGGGTGAACGCAAAATTTGATGAACGCGCACCGGGTGAGAATAGCCACAAGACTCGCCTGCACTATTCTCACTCCGGGTGAGAATAGAGGTGGCCTTCTATCCTGAAACTGAAACTGAAACAATCCATCTCAATGAAGAGTCTTTTTATAAATATATTAGATCTAGATCTAGATCTATATTATATATTCTCTTATATGAACATCTCATCTGAATTTGAGCTTCATTATTACTCCTAGCACAAAACATGAAATACAAAAATAACAGTAAAGTTTAATAACTAACAATGAACAATGACAATTTTTATTATTAAGCCTAAAATTATAGGCCTAAGTCTTTTAAATTAACAGTTTTCGCACACTTTTCTTTTTCCACATAGTATTAGTCCTGTTCTATCAAATATTTACAAAAAGTGGCTCTGTCCAAGTTAACCCTATTCGTATGTCGTGTTTTACTTAGATCGTATCAATACGACGTGGGGAACTCTGTGCCACCACTTTCCTAACAGGAAATTTACTCGTTAATCCGATCCGTACACTTTGCATAGCAGTCTGTCAAAAATGATTTTTTGAGAAATACTGAACATTTCAAAGAGATTTCGTATTCTAAAATGTGAAGAATAGGGGTGGATAGGGTTAATTGGTGCCTATTAAAACTTGGCCCAAACCAACCACCATCACCAAACACACACAATTTTTAAGAACACGCAAAGTATTGCTTTGCAAGCAATTATTAATCTAGCGTTATTAATTTGAACATAAACATAATGCTGTGGCTACATTCATGGCACCCTGAACATAGTTTGCAGTGTAAGAATGATCTTGCTCGCTTCACCCTTTTCCCTTTTGCTTTTCCCTTTTTCACCACCTCCCACCCCTCTTCTCGCCTTGGCCTTCTTCCATTCTCCCTTGTTTCTTTGAAAGACTTTTGTTTTCAAATTGTCGAGTGTTGCTGGGTCCGCACACGGGAAGAAGATCAAAGTCGTTTTCCGCGCGATGAGCAAGCGAGGGTGTTTTACTGTTCTCGCCTTCACCCTCCGTAACTCCGTTGCGTTCGGACAACTGCTGCATTATTTTTCACGCGAGTATTTCTGTGCTGTTTCGGTCGTGACTCTGTGCCAATGGTGGATGACTCAGGGTGCCGTAAACGTAGCCTGCAAACAACATTCACGGCGCCATGAACGTTGTCACTGCGCAAACATAAAGTACAGTCGAACCTGCCTTAACAGAAACCTGTCTTAATCTCCCCACTCCCCCTTTGATATATTCCTCTTTAATTACCCATTCTAAAACTAACGCGGAAATGGGAAGAAAAATTCGCTTCCTTCTGAGGGTGTTACCTGTTGAAGACGGAAAAATGCTTTGCCAGCTCAGTCCTGATTTGAAACAAAACAAGTTTGGTTCCGCCGGCTTTAAATTTAATTCTATGCCGCTGGGCGAGGAAGGGGGTCAAGGGTGCAGTTGGGGGGTTGTTATCCCATCTCTATGTAAAATGTAAGCCCTGAACGATAAAGATGGTCAGGATTTAGGGTGGTGTGGGTGTGAAATCTCACGAGTGCCAATGAAAGTGCTCGAGTATCGAGCCACTACGGAACTTTCCTGGGTAGCCAGAAGCCAAAGGTTTGAAATTAGTTTGACCAATGCCTGCCGCATTGATAGAACAGCCAGCCAAGAAAAGAGGTCCTCAAATCATTGTTACATTGCAGTGAGGGGTGGCATTTGTTGACTGTGCTTGTTACACCGATGGGTGGGGCTAAAGGTAGAAACGAATGAGATGTTCAAACGTTTCTGTTTTTAATAGGTCAAACAGTGGTCCTATGAAATTCAAGCACTGGCAGTAATAAGTAAGACTGACCCATGTCATTATTAGAGAGGATAGTAGTTGAGAGGTGTGAAGTTTTGACCACTGCTTGCCGACAGGACAAGCAACCCTTGTTCCCACCGGCTGGGCCTTTGAAACCCCCCTCCATCACCCCCCTAAATTTACCTGTCCAAGACGGAATTTTTTTCTGGCTCCCTTGCAATTCTGTCTTTCACAGGCTCGACTGTATCTCTAAAACTATTTTGCGATGGATAAAAAGTTTAAATCAGAGGCTCTCGTGGTTTAGAGGCACTGTGTTTGCCTCTCTTTCAATATATTCAAAACCGGACAGCGACAGGACAATGTTCTCTCAAATATTCTCCTTCCACCTCTTTTATCAATTTTACTGTTGTCTAGACACGTTCTGTCATCTGCTTTCATCTCCCCCTGTGATATACTAAAACTACAGAGGCTAAAAAATTTGTTCAAAGTTTAGGTTACTTTTGTGTGTAATTGTCTACCAGGTTAAAAAAAAAGAAAAGTAAAGCTAAACTGATTTCCAAAGTGAAATTTTGGTACAATGTTGCATGATGAATCTATTATAATCATAGCTCGTTTTGCATAACGGAGCAGTGCCCCCCTCCCCCCAAGGATTAACTTTTTCTTACTCATGGATGCTCCCAAGTGACAACCCTTCTAAATGCTGTGTCACCAATGTTTATATTTGCATCATTTCTGTGCCAGAGCTCGCTAACCACTCAGCTACTGGAGCTCTCTCCGACTTGAGTGAAACATTATTTCTATTGGTGGGAATATCTCCAACAACAATTGAAATCTGAAGAGGTAAAGTGCTTCGCTATTTTTTGCTTTAAAAGCTCTCTTTTATTTTCATTTTTAAAATTTTTAATGATTTTTTGCTTGACTCTTTTTAGGGATGATGATGATCCAGACGTCCAGATAACTCGAGTGGAAAAGAAAAGAAGAGTAGACCCATCTCAGTCTTGTATGTAGTTTACTTGAATATTTTCTCTTTGTTTTAGACGTTCTCTTTAATAATCCATTTTTATGGTCAAATTTGCCATGTTTATATAATGGAAGTTTTATTTTGGGTGGGAGAAATAGCTGTATGTAAAAAAAATGGTACATCAAAGCACCACATGAATGATTTGTGTAAAATATAGTTGGAGAAATAAGAATACATTGTTTGCACAATACATTGCGAGAAAGCAAATCTTGAATTCCTTTCTAACGATAGTTCGCCAATTTTTAAAATTTTTCCCTAAGATTTTGAATGACTTGGAATGTGTTGATCTATTGAAGAAGGGGTTTTCTGTGGAACAAATATTTATTGTTGATGTCCTTGATTCGGATATTTTTGGCTTGGTTGTGTTAATCATAGAAATCATGGCTTTTCATTTTAAATTTTTTGTGCTTGAAATGGCACAGTTGACCAATTGTTTTAGTCTATATAGAAATTGAAAATACTTTGTGAATAATTGTGCTCTATTGTAATTCTGAATCATGTTTAATTTTTTTGTTTTGGTTGTTTTGTTGGGTTCATTGCTCATTTTCACAAACAGCATTCTGACATTTTATAAGTTAAAAATTCAGGAATGCTGTGTGCTCCATTCAATGCGCAATTTTGCAGTAGCTCAACTACGGCGCTCATAACTGCACACGGTCATGTGAGCGCCCTGGACACATTAAGCATTTTAAATTTAGTAGGAATTAATTTTTAATTTTTCTCAGGTCGGCCGAAGCCTGTTCCTATCAATTTTAGGACCATGGAGGGATCTTTGCCGCTCGCAACTTGCACGTGGGACGTCAGAGATTTTTCACCCTAATCTGAGAAGGCTAAATGTTTGTTCTTACCTATCTTAAGAACAGGAGTATGGCTGAAAGATGGCAATAGAAGGGAGCCAGGACAAGCGGTAGAATGAGTCAGGAGCCGGGGGGGGGGGACATGATTAGAAAGCAGTGCAGGAAAGGGGGTTAAAGTGGAAATTTTATAGAGGAACATTTTTCATCCCTATAATAGGAGAAAAAATTTTTAAACTGCTGTGTACTCTTTTTCCCAGGATTTGAATTCATGATTTTTGCCTCTGCCTAGCACGTCCATTTGGAAACGGTATCTCCTCTTATCATACCATCAACGGCAGATCCTCTCCGTACTGCACAGGGATTTCTTTCCAACTACATTTGTCCTTTTTCTCAGTGGTCTAAGGAGGCATCCCTTGCTAGGTTATAAATGACATGACACCGCCCAATTTTAAGGAATTCATCTTTTGTCGCTGGGAATGGGCTTGCGCAGAGAGATTCACACTATGCTATTTTTTTGTTGTCATTTTGTATTAAAAGTACGTAACACTTGGACAAGCATGTGAACACCACCACAGGGAGAGATTGCTGTTGGATGGGTTTTTTTCCGTCTCTAGCAGTTCTCTATGGAGCTTGATTATACAATTATTTAATGTTTTTCTACGTTTCCCTTTATACGTTTCCCTTTATTTCACAGAGATTTTACTTTTGAAACATTTTGCTCTTTTTTTAAAACAGTTGTCAGCTTCATTAGATTGTCAGCTACAAGAATGGCAAATTGGGTGCGGTCAAAGTCCAGACCTGAAGAGAAGACTGTTTCCGGCCACAATGACTCCAGGGAGCCATGGGTCACTGTATCATCTTACAGGAACGGAAATACCTCAAGGCTGTCTCACATTAATGGAGATGACAGACCATCACATGTAAGTGTGCCAGCTACGTATTTCATTGTCATTTTATCTTGATCAGTGTCAGTTTATGGTTATCATCTGTGGCTGAAAAGAATAAGAAGTTTGACTATGAGAATTAATATTGATAACAAGAGCATTGTTTCTTTTGTCCGTACTAGCCCCACATGTTTTATTCAACCGTTTCCTTTAGCTTTTGTGGGTGGTTGGTGGGTGCTGTGGTGTGGTGTGGTTTGCACCTTGTTTCCTGTTGAACGTCTATCATCCTGTTCCTCCACCTCATTTTCTTGGTCTCTTGAAGCACCTCTTATCTACAGCTCTTAGATATGACCTTTTTGTGTCGCAATGCCCTTGTTAAAAATTAAAACTAAACAATTACCTGCCGGGGCAGTGCTATTGACGGAAGTGACTTTAGGCCCTTCCCGGGGGGGGGATCATTAATGTGTTCTTATCAGTGCTTCCACTCTTCCGTATTTTTACAGAAATCCGTACTTTCTGCCAGTTCTGTACTTGTTCCTCCGTCATTATCAAATCCCTCCGTAAAAATCTGCGACAGCGTAGGACTACCGAAATTCCTACTTTACTATCATCCATCGTCCTTATCTCTCCTTCTTTTTTGTGTATGGTACTCTCCTGTACCACTTCTTTTCTTAGGCACTTATATGACCTTATTGTGTTGCAATTGCCGTAAAACACTCACTAAAACTAAACTAAATGGGCTGATTCATCAATGTCATGCTCATTACTGAACCTGAACTTGCAACAGGGAACTGCCGCTTTTTCTTTCCTAATCCTTACTATCGTCATTTTCCTCTACTTCTTTCGAATGTTTGTCGCACTCTTGTGATCCGCTATATCCGAGGTTCCTTGATAGTTGAAGCAGACTTTGTGCCCTTGAAACTAGAGAGGTGAGCAGAGTAAGCCTGATTCCCTGTAAGGACTTTTCTGTTGACATCCACCCCTTGGCACTCATATGACCTTATGCAGTTGAGAGCGCCATAAAACCTTTACTAAAACCCCCAAAAAACTTAACATTGAGCTTATAATTTCGTGCATTGAGAATCAGATCTGAATAACTTCTGAGCAAGTAGTTTTTAACTGTTGTTATATCTTAAACCTTTCAGAGCTCCCTCGCAGGCGGTTTACAGGTGCTTTGGTGTGGTTTGCTCCTTTCGTTTCAAACATCTATCTTTTCTACCTCTCCTTTTTTGTGTTTGTTACTCTCTTGTAACACCTCTCATCTCCCACTCTTATATGACATAATTGTGTTGTAAGTGCTGTAAAACGTTTACTTTAACTAAGAGCTCCCTTATCCCTAGATAAGATACTTTAACTTTATTTTCTTCAATTCGTCTGGCTTCAAATGAGCATTTTTGCTACTGGCAGAGAGGGAAATATTGGAGACTGAGGTGGTAAACTAGATTGAACGAGTAAAAGAAAGGAGTTATTGTGAAGTTATACAGGCCTTTGTGAGAAGGGATAGACCAAGAGACATGAATCAAAACCCCAAATGTACTAGTGCGTTTAAAATTGTGTTTGTGTTTTCCCCTTGGGTTTGTACGTGATCTTTTGAACTGTGTGAAAGCCCCTCGCTGTTGCCTTTTGCGACATAGGCATTTAGTTCAATGCCCTGTTCACTTATCTATAGACATTTTCTTTACTGCTGTGACTGCTAGCAGAAGATATCAGGATCAAATCATGAATCAAACATAAATTGACTAGAGTCTTGATCGAGATCAAGATCTAAACTTCAGCTGTCACTGTCAGTGGCAAACAAAAATTATGGAGAAATTGGAAGTTTTATTGCCGCAACTACTCTCCATTGAGTCTTGATCAAAGACTATGCTCCTGATTCATTTTTTAACACAGCTGAGTAAGCTAAAATCTCTGAGACCCCAAAATTGTGTTCCAGTATATTGTCAAACTCAAATCTAGATCTAGAATCTAGGCTAATGTGAACTTGATCAACTAGGACTAGATCTAGAGCAGATTCGGGTAACTTCGCCAGGAGTGAAAATTTGCCACCTGTCTCCCCCCCCACCCCCCCACGATATGGAATAGGAATAATCCGATATACCCACCAAGGAAGAGTTTAAGTCCCTATAGGAGGTGTAGGCTTGTTTCGTCGCGAGCCAACGGAGAGTAGCGAAGTTACCCGACTCTACTCTAGATTCTAAGCCTTCAAACATTAAGCGATGATCTGACTGATGTTTACAGGCTGGTTAGGCAAAAGATGATGCCAATGTTTTATATATAAATGGATCCTTAAAAACATAGTTCTGACTTTCTCTTAACTCGATGTACTTTTACAAAAATTTGATTTGTGAATGCTTTAGTTTTTTACTTGATAATTTCGTAGGGATTTTACAGGAACTGTTGTAAGTTCAAACGCGCGCTTATCATTGCATTTAACGTATTCGTGCGTTAAATTAATGTCTTGCACCTTTTTTTTTCTTTTTTTGTTGGGGTTTTATTGTATCTGTGAATGCTGAAACCCAGACATAGTTTTGAAAGTTGATTTTCTGGCCCAATTCAGGATTTTTATAATTGTTTCTTTTCTTTTTTTCCCTAATGTAGGCCTGTATGGTGGGAGAAAAATAAAAATAAATGCTGACTGAAATACCATAACGTAAAGAGAGACCCCCCATTCCTCTGGGTTCACAGTTGTTATTTTCTGTTGTCGTCAACACAGAATAGGTCAGTTTCGGGGTCGATATTTACAGTACCCTTCGAGAATGAATGGCCACCCCTGGAAATTCTTTGTTAACTTGGCAGTCACCCTGAGGTGATTTGTCATGATTTTGATTTTTTTTCCACCAAATCCTGATTTTTGTCTACTGAAATTTTGATTTTTAGATTTCATAGTTTGTATTGATTGTATCAGATGTCGAAACTGATTCAGGAAAATAGAAATAAATAGAAGTCATACCAGTAAATAAAAGGTTCAAGGGAAGGGAAATCGAGGGAGGGTTTTAGAGAGCTACATGACGTACGTGTTGGTAAATATAGTAGGTGTGTGAGTTTCTGTTTTTTCGTGTGTATGGGAGGGGGGGGGTGCAATAAGAGTTGCATCACAATTTTAATTTCATCATACACTGGAAATTGTCCAAGATGGCCACCCATTGTCGCAGAGAAAAGTGATTTGCCTTAGACAGGTGGATGTCTTGGGCAGTGCCATTATGGTAGTAAAAATGCTGTTATTTGTAATGCATTGTTGTTTCATAGCTTTGCTGAAAAACAAACTGTATGAAATGCTGTGGTCACATAAAAATGTTCTGTTTTGCAAGATGTGTTGCTCTTCTCAAACTTGAAAATAGATGTTCTGTAAATTTCTTTACCTAAAAATTAATAGTTCACTTTATCTGTATGCTTTTCTTTTTTTTTTCTTCTTTTTTTTTTAGAACCACAGAATGAATATACGGCATCATTTCTCACATGTTGGTATGTATACACATTGATCTTTTCCTGTACACCTAAATCTTTTGTGTTGATTTTAAATAGACCTGCTGTTACAATAAAAGCATGTGTGACATTTTCCAATTTACAAAATATGACCCCCTGCATTGCATATGTGCAATTTCAACTTCATAATTTTTTCCTTCAGTACTATCACAAATACACAATAAAAGCTGATACCGTTTGTGGGCTCTTTTTTTTTCCCACTTTCTTTCAACAAAATTTTGGAAAAGTTTGAATGTAGTGGGGGTGGTGGGGGGGTGACTGGTTCAGAATACAAGGTTCCATTGGTCTTTAGCTATGCTTTGTTTTCCCTGTATCTCAGTTCCTGGGAAGAACAGGGATGCCAGAGAATCAAGAGTTATGCCGTCACACAGAGTTCGCTGTTCAAGTTCCCGATCATCTAATACATCTTTGTTTGGACAGACAAAGCCATCCACAGCCAGTGCAGTAAGTTTCTCTGTTTTGCATATTTCTTTGAGAAGACAGCTTTCGACTTTTGTTTGGTAATATCTGCCTTTGTACAATAATGTTTCTTACTGATGATAAGACAAAAGTGTGTTTCTTTCAATGAAGAGCACTCTTCATGCAATAACCTCCTGTTTCGTAATTTTTTCTTCAGTGCATTCGCTTACAGGAAAAGGAGGAATATCAAAGACTAATTCAGCTTCAAACTCAGAGGCTCCGTGCCCCATGGCAGACAAGAGTGCCTAATCCTGTGACTACGAGGCCTATGTCTTCAGTACAACAGTCCGATGCGGATGCCGTTTCTATTTCATCAAGAAGCAGGTACTGTTCAGTCGTTTGTATGCAGTTATTTTTATTTTTCTGCAAGTTTAGTTTTAAATGAAGAATAGTTACTTTGCATTTACTGGTTGCGATTATCTGATGACAGTGGACTCTGTGTGTACTGTCATTGGCTGTTTTGCACCTAATCTAAAAGTTATGTACTTATTCTTGCTGGTGCTAGCTGACATTCTCTGCACATAGAAAAAAGGATAATTTGTAGTTGCACAGTTTTCCCTTCTCCACGAGGTACGAAGGGAGTCCAATTGGTGTGTGTGTGGGGGGGGGGGTTGGCTGACCAGTGTTTTGTCTAGGGGTGGTCTCGTATTGTTTGCCTCCTTTTTGCCATGGATGCCAGGATAAAGCACTGGAGGAATGAAAACGTATGAGTCATTTCCATTTCCTCCTTTCTTTGGTTTGCTTTGTTAGTCCTTTCATAAATCTCTGGGTTTTTTTGTCTCCTTCATAAACACGAGTTGGTCTTTCCAAAGGGAGCTTTAGGAAACAAAGCAAAGATAATATACCTTATTAAATGTCACATGTAAACAGAAATGTATGTTATCCATCAAAGTGCACTTCACTAGAGCGTTGGTGTGATATATTATTCCTGTTTTTGAAAAATATAAAAAGACAAGGGGAAAAAATACACTTTTTTTTTCAAGGATTTAGTTGATTGAACATAATCACGATTTAAACAAACTGATTTTTTAATCTCTCAACAGTTCTGGTGATACCAGCCTCTTTGGGACCTCCAACATTTTTAGCCAGGGAAAATCTTCAAATGGTTCACACAGCATTCCGTGTTACAAGACAGTAGCAAATAGACCATCTGTGAGCACTATGGGAAGGTATGTGTGAGGTAGATGTCTGAAATGTTCATGCAGCAATAACAAAATATTTGATTTTTAAAACTTATGGGGTTGTTTTTTATTTTAAGCTCTAGAAAACTGTCTTATGAAAAATCATGAATGAATGTAAGCAGTCTTCAAGTTTGTAATTTTGTGGAATATTAGTGGCCTGTCGTCTTATGGTTAGCTGACAGTCTAAGGCCCTTGCTACCATTTAAGATTTTTTTTTTTTTTTTACAAGAAGCCTACTGGTGTCGCAAGCAATCCACTTAAGTTCATTTGGGTACTTTTATCTGTTGGGACAAAAAGACTCGTTTTTGACATGTTCCTATCGAGAATCGTGAAAGACAAAAAAATTGTAAGCCTGGTACATAACAAAAAACTGCATTTTGATTATGTTGAAAGGTGCGTCTTTGATAGAGCTTTGGAAGGGTGTAAAAATTTAAAATTCTAAAAATTTTGAATGTGTTGCTTGCGACAGCAACTATACCTATTGCTTTTATGATACTATTTTTAGTTCTAATATACTTCTGCCTCAGAATCTAACTTAAAACGTGTTTACTTTCGTTTAGCACAGTGCTTGTCAATCTCTTTACAACCAAAGCCCACAAATACCACCTTTAAAAGACTAAAACTTTCTTACTGCACACGTAATGCATTTCCAAGCAGGATCATAAATAATACGTGACTACACACATAATAATCCCCACTGCTCACCAAAATTACCAAATCACCCACTTGTGGGCATTATTGATATTGCCTGGGTCGGCTAGCACTGGTTTAATAAATGTTTGGATATCCGTAATGAGATTTTAGGTTTGACAGATGTGTCAGAGGTGCACTTTGGCACTAGTATTCTCATCCCTCATCATGAAAGGGCCCTTGCTTGGAGACTAGTATACTTGTTCGTGGTTATCAATGTTTATAGAACTGGATTGCTGAGGAAATGATCAGATGAGTCTAACAATAGATATCACTTTTTCTATTTTGCTAGGTTTTCTCACCTGATAACAAATATTTTGTTATTTTGTCTCACTTGTTCAAATGGCTTTTGTGGAACTATTGAGTATTTGACAATAAAGCATTTAAAACATTGCAACTGACTATTTTCAGAAGTCACCTACCTTCAGAAAGATTAGGAAGAGAAAATTATGAAGTTAATCTGGGCTCTTTACTCGCTCGACAACGGCAAAGGGAGTCATTACGGACTGTAGAGAAGCCTGGCAGCTTGCCTCCTTCAACCAGCCGAACGAGTCAAGGTGAAACAGGTGGATTAAAACAAAACGAGAGGTCAAGGACTTCACCGACCATCGTGATCGACGATGATGATGAAGGCAGCAGCTCAGCAAGTGCCTTGACAGGTGAGGTGGAGCTTGTAAAAAATTTCTCTGTGAGTTACTGTTGAACTTCAAGTATTATCAGTGCTTCCACTCTTCTGTATTTTTACGGAAATCCGTACTCTGACAGTTCCATACTTGTTCCTATATCATTATCAACTCCCTCCGTAAAAATCTGCGACAGCGTAGGACAACCGAAATTCCATAGCAAAATATCCGTACTCGCCTTCGTATCGTCTTGTGTAGTATAAGTTACGGATATTTACGGTAATTCTCTCGGCAATAGTTTGTTATGGTATAGAAACTTGCCAGATTGCGCATTTCCTGCCATCGGCCATCCGCTATGCCCCGTGCATTCATTGCGGATTGGTCGGCAGTACATTTTTTACCTGCAGGTTGATCAAAATCTGGCGAACTTTTTGTGCTACTTTCCTCCTTTCTATCATCCCCTCATTCCGTCTGTCTATCTTCGGATTGTTGCCGCGGCTGGAAAATCTGCGCGTTGATCAAGTATATTGACTTGTGATCTTAGAAAATTACTGTCAGAAAGAAACATTTTTGCAAATTTATTGTCTAGACCTTGGTAAATTATCAGTGCGAAGATTCAACAGCACAGGAACGCGATAAGGGCCGCGATGAAAGAGATTTGTGCTAAAACTACTAAAACCAAGAAGAATTCGAAGTGGTGTTCCGAGGTTGTGACATGCAACATTCAGACGTGAAAATTGAGGAAAATTAGAGTATACGCTGGGTAACTGTGTTGTGAGGGTACATATATCTATTCATTATTCCCAGGTTTGCCTTCTATCAATGGTGCGATGACAAATTAATTGAATTATAGTAGCAATGGAAGGGGAACCTGCTTTTAAACATTGCCAGCAATTGAAAGATATGTGTGAAGAGTTCAAACAGGACTAAATCTTGGTGAAAAAATAGGTAGTATGGGTTGTAGGCAATCTCATCAAACAGGCTCCCAAATGCCATTTTCAACCCTCTAAAAGCACTAAATTTCAATTTCTTCGGGGGCCTCCCCTCTGAAACCCCACCGGGACTCTGTCCCTGGACCCTCTGCAGCCCCCAGACCCCCAGTAGAATTTTCCTTACTTTTCAGCTTCAGCACTGTATTAAAACAGGAGTTGGAATTGTGGTTAGCCTGTACTTTTTTATAGTGCCTGTAAGTTATCTCATTGTTGTGTGTGTTGTGGAGAAATTTTGATACATTAAAGCTGCAAACAGAAATGGGATATGCAAATCTTACCAGTTGACACTGTTGTTTTCTGTTTTGGAGTATTGCCTGTTTTACTGTCATTTAGGCCTCAAAAACCTCTTTCCTGTTCATGCTTGTGTTCAACTGTTGCTAAGTAGAGCTGAAGTTAAACATTTATTTGATGTACAGTACGATATGAATCTTTGGGCCCTAAAGCTTCAGCCAGTCGATTGAGTCAAGGTGAAATGGGTGGATTAAAACAAAGCGAGAAGTCAAGTACTTCACCCACCATCGTGATTGACGATGATGAGGAAGGCAGCAGCTCAGCAAGTGCCTTGACAGGTGAGGTGGGATGCAATTGTTGAACCTCAAGTATTATAGCAGTAGCTGGGATGGTGATTACCATGTACTTCCTTATAGGGTCTGTAACAGTGGTTACGTTGTAGTATGTATTGTGGAGAAATTTTGAGGCTCTGAAGCTGCAAAGAGATATGGGATGTTCAAATTTTACCTATTGACACTAGTTTTCTGTAAAGGAGTATTGTCTGTTTTGCTATCTTTTAGGCTTCATTTAAGCCTTTTCCTGTTCATACTTGTGTTCATCTGTTGCCAAGTGAGCTGAACTTGAATATTTATTTGATGTGCAGTACAATATGAATCTAATGGCTTTAAAGTTTTTGTTTATTCGACTCTTGAAAAGGTACATGATATGTCCAGATTTTGATCATTGCTACTTTTTCTGTTACAGACTCAAAGGTTACTGTGGATAACGCAAGTCAAAGGTGTGTATTTTAGAGCATTATTAAAACTGGAATGTCTAGTGTACTGCTCAATATTGTCTTTATAGAGTATTGTGTGTTGACATAACTTGCAATGTTGAGGGCACTATTACTTTGAGCCAATTCCATGCCGAACAGACGAATGTTTTGATCCCATTCATACTTGCCAAATTTGTTTCAGATGTTCTGCTTTATGTATTTCTAGTACCCAGATTTTTTCTTAGGCATAATAGTTCTTTAAAAATGGGTGCCACTAGTATGTGTGTAGTATACAGTAGTACTATTTGCTGTTTCTTGAAAGTAGCGTCTTTGTATCTTCTTTTTCAATACAGCATCCAAAAGTTAGATCTTTGATTATGGTGATGTGTTGTTTGCTTAATATTTGGGGAGATTCTTACAGCAATGTTGTGAGGCATTGTCTGGCTATTGCTGCACCAGCTTTGATAATACTGCACCAAAAGTATAAAGGGAGGAGGGTGGGCCAAGTCAGATTCCTTTATTTAGGTTTGATCTTTCAGAAACTTTCTGATGGACTGGTTTGGCTACAGGACTCTAAATCGTAAGGTTGCGGGTTTGGGGGGTTTGAGCCTGAGCTTGACCCAACATTGTGTCCTGTGGAAAGACACTTTACATTAATTTTTCCTCATACCACCTATGTGTGAATGAGTAACCGGCCATAGATGAGGAAAAATCTTCTCAGCATGTTAATGTTTTAGCGTCTGGAAAATGACAGAATGCACTGAATGCTGCACACTAACTTTGGATTATTTCAGGATGCTATCGTGTCTACTGGGGTAATAATATAGGTTGCAAAGCGCATAAAGCTTGCTGAAGAGTAGGAATTTGCATTATGCAAGTGCTGTTTATCATCATTCTAAATTCTTATCTTCTAGAAACTGTCCATGGTTAACATTCAATAATTTTTGTTCTAGTTTATTACAACATGATAAAAGAACACAGTGCAGAGAAAACGGTCAAAGTGCTCTTTTTGTGTTTATTTCAGGTCAAAGCCAGAGTTCCTAAATTCTGTTTACATCAAGGATAATTATTTAGACGATTTGTAAGTATATATTTTTTTCTTAAACACTTCTAAAATGTCTTTATGTGCCCAACATACACGCCTGTATGATTGATACTGATTCATTTCTGTTTTCTTTCTGGTGTAGAGACAAGTATTATATGAGACTTGGCATTCATTTTTCATATTTTAAACATTTCTTCATTATATGTAATTCCATCCATATTTACACTAATGGGTCAGCCAGCCTTCAAGGCAACAATTAATGCAGGCTTTGAAATAAGAACAGAACATCCGGACAAGACATGTGAAGAACTATCTGATGCCTGTGGTACTTCTTGTACAAATTATGAGGCTGAGGCCATCGCCATTGAAGCAGCAATCCTCCACCTGACCAACATTTTCATTATATATCCAGACAAAATCAAGGACACTGTAATCTTCACAGATGGAAAATCAGTACTCCAAGCTTTGGAAAACATGAATTTCAAAAGCCCAGCCTGCCTATCTGTGGCTCAAACAATTGACACCTTCATACAGACCTATGCCGTCAACCTGACTTTACAGTGGATACCTGGCCACAGCAACATCCCAGGAAACGACAGAGCAGACACCCTTGCCAAGAAGGTAGCATCACATACCCAAAGTCAAAACCCAGTATCTCAACAGACAGTCAAGAACATCATCAAATGCAACACCAGGGAACAGTGGCTGAATGAATGGGCCCTGGGCAAAACTGGGAGAGCTGTATTTGCACACATGACTGCTGCCAACTCAAAAGATGTTGTAAATTCCCTTAGTAGAAGAGAACATATCTTACACCTGCGAACACAACACATCCCTTTGATTTCCTACCTAAATAGGATCCGCAAGGATTCCCCCACCAGACTGCCTGCTGTGTGACTGCCAGGATGAAACATTATCACACCATCTCTTTTCCTGCTGTGCACTTAGCTACCTGCGTAGCACCTACCTACCTGCCTCCCCAGATATCAGAAATACTTTATACAGCAACAAAACACAGCCGATAAAAACCTGCAAATTCTTTGCCATATCGACAGGCCGAAGGGCTAGAACCCAAATGGCCGCTGGATCGGAAAAGTAAAGTAAAGATATGTAGTATTTCTCTCTCTCTCTCTCTCTCTCTCTCTCTCTCTCTCTCTCTCTCTCTCTCTCTCTCTCTCTCTCTCTCTCTCTCATTTTATTCTTTAAAAGGAGAGTTATGGAAAAAAATGTTTTAAAATTTATTTCAGCAAAAATTCAAGACTCATGGTTTTGGAACAAAGGCAACGACAGATTGAGGAAGCTGATCTCAAGGCAAAAGCGTACAATGAAAAGGTATGCAAATATCTGTATGGTCGAATATGGTGGTGCATGCAGCATTTTAACCCTAGAAGCGCTCAGCGTTTCACTGAAAGTAACCCGCCAAAAATGCCATGCTGCCACCGCCAATCGGTTGTAAACGTGGGGGAAATCAGTTGAGATACCTGAGATGTATACCTGCTACTGACAAATGACCATTTATGGCTCAACAGATGATAAAATGCATATAAAACCATATCTTTTTTTAAAGCTGATAGAATGAGTCATTCAAAAATGATAAGTGATCAAATAAATTCAAACAAATGGCAAAATGCGATAATCTCAACAATTAGTACATTTGCACAGCGGAACAAGTGATGACACATAGCGTGTAGTCACTCAGCTAGACAGCATCACTTTATCAATTGATATCATAGCCAAGAGACACTCATGGAGGTCAAGATAACTTGCAAAGTCCTTAATCACTATTTAAGACTTTGACCTGTAATTAACTACGTCATTTTCCATATAAGGAAAACTGAAATTTTCCATTGAAAAGGGTCAGCGTCTATGCCCTTTATATAGGGCTTGCGCGCTTCCCGGTCAAAGTAGGTCAGCCTTATATATAAGGAATGCGCGTTTCCCGGGTAGCCCGCCTCACGCCCTTTATTTTAGGCCTGCGCGCTTCCAGAGTTAAGGATGTATTTATTTCAAACATGATTGGAGTCTTGGTATGGTATAGAGATTTTCTTAACTTTGTTTCTTAATAGAAACACTAGTCCTTTCTATAAAAGTCAGTATATCCCAGTGCATGTTTTAAACATTTTGTTTCCTGGATGTAGTTTTTATCTTTCAGGTTTAAATTGTCTACATGATGATTGTAAGTTTAATTAAATGGTTTTGTTAAAATTAGTTTTTTTACATCCCCATCACAGCAGTAAAGATAGTGTAGGAGGAGGGCTTTGACCCTGCCTTTCAGGGCCAACCCAGGCTAAGGGGATACAACGTTCATGCAGAAAAACGGATATACCACGTTAAAAAAATTCTCCCATCTCAGGAATTACTCGGATCTTCTGCATGTGACAGCAATGTGCCTAACCGCAACACAACAAACTCCAGAGGGTTGTTGTAGATTGGTTGGGGGGGGTCTGGGGGTCCCTGAATTTTTCATGTATTGCATGTCTTAAAAAGCATTAATAATGTAAATATTTGCCCTTTATTGATTGGTAATTCTTTTTCAATTCTTCAGAGACGTGCCCAAGGAATTGCTTTGGAAAAAGAGGTATGTCTGCTACTGAACTGATGTCAGGATACCAGGTTCTGGAGGGATGGTTGGGAGGGTGCTCAAGTGTGTGCTCTTTCTTTTTGATCCAAACATGTCATCCTATCCCTATCTCCTCCCCCCCAGGTAAAAAAAAATTTTAAAACAGCTATAAAGTCAAGAGTTCTAGAAAATATTGAGTGTCAGAATCAATATGCCTTACCACTGCCAAGTGTAGTTAACTAGAGTTTAGGAGCTAGAATCATTTTCTTTATTGGAATAGTAAAATATCATAACCTTGTGAGTGAGAGAATATTTTTAAAGTCTAAATCCTTGCTTTTCTCATTCTTCATGTCTCTGTCAATAACGTTTCTATATTTTATAGAAATTTTTGCTTTCTTATGGTATTTTGTTCAGACATTTCTTTCACTGTTTCCATTCTGCAGTTAAAGTACAAGATGAGGATTTTTGATGAACAGCCGGAGGTCTGTGAAGAAATCTTCAGGGAAAGTGAAGACGAGGAGGAAGAAGAGGAAAGTCTTCCAGGTAAAATATTGGTTTTTACTACAAATGACTTTTCTTATGGACAGCACCTGTACCAGGTTTTGTAGGGTTTTTTTATTGCCGTTATTTGTAGTCTCAAATGAGTAGCTACATCTCTCAGGACAAAAATTTTATATAATTATAGATATGTGAGTAGCATGTTTATGTCCTGTTTCATGCTGGTCTTTTACATATAATCGCCATCATTCATAATTGTCATATTGTTGGCATCATGATATGGTTGGACAAGTGACATTGGGTAAATTTTTCAGAAGGAAAAAACTGATTTATTAAAAGGGCGGCTTAGATTTTCATATTGTTTTTTTTAAAATTTAATAAGCATGTGAAATATGCCTTATAGAACACATTTCCAGGGGAAAAAACTGCATTGAAAATTTCGTAGTTATCCGATTTTATCATGATTGCGAAGATATGTCAAAACACAAGGTTTTCAAGAAAGACTAAATTTCTTTCAGGCAGGACATTATCTTAATACAAAATGTTTAGTTTGTCTACATTCATTATCGTCTTAAGAAGAGGAATAAGACCAGGACCAATCGATATCCTCATCAAACTCAACAACATAACTGATGGGGCCGGGGGGTGTTCCTCCTTTTTTTTTAACATGACATACTGCAGTGTTGAATGGTGGCAACGATATGACAAATTGAAAATAATATATTATTTGTAATTTGACGTACTATTTCTTTTTTTTTTTCTCTCCCTACTCTTGATTCTGAATTAAAAATATCTTTGGAAAGTTAAAGATTGAACAAAGACTAAATCTATAAACGACAATGAAATGTTCAAATCAAAATGAGCTCTTACTTTCTGTTGTTCTTTTTTGCTTATGAGAGAGAACTGTTTTATGCTTATTATTTTGCTTTACACTCGGCACCCTCATTATTTTATATAGTTTTGTTCAACTCTCTGTGTCTTCTTAAGTTTTGACTATGAATAGAATCCTGGTTCTCCTCTTTGTTAATGGCTTACTATGTATCTTGTAGGTTGTTTGATTTCACAAAGAAAAACAGATGAACTGAAGGCACCCTTCTCAGGTTCTTATTGGGTTTGTGCATTATTCCAGAACTTACTGCCGAGATGGAGCAGACGATCAGGGCTGCCCTAAGGCCCGGTTCTCCTGGGGAGGTGCTGTCTGATGCTTTCCGCCTCCAGATCACCCGAAAGGATATGGCTACGCTAGGTGGCCTCAACTGGTTGAATGATGAGGTATACTGTGGTTGCTGCGGTTTCAAATAACAAACCTAAGTAGTATTTGGTCTGATGCTGCTGTTGATTAAAGTGGCTCATTGTATTCCTTGCTTGCTGTGTTATTAACACATTACACCCTAACTCGCCCGGAATCACCCGCGCCGACCTAGCGTCTTCAGGGAAAAGTCTCGCCCAAGATTGTGTTTTACCTAGTTATTGCAAAATGTTTCTTTTTCCATTTGATACTGAACCAAAATTTTTCGGGCCAGTAGTTCTAGCATTAGAGGCGATAAAAATGGGATCCCGTTTCCGACACTTCGAAGGTGTCTTGACTTGTTCAAAAGCAACACAACTGAGTTTGAAAAAGGAAATAACGATGGATTTGAGCAAAAACAAGCATATGAAATATCAGATGAATCAGATTTTGATGAAAATGTAGCACGGGTTTGGGGCGATTTAGATTGATCAGATGTAGAATTTAGATCTTGGGCCTGACCGCGAGGCTGAGAGTGACGGGTCGGACGCCCAGATTGAACTAAAGGTAGAACATTTCCAACAGTTTGGGCATACATAAAGTTATATTTTCCTGAAACTACATCCATTTTTTTCTAACTTTTATTTTTTCAGGATTTAAAAAATTTGTTTAGTGTTTTTAAAATGTTTTTTAAACGCTTGTATTCACATGAGGTGGGTTTCTTCCCCTTGCTTGGGATCTGGGAATGGATTTCCCGTCCAGACCCTTAGGGTGTAATGTGTTAATTTATAGAAAATTATGAATGGCTTCCACATTTCGACATAGAATGCTTACTCTTTTTTTCTAATACCTGTAACTTAAGAAGTAGTTCTCCTACATCAAGTAAACAGTGTATCAACCTGAAGATAAAGCTGGTAACTGGAAGCTGTTTACCTGGAATATGGTTTGTTTGTTGTTGTGATTTTTGGGAGGGGGGTGTTTGTTTTGTTTTTTGTTTTTTCTGAAAAAAACAATGTAGTAACTTAAATTCTTGGGCGTTTTTTTTTTTTCTCTTCCTTAGATCATCAACTTTTACATGAACATGCTGATGGCACGTGGGGAGGAAGAAGGCCGGTCTCAAGTGTATGCCTTCAACACATTCTTTTATCCCAAAATTATGTCTGGTGGACATTCAGCTGTGAAAAGGTGGACAAAGAAAGTGGACATTTTTGCGATGCACTACATCCTTATACCTGTCCACTTGGGCATGCACTGGTGTCTTTGTGTAAGTCCTCACTCGTGAAAGTGCAGTTGAATGCAGTAGACTTTGTTTTGACACGAAATTCCTGATCCACTGAATTATTTCAAATCCCCCCACCACACCCCCTTTATTCTATGCATTGTAACTTCTCTTAAGACAGAGATATTCTCTGGCTTATGCAGTTGCGAGCTCTGTAAAACCTCTACTAAAACTAAACTAATATTCTCTGGTACCATGAAAATCGTGTTACCAGAATTTTACTGTGAGTATATATATAATATATGTCTGCATCCCTGAGAACATGTAATGGCCTTTCCTGATGTCTCCCTTGTTGTTTTTTTTCTTGGGTTTTTTAAAACATTGTTCAATATCTCAAGTATTTTTAGATAGTCATTTTTGTGAGGGTCACATACTACCTTTGAGAAAAAGAAGTTTAAATATTTTGTGAAAGACTAAGAAAGGGTGTTCAGTACCCTTTTCTTGTCAATGTATTTGTTCTTGACAGCTGGTCCTGCCTTTTTGGAATTCCTCCTCACAAGTTCAATGTTTTTGTGAAGTTATAGCGTTCTTGATATGTTTGTTTTTGTTTTGTTATCAAGCTGTGAAAACTAAAGAAAATTACCTTTCTAATCATCCATTTATTTTAAAGCATCTGTTATATTTGAATGGTTCATTTATACTTTTTGTGTGTGGTTGGCTGGTGTTCTGGTGTGGTTTGCTCCTTCTTTTCTCTCAAACATCTATTGTCCTTATCTCCCCTCCTTTTTTTGTGTTTGTTACTTTCTTGTAATGCCCCTAATCTTCGGCACTTGTATGACCTTATTGTGTTGCAAGTGCAGTAAAACTCTTACTAGATCCTATAACTAATATTGATGGGAAGACTGTATTATGATTTATTTTCAGAAAAAGAACAACATATTTACTGTGCATACATTTTGTGAGATTGTATTTAATTAGAAATTTGGTTTTACTCTGTATGTATTTCTTTCTGGGTACTTTGTGGTTTCAGTTCTCATGCCCACAGCTCTTCTTTTTCTGTTAATGTCTATGTTTCATTTGAGATCTGGCGGGCTTTCTTGTGCAATGTCATGTGAAACTGGCTTTTGTGTATTTACAGATTGCTAACATGAAGGACAAAGTGGTGACATACTTTGATTCAATGGGTGGCCGAAATATCGAGTGCCTTGAAGCAGTCAGGTGAGTCAAGACTAGTGGGTCTCCTTCTGAGACCTTGCATAATTTGTGCTTCTGTAAATGGGCATGCCTTTGAACAAGTGTTGAATGTAAGGAGAGAGGGGGGGGTGTTGATAAAGAGGTTACTTGTTTTCCTCTATTGTTCTTGTATGGTTTCATTTTCCCTGTAAAATGCAGTTCAAGGGCTGTCCACCTTTCTGAATTTGGTGGAATCATCACGATTTTTTTTTCAATTTTATAAAAGTACAATCGTAACTCCCGTGATTCCGATTTTTCAAACTGTTGATGCTGTTTTCGCCTACCCTAACCCAATCCTGACACTCTACGTCACATGAGCTATGTAACTTTAACACCCTCTGTGCATGAAGCCCTTGTTGTCGCTCAGTGCCATTTAACTCTTGGAAAAACATTATTTGCGCCAAAGCCTGGAGTAAGGCAAACATTAATTTGACTAGGTGTTAAAAATTCCTGCTTTTGCGTAATGGACGATGGCCCAGTCCAGAGGGAGAAATTAATTTAACAATAAAAATCCAACTGATATTTGTTTGAAACTTGAAACTATCAGTTTGGACGTGCAGCATGGTGTGTAGTGGTACAGTCAGGCTTGTGGCATGTTCTATTGTTTCATCCGTTTCTTTTGACCATTCATATAAGAGAGATTTTCCGTTAACTCATTGACGACGTGCCGGGTCCAACAAACTCTGAAGACGCGCCTGACCTGGCAACTTGTACCATTTTTATTTTATTTTTTACCTAAAAACTAATAGAACCTCAAGGGGAATGACTCCCCGTGTTAGTTAAACCATTTAACTTTATTGTGGTTGTGTCCCTTTGACCATTGGTCACCCGAATAGTCTGCTATAAGCAATCTGCCGAAACACGCTGACCTGACCTACTTTTTATGTAAACAAGAATCAGAGAGCTGCTGGAAGCTCCTTTCACTACCATCAAAGCGCTAGGGAATATTGATTCAGGAGACTACAACGCTCCTGGCAATGTCACTATTCTTATAGATAATATCACTTAGTATTACTTGTTGAAACCATTCTAATTCACTACAATCAATTCTGAGATCCATGTGCTTAGCTCATAAAGAAAAGTTTTTTTCCTCGTTTACTTTTTATTTTTTTTTCACCTAAAACATAATTTTTTCAAAGTTTTTGTAAAAATAAATACATTTTATGTAAGTTTACATGATGATCTTACTTTGTGTCGACTTTTATACTTGTACAGGCGATAGGTTTATCACACCGATTTTTAAAAAATAAGTTAAAATCGTGCGTCTCCAGGGAAATTTTTGGTGAAAAACTTGCGTCGTCAATGAGTTAAGAGTTGTTGATACTGGAGGGCACTACTTTTGCGGCCTCTGTCCTTACAACTTTCTTTTTCTTCTTAAGTTTCAACTTGCTGTGGTGTCATCCAATCCTTCTCCTTTTTTTTTTTTTTTTTTTTTTTTCCCGAAATTATGATAGCGCTAATCTGTTGCTAGAAAATGTAACAGTGATTGTTCTGACTGGTCTTATACCTTTTTACATTGTCTGTTCTCTTTTTTGTTAAGCCACTGTTCTTAATATTGATTATCTGTGTCTTCACCAGGTCTCAGGTTTCCATTTTGAACTTGAATTTTTGTGTGTCTTACACATACACAATATTTCTTTTGTTTTGCTCATTTTCAAAGTATTATTGGATATGTAGACCTGTGTCTCTTGGTCTGTTTCAGAAAATATATAAATGATGAGAGTGTGGCAAAGAAACAGACGCCAATCAACATGTCTGAATGGTCTTTAGTCACCGCTCAGGTAAGAAAGTTATACTGCTTTTGTTTACAAAGTGTCTGTATTTTCTCTCAGCTGTGCACTGTCCACACTGTTCTTCATTTACCTTTGGTTACGGGGTTTTTTCCCCACCTGCTCTTTGTCTTGAAATAGATTATTACAAAATTTTCATAAGGATTTTAATCGGTATGAATACTTTGATTACAGATTTATTTTAAAATAGGGTTGTTTAGATTTTTTTTTTCACCTTTGGTTTTTGGGGGGTTTTTTTTGTTTTTTTAATTAAATGTTCGTATGTTGTTGGGTTTTTGTTGTTTTGTTTTTTTTGGGGGGGGGGGCATTGCTCAGCCCTGATTGGGGATTGTTATGGGGTTGTCATGATCTAGAGGTGTGCTTGCCTCTCATTCTAAAGGTCCCAGGCTCAAAATCTGAAAGGAATTAAATAATTTTCTTCTCTAAAATGTTCTTTCACCTCCTTTCCTGTTCTCTAGTTATGTTCTGTCATTTGTTTTCATCTCTACTTTCTTCCTGCTGCCCCCACCCCCCAGCCTCTTGTGGAATTCTCTCTCCTTTACTCTTGTCGCCTTTCACTGCCAGTCCTGGATCCATCTTACTTCTGTCTTTCAGCCAAACCCCTGATCTTAGGGTATGTAAGATTCGAACACCTAGCTTTCTCAGATAAAGGTGTAAAATCAGGGACGTCACATGTTCAAGTTGTGCACATTAAAGATGCTCGGTGGTCATAAAATCAATTAAGAGTGGGCTTCAGCCACCACCTAAAAAAACTCGAAATTAATTCAACCAAAACTGAAAATACACTAATCAGTATAAAAGACACAAAGTACTTTCAAAATCAGAATGCGGTTGTCCAAGCCAAAGGCAATGGGCCCTGCAAAATAGTAAAAGGAAAGCACTATTCACAGTGACACTGGGAATAGGCCAGAATTGTTCCCAGTGTCACTGGGAATAGGCCAAGAAACTATTCCCAGTGATCCTGAGAACAGACAGGCCCATTAGATCCACTGTTCCCACACTGATCTACATGGGCATGATGATGATGGGTTACTAAATACTAGACTATGATCTAATGTAGACCTAGATCTAACTAAACTAAAGTAGATTCTAGTGTGAGTAGAAGAATTTTTTTTTTTTTAAAGAAAGGAATGATCATTCAATGCTTGCTTGTTGTTCAGTCGTAATTTAGATCTAGATGTCTTGAAAGTACTGAACTGAATTGAGAAGAGAGTCTACAGTCTGTACACGTTAGAATAGAATCTAGGCCTAGAATCTTGATCTTTTGAAAAGCTGCAAATTTTTCTTCAAACTCTTTGAAGGAGGAGAACTTTGTGCCCACTTCCATCTGCATCGCAATTTTGTTTCGAAGTTCAAAGTGAAAGCAAATTTAAAGGCAAAGACTTTTGATTTTTTTATGCAAAAGAGTTCTGTTGTCACTGGGAATAGTTTCTGAACCTGTCCCCAGTGTCACTGGGAATAGTCACTTCGATAGTAAAAATAGTCACACATATAAAAATCAATTGCACTACAGGTTGAAGGACCAGCAGTCAACTACCCCTGAGATCCAGAAAGGGAATGCAAAAAAGGAAGGGAGATGTTATGCTCCTCGTTGTAGTGGATGGTGGAGCACCTTTGCGAGTTGAATAACTGGAAAATCGTCCAGTTTAAAATGTATATTGAATGGTATTTATCTGATCTTGAGGGGCAATTTTTTTACTTCCAGGATATTCCCCAACAAATGAATGGCAGCGACTGTGGTATGTTTGCATGCAAATATGCAGAGTACATCACCCGAGGGAAGGAGATCACTTTTTCACAGGTGAGCAGTCAAGTATCTGTTTAGTGTTTTGAGCTTTTCTTTAGCCTGTGGATTAGTTTGCTTTCATCTGTTATAGTTTTGTAATGTCAAATAATGATTTGATATTGTATGTTGGTTCTTCAGAGCATCCTGGCTTTAGGTTTACTCTTGAATGTAGATTATTTATTTTTAGGTGGATTTAATGCAAATGTTATCATCTAAAGGTAAGAAAGAGATCCCAGTGATCTTTAGAAACATGACTACAGTGACAATCTTCTCTACTGTTTAATCTGATCGGGCCATGTGCATTTAGTTAGTTATTAGTTATATCTATTTTTGTCAATGCTATTGAGTAAAATTTCTCAAACAGACATCTCATTTTGTAAAACATTTAAGTGACTTCGTGCTTCAGGTAATTTGGGTGGAAACTGCAGTGTGCTAGATGATCTTTAAATAGAAATCCATACTCATTGAAAAGCTGGTGGTTTGTGCATTTTTCTGTTCAGTTTTGCTTTATCCAAGTGTGCTGTCTGTGAAGTGTAGCCACCGTTATATTGTTGGGCTGAAACGTCCACTCAGCAATGTACTGAAAGACTTTTCCTTCTTGCTCATTCCTCAGGAGGACATGCCTTACTTCAGGAGACGGATGGTGTATGAAATTCTGACGAAGAAACTTCTTCAATGACCAATGTATTGATTATTTTTTGTTCCCAACGGATTTTGTTTTGTTATTTATGAATAGGTTCAAATCAGTGAAGGCAGACTTAAAGCATTTTATTTCTGATGTAAATATATGTGTGGAAAGCAAGGCGAAGTGCTATGTGTGATGAGTGCAGAAAGATGGCATGGTACTCTCGTGCTGCTGCGAATGCTGAATTTAGAAGAATAAAGAATATGATATAGTTGTAAATCTGAACAAAAGATGAATGACTGATGTTTTGGTGCTCCAGCTGCTATGGTCTTGCTTTTGGTTTAAAGGAATCAGTAGATGGTTGATTATTGGCTTGTCTTATAACCTGTTTGTTGCCTTAACATGATTATGATACTTCGGGAAAATACACGATTTTGTATTTTTTGTCATACCATGCACATCCTGCAAGTTGGCAAAATTTGCCATTCCTGGTTGCCTATACTATAAAATTTTACATCTGACTGAAATCATCTGGCTTTAATACTTCTGTTCGGAGATTTAGCCACACAAGTACAGCATGTATAAGTGGTTCGGAATATAAAATGCCCATACCTGTACCGATTTTACTGCTGGGCTTACCAACGACTGATAAACACAGATCTAGTGTAGGCAGTAACGTGCTTCTGCAGAGCGTTAACAGCAAAGTGACTGGGGGAAAAAGGCAGCAAACTGCACATTCTGACTTAGTTTACAAGTAATTTGAAATATGAAATTCAAGTGCATAATTGAAATCTGTTTCCAATGAACTTGCAGAATTTATACTTTTCTAGGGTTTATTCTTCAAAAAACGGGTACGTGACCAAAAATAAGTTGCCCAAAGCTCAATGCAGCTGTCCTGGCTAACAAGCTAAGCTGAAAACAGTGCTGACCTTAGGAACACACACCCCATAGCAACAAGGGGTTGAGTTTTAGGTCTCTTATAATTTGATTTGAGATGTCTTTGCAAATTCTTCGAGATTTCTGCTGGGTTTTCTACTTCTTCATGGCTTTAGTGGACATATCCTTGTAACTGTTGTTGATTCTTAACAAAGTCAAGGTGTTCTGGGTTTGTTTATATAGAACCTCAGAGTTCGCTGCTTAAAAATGAAGCGTCTTGTAAACCATAGGTCTGTTACTATTTCTCAGGAAAAAATACCATTCTTTTGTATTTCTCCAAAACTCGTACAAGCTTTCTATAGGAGTAAAAGGCTTGGTGGCTGGTTTTTGGATGTTTTGTTGATTGTCTGGGCTTGATTTTTGAATGAATAAGAGGTGCTGGTGCGATTGTTTTTCCTCCTGTATTATGATGGTACGTGTTGCCCTAGTCAGTACTGGCGTTGCGTCTTTTCATGTTGCTGGTGATGTGTGAGTGGCTAGTGTAAATTTTGGTGATATCTTGTGTAGAATACTGAAAGCTCTGTTTCCATGAGTTTGGAGTTTTGAGACTGAAATGGGAAAGTAATGCATTGTGTTTTCAACTGTTTTGTTAAAGAGGATGGTTGTGAACAAATCTGCTGGAAAGGTTAATTTGGATTCACTCCTGTGCTCTCATGTCAACAAGATTTGAAGAGAATATTCAACAACAGGTAGAGGGTGTGCAATTTTTACATCCATTTGCAACTGAATATTTAACTCTGCTGGTATTGTAGAACTTAGGGGGGGGGGGGGGGGGGGGGAATGCGCTCTGACTGTAAGACTTTATAATGAATAATATGTTCTTCCCACTAATCGTCTGGCTCAAATTCTTCTGTACGGAGATTTAACCTCCGTACCAAATTTGCCAGTATCAGTTATTAGATTACTGCTGGGCTTGCAAGCGATGATAAACAGATCTGGTCTTGTAGACGAACGCATGTCCTCGCAAAACACCAAAATAACTTTTTAAAAGGCAACAACTTTCACTGTTTGCTTTAGATTTGCAAGTTTTACAAAGTTATGGGCAACATGGGGACAATAAGGAAAGTCCCAGGACCGAATGAAAGTCACAATTAGGCCCGATCAAGACAGCAAGTCCATATATTTAATGCTGTTTTGGCTAACGAGCTTAGCTGAAAATAGTGCACACACCCTGGCAACAAAGGGATTAGTGCAGGTTGATTCTTTGTTTTCCATATATTAGTATTAGGTACCTGGAAACCAAAAGTAGATTTTCAAAGTCACTCTATGGCAAATTTATCAGTTAAGTGTGAAAGGCCTGTGTCTCCGAGGAGTTTTGTTACCATTCTTTTACCACTCTGTCAATTTTTATGGTAGCTGTTTTAATGTAAAACTGTACCAAACATCTACATATTAACAGAGGACAATCAAAATAACTTAAATATGAAACATCATTTTTTTTTTTCAAGAAAAGCTTCAAGCAATGTCCCGGCCAACATAACATCAGCATCCACGCCGAACAGTTTGATTCTAATACTGTACGGTACTTTACTCCTTGTCCCTGTGTTGGGTCATATATTTTCTGAGTTTCACAGGATTGATTCAAAATAATCCCGAGCCAAAGACTTTATTCCAGTAGAAAATTAACTAACCTTTCTAGTGGTGCTGTTTTTTAGTGGGTATTTTGCACATATTTCTTGTCAACAATTTTCTTTGAAGACTCCGATGCTATTTTCAAAGACTCTATTTAAATACCAGAAGATAGAATTTACTAGAAGTATTTTTGGTACACAATTCGAAACTATAGTTCTCCACCTATGAAAAGAAAGTATTTAATCATCAATCTTTCCACAAAGCAGTCAAGTGCCTGGATGTCAATTTTTTAATCTGCTGACCCCGTGTTTTGACTGAGAGGGACTTTGCTTCCATGGCAAATACACAAACATACAAACAACGCGCGCCATTTTGATAAAAGGAAACTTTTCATGATGCCCATCATTTGATGTTTCATTGCGACAGAGTACAGAGCAAAGAAACAGCAATTTGAATTGCACCCAATTTTGCAGAAACCTCCCAGTCAGAAGGTTGCGAGTCAGCTTACTCTTTCTCACAACTTACACTTTGAAATTTAATCTGGTATTACAATTGGTGCCATTAAAGAGAGTTGGTGACTTCCTACGGAAGAAAAAGATTTCCCATGCACAGAAAAGACCCTCAGTGACTACATACACATAGAGGTATAATATTATTTTCTTAATTTTTTTATTTGAAATGTTGGGGCAACGATCAGTATGTGATGTTTGCTAATGAAAAAGAGATGGGGCTTGATCCTTTGTTAAAATGGGGTGTGTATGCATAACTGTAAAGTTTGTACAGTGAAATTTACTATATTGTGGTGTATGTTGAAAAGGCATAAAAGAGTGATGTACTTACAAGCCCCGTGTTTCTGACAGATGTTATGGTATTAATAACTGAGGGAGAAAGGCATTCATTATATGTGGTGCAATTTTTCAAACTTGTCTAGTATAAATGATCCTTGGTCATTAATTGTTAATTGCATTTTTTGTCCCCAGAAATTTCATCGTGATTTCGCATATATGCTGTTGATGTCGTCATCACTTGTAATTGTATAAATCTCATCGGAATAAATATGCTTGTTTCTCATGTACTGTTTTTGTTGTGAATACTTTTCTAATATAAGGAAGCCTTTTGTACAGTCATAAGGAGGGTATTACACTTAAAGTTAATACTTAAGCGGGCCACTCACTGTACTGGCTTGCCTTGAGGTATCTCATGGAGCGGCCTTCAAACATGTACCTTGAGGCTCCTCAAGGCTGACTTACTATAGTCACCTTGAGTGGTGTCAAAGCCTCTGACAACCTGTGTTCATACACTACACAGTTCTGGCCATTGATTTTTTTTAAGCGCCTGCTAGGCATGTCGAATTTACAGACATTTGTTAAGCATTGGCTGTGATGCTGAAACATCAGAAATTTTGGAGCAGGAAATGGGTTTGGATCCCCGTATCAGAAACTTTGTCTCTACTTTCTTCAGCTCCTCCTGATCAGCTGCAGAGATTGTTTGGGGTTCGGTTTTTTTTTTCATTCCTTTTTGTTACTGTAGCCCTCAGATTTTATTTTTGAGAGACATTCATGATTCTGGTAAATTTCAATCATGTAGAATATGATCTCTTGACCAAGGCGCCATGGTTTATTGTCAGTTTGATCCAGTGACCTGAACTTGGGACCAGTTGAGAATCTGTGCACAGTGCAGACAATATTGGCCTAACTACAGTACAAGGGCATCTCCAAACTTCAGCCTGTGACAGAATTCCAGCTAGCTGTGTCCAGGTCAAACACAGAGGCCAACTCTTTGACCTGAATCATGTGGACTGTGTGGCTAGTACTCGGGCTGAACAGGCCACATGCGGGTCATTTACATTTTTTTGCGACAATACTGAAATATATTTCAAAAAACATTTATTGTTAAACAATCAAAACCTTGTACTCACAAAAGTAGGAAAACTCATTAACATTTTATTCGTTGAAAATGTTTCGACAAAAGAGAAAGACTTGGTAGTAAATTTAAACGTACAGGAAGTATTAGAACAGATCGCCACAGACATCAGATGAAACCTCAATTGAGGTCAACCAGCATCTTTATCTTCAATCTTTTTTTCCATGCTGTCCTCTCTCCCTGCCTGAAAAAAAAGGAGAAAACTATACTGAGAGGCATATTAGCAAGAACAGATCATACATATGCAAATTTACTTGGGCTCAATACCAAAAAAAAAAAGAATGGAGTGAAATTTATTACTATTATTATGATAGTCTATGTGAGGCATCGTGGTGAAACCAGGCACTCGTCAAATTAATGAAATCGAAGAAACTGGCGTTTTCTGTCCGTTTGCCAATTTTTATCGAATTTTTGTCCATTTTAAAACACGTCTTTGTGGACTTTAGTGAAAAATGTTGATTTAAGGCCCACAAATGTAAATTTGCTTTGAAAGTTGCCAAACTTTGGTGGCCATTTTCTCGCTAATTTACCTCTGAAACCAGGCCTCCTTCAATCGCAAATATCTTGACTTCTGTTCTCTATAGATTCGGGGGGTTTTTTCACCAAAAGCAAGACAAATGAACAAGCTATAAAATGTCCACTGATTCCACTGCGTCGTGATACATAATGATAATCACAGTATTCATGTATTTCTTATGACATGAACTTTGGCTTTATAACGACAGAAGCTATTTTTGTACAGAGCAGTACAAGTTTTCCTGATTACCCATCATTTAATTTGGTCCAAATACACTATTGACTAAATATGGTATGTCCCTGTTCTAAAATAATCTTACAGTGTATAATTTAAATAATTTACACTCTTTCCCCACTCAGGGCAGAGTTCAAAACCTTTTTCGCCCCACGTACCTGGAAGCCAAAACAAAATTTGTTTAAATGCAGGTATTTTTATGCCCCCATCAACACAGTTCAGAACATTCAGGAGACGGTCTTCAATCATGCTTGTCAGGGCAAACCTGGGCGAAGATGGATACAACATACCAGCAGAAAGACTGAGACACCCAATAAAAGTTCCCTCCCCTCGGGAATCAAACTCAGGTCTCCTGCATGTGACTGTTAAGTGCCTAACCACTACACCACAGAAGCCGGTACCAGGAAGCAGAATTATAAGTAATATAAGGGAATTGGGGGGACATGATTGCTTGTCCCATATCTCAGCAAAAATGCTTATTTCATTATGAAATTTTCAGAAAATTGAACATGACGACCACATATATGCTCATCCGAATAGGAGTAGGAATTGGATCTAAAGCCATTTGCACACATTCATCACTCGAACGCCTATCATAGCGACACTATAAAGCAGCACTCGCACTAAATGTACTTGACATATTAAAAAATTTTCACTCCAATCATTGCAAACTTACTGATTTCTGTGCTCAAAGGGCCACAAAAATCATTCAGGAAGGGTGTTAGTGTTAGTGTTCCAGCTGTTACAAGTGCATAAGTCTAAAGAGAGATCATTCCTCCATTGTTTTTGTAGCTGTGTTACACTGTTTTCGACTGACATCCTGTGCGGGAAAGACGACATTGTCTCTGATCGGTGTTCCATAGGGGGCAAAGTGTCAAAAGGGCATTATACACATACAATAATTTATCGCTCCCTCTGAAATTTTTGGCTTTTCCAGTTTATTTTTTTGTTACCAGTATTCATTTTATATATAAATCATAAAGCTTCTGATACCAAAACTACACAACCTGAATATTTTGGCCCCGGCTGTTGTGAAATTGAAATTTCGCAGTTAGACTTACCTGTGAAATTGCTTACCTTGAGACTAAGCGGAGCAGAAGTTTCAAAACTGAAGAAAAAAAACTTCTATTTGCTATACTTGTGCCAAACACACAAAAAGCCCAAATCCTGATCTTGCCTTGCCCTAGCTCCAAGGCTACAGTAAGAGAGACTGACTGCTCTGACTTACATATGGTCATCACAGTCAGAACATTAACAAATGTAAACAGACAAACATGGGAAGTACCTCTGATAGAACTTGTCTGGCAATGTTACATAGCTCTTTTTCTGTCATGAGATATACTGTTCTTGAAGACCTGCAAATAAAGAGGGCCAAGTTTTCAAAAAGTTGCCACTACCGTATGAAGAGAAAGAAAACATATGACTCATATGACTTGTGAGTTGCAAAGAATGTGCTTTTGTAATTCAACATTACTTGAAGTTGAAACCAAGGTCACAAAAAATACATTACCTTCAAAAGAAATTTATTAAAAAGTAAAAGAACATGCTAAGAAATAGATGCATTGTGTACATTGCTTGTAAGTCTAGAGATCAACTCAACACATAGAGACCATTAAAAAATTCTGTTCTCACAAAGTACAGAAACCTCCTACGGTGGGATGGAGTGAACAAAGCAAGCTCTAGGAGTGCAAAGCCACATTTGATTGTTTCAGCAGATCTAATACTAAACACTGATTTTCCATATTTGATTTGTATCAGCAGATTTATAGCTGAATGCTGATCTCCCACACAGAGTAGTCCCATCCAATCAAATTCAAATGGCACTGCATGTTAAATGTTATTTTTTTAAGACAAAATAGGCACTGCAACAGAGCCCAGTTAGGCCTACTCAATATCTTGCAGCGCACCAAGCCCTCTGGCCTTAAGGGGACAGGAAGCAGCTGCCGTGTGTCAAACACACTCGCTCCCCTCACTGTTTCATCAAGGTACTGTGTAGGCCAACTGCATCGATCAGCTCTACGTGTATTTTTACGTGAAGTATCACACATGTCAAAATTTTGCTGCAAAATAACCAACTAATTTCTAATCTGACAATACCACTACCACAACCAATTCAGCCATTGAATACTTGCAGCCGGGGGTATAAAGTCATTAAAACTCAAGCGTTTGTGTTAAATCCAACATAATCATTTCATTTTTATATGTAAAGACAAGGAGCCCGAGAAAAAGATTGACCAAACCAAAGATCAGCTATGTGACTTCAACATAAATGGAGTCGACTGTATATAAAAGTGACATGAACACAGTAAAAACTTGTCAGGTTTAGAATATGCCACAGAGCAATTCAAGGTTACCTGAGAGAGGTTACACTAGCAGATTCTTTACTGTCTTCTTTGTCTGAGCTGGACACTGTCGATTCAAGGGTGGATTGCCTCCTGAGCTTTGTGGTCATCCAGCTGGGAATATTGGGATCACATTCATCAGCTGACCTGACAGTGGTCACACCTGCCTTTCTCTTGGTTACTGAAGTGGCTGACCTGCTAGAACACTCTGTACGGAACACTTTCTTCAGGTTGCTTCTTGGGCAGTCTATCGGAGTCACTTGTGACGAAAACCGCTCTTGAAATCTGTGGCGAAGAACGCATATATCACTAGTTACATTATCACAGCTTTTAGTATTCAGACTTTTATTAGCTCATTTCTGTGCATCTTTCTTTGCTTTTCCCTGCTAGATCTCAGGGGTAGTCAACTGCTTTTTCTTTAACACTTTTACCTGCAGTGCAACTGATTTTTACGTATATGCGACCGTTTTTTTTTCTACTCACACAAAGGGTCCCTCGCCTTCACGTTTGGCAGCCACATTCCGATTTTGAAGTTACTCTATATCTTTTTTTATACTGTCAAGAGTATTTCAAGTTTTAGTACGAATTGATTTTGAATTTTGCGGGGATGGTGACCCAAGCCTATTCATCAATTTTAAGACCACAGAGGGATCTTTAACGCACACAGGACCTCCAAGATTTTTCACCTTTATCTGAGAAGGATAGGAGTTTGATTTGACCTACCCTACTAAGATCAGGGGGTGTAGCTGAAAGAAGACAACAGTAAGAAGGATCCAGGAGTAGCAGTAAAAGAGTCAAGAGTAAGGAAGAGAAGGGGCCAGAGCTGGGGGGGGAGAAGAGGAATAATGGAGAAAAAAGCAGAAGACAAACCAGGACTAGAGTACAGGAAAATACGACAAAGAAGGAAATTTCAGATTTTTTTTGTTGTTGCTGGCAGGTTTCGAATCGGGGACCTTTTGACTGAGAGGCAAACACTGTATCTCTAGACCATGAAAATCCCTATTTTTTGTGCTTGAAAACAGGCCCATGTTTTTTTCATAATCGCAATAGCACACTTGAAGCAGAAGAGGTGTAATTCATGGTAGCTTCAGGAAAAAAAGAGTTACAAAATATTGCAAAATAGACACTTTTAGTCCAGGGATATAAAGAAAGTCGAGTCATTTTTATTATATGTTTAATGTACACTGCTATTACAAGGCAAAAATTTCCAAGATGAGGGAATAGCAGACTCATGAATCTCATAACAAACATGGACGCTTAAACACAAAGCTGTACCTCGATTGAGTTCTCAGGAATTAAAGAGTCTATGTATGTATTTCTTGATTTAAGATTTGAAAAAAATTCTGCAAGTCTACAGCAGGAAAATTAAAGCTCTATTAAACTTATTATTATTTATATGCTTGCAATATTGTTACTTGTATAGTAAAACTTTTTTAATCCTGACGTATAAACACTTTCTTTTTCTCTGACTTTACCCCAAGAATTTTTTTAACACTTTTCTCAGTTTGGTGTCCTCTCAAATGGCCACGTGCACTATCTTCAAAATGATCTATGTGCTTCTGGAAGAGCGACAAGCTTCAACAACAAAGTCATTTTACAGCTGCTGTAACCTTTACTACCTCTAGTATTTTTCCTATCTATGATTCACAACAAGTTCTGCATCTTACTGAAGGAATGAATCCCAGCTCTCAGTAAACACATGCTCCTCATAGCCATAACTGTATTGTCTAGAAGCGCACAGAGTTTGTCGATTCTCAGATATTTCCAGGTACAAAGGCACTCGGACCGGCTGTGGTGCAGTGAGATCACCAAGGGGTTTCCCCACAGACATTGAGGTGAGCATGGCAGGAACAGCAGGAATGAGGCACGGTCCATCAACAATCTGAAAACATTAAATTGCCTCTTTAACATATGAAGTATATCAGTAAGCAATTTTAAAACTGACCTTATAATAATAATATTCGTCATTCTTCGGTGCACAAATGAAGGCCCATAGCCCAAATACAATTTCAGAGTTTTAATAAATACAGTCAGATAAAAGACCACTGTTTTTCACTCACGTCAATGTGTATGCTTGTCTTCTGCAGTTCTTAAATACTCAGATAAAAGAATATTCACAGCCCAAAAATAAAAGTACATTTAATCCCTTGACTGGTAACTGTATCATATATTATGCACTCCACATGATAAGAAACATTTCACAATGCACAAGATGTCACAGATCACAACAATCTGAAGACCAGAGATCAAAGGCTATAAATATAAGGAATGCAATTTTTTAAAATTGTGCTCGTGGCAGGAGGTTCAGAAAACCTCCATCTCTTTCCCAACACATGTTTAAAATTTGAAGACTTTCAAAAAAAGTCTTCCAACAATTAAAAATGAAAAGAAAACCCCTTGGGAAAAACAAATTCAAATAAAAACAAAATACATATGCTGTAACTATGTCCTGTGCTTGTACAAGGACATAATCTCCTTCAAAACTTTGGAGGAGGCAAAGAGAGAACTAAGGAGAGTCAAACAGACTAGTATGTGGACTGACAATATCAGAGAGTGTGTGGTTATGAAATAAATACCGTACTCAGAGAAGACATCGAAACTAACTATGGAATATCATTGATCAACCTATGGACCAAAGATGACACCATGAACATGGCAATGACAATGGATAAAGTTAAGCGTAGAACAGACGGAAATCAGGACCAAAAAACATGCACACAAAAAAAGAGAAAATAGACAGGAACACTTTTACTTCAAATGACAAAGCGACATATGCAATCTTTTCATAAACTGCACATTGTGTAGTTGTACAGACCCATTTTGAAGACCTTGCAGCTGTCGACATCTGGATGAGAAAAAAAAATATTTCAAAGATGTAAAAGTAAACTAGATTATTTTCTTCTTTCATAAGAAACAGTTTAAGTTACTCAGTGAGAAATTGAAAGTGAAAGACAATTATACAATTCAGAAGCTGTGATGTCAAAAGTACATTCGGGAGAGCTCAAACTTCTCACTACCAATCTGTTGGTTAAAAAATTAGCCTCATTATGTATTACAATGAGAAATGAATACTCTTCCTTTAAAAAAAAAGACCTCCATTACATCATTACATTACAGATATTTTTTCAACTTAACAGAAGGCATTCTAAAGTTCTAAAGGCTACATTATGAAAGCAAAAACTCCACACTGAGCTAGCTTATCCATTCCTTTTGTACTCTCAACCTTCTCAACATAAACTAAAACTTCTATAATAAGGATGCCAATAGTGAAAGTGATTTGAAAAATCCCAACCTTTAAGTGTTTTACACCTGCTACTTGTGCCATCTTCATGTGGTCGAGGTCATTGAAGACATACACAGTACTCTGTAAACAAAAAACATGCCTCAGAGTCAAATGGTTCCAAATCTTTGAGTGGTCTCAAGGAAATACACTGACAATGTAGGTACTCACACAGTAAGGTGATTGTATACTTGAAAAGCAGGGAGGAAAAGATTTATGAATAGTTTAGTGAGAACGGAAAGATTATGACATACCGTAACACAAATTCATAACTTTGTTTGGAGAGCAACTAACTTCCTTCTACCATCACCACAAAGACAATAATAGGCAGTATGAATGCAAGTCCTTCTACCGTCACCACAAAGACAATAATAGGCAGTATGAATGCAAGTCCTTCTACCGTCACCACAAAGACAATAATAGGCAGTATGAATACAAGTCTTTCTACCATCACCACAAAGACAATAATAGGCAGTATGGTATGAATGCAAGTAAAGTTGCACAAGACGCCCACTCCCAACCTAACTAGATCATTGAGAAGCACGGTAACCACAATAGCTTCTATAAATCTTTTCAAAGATTTTGATTTCCACTTACAATTGTGCTTTCTGAAGATTAATTATTTACTGTTCATTGTTACAAACATTATTCTATTTTTTCAAAACTGTTGTCATGATGTCACAATTAAACAAAATTTATGACGACTACATGACCAACATTGGCTTGACAAGTACAGATCCCACCTTCATTCTTTTTCCAAAAATTCACTAGATTTTTGTTATTAGTGCTAAGCAGTGTGAGTGATTACAAAAACAAAAATCTGATCCAATTCATAAGTCAAAAGTGATCGTTTTAATATCAAAAGAGTTTACTGTTACCAAAAAAATCATTTATAGATTTGCTTTTAGCTAGACATCACTGATGACCTGTATTCTAAAAGTTAAAAGGGTCGCAAGATAAAAGAACAAGCTGAGCTTACTTCACCATGTAGATCCAGGAGGTGCTGGGACTGTAGAAAAGCTAAAACACCAGGCTGAGGGGGAAGGCTGTAGCTTCCTGGTCTGTTCCTCGAGAAGCGCAGAGCATACACAGGATGACCAATCTGTGGACACCAAGAACGGGTGCTTTATTCCGATACTTAAACTTTTCAGTCTCCTCAAAATGAGTGTCTCACTAGAGTACAAGCATGTAATGTAAGAACAAAGTGTTTCTTACAGAAACCCAGTATTTATGAATATCTGATAGAGGCACATGGGAGTGTCTGGGAGATGCAAATACATTGTACAATATCAGACACTTGTACTCTGTACTGCACATTGTTGTCACCTTGAGCGAGCCTGGGGTATGAATACAATAGTCTCCACCACACAACTTCCCAGTAGCTGGAGTGCCTCTAATATGACAAAAAGTCTTATATCGAGAGGTAACATTTTTTCCATTCATTATTCATACTTCATTCACTATTCAAGCCCACATTTCCACAAATGGTCTACTAATCTTTAAAAAATATTGACATCCAGGAGCAAAGAGTATGCCTAACTTCAAAATGACAAAAACTAAAATAAAATCTGACAAGGTCTATAACTTGCACAAGGCCAATATTAATGAACTGTCAAAAACCTGTCAAACTTCATACTTATCAAAAAAGAACTATATCTAATCCTGAACTAATTTCAGTTGGAAACGAAATCTTAATAGAAATTAAATATAGAAACTCTCTCAGTATTGTTTATTCATGCTGTTCTGATCTGTAACAATTTATGACTGTGTCAATAGTGTGATGTCATCAATGTGTACGAAGGTGTCTGGGTAAGTTTTGTGGGATTGTCTTAACTCAAGGATGTACTGTAGAGAGAGAGAGAGAGAAAGAGAGAGAGAGAGAGAGAGAGCGTGAGGAAAAACAGACAGACAGATACAGAGACAGAGTGAGAGAGAGAAAGAAAGAGGATTACTATAGGAGCTGTGCGCTGTTCATGTTCTTTGTATCATTGTACAGCGCATTGAGCACTTCTTTGTGGAAATGCGCTATATGCAATTTATTATAACTATTATTATTAATATATTTTGACCTACAGAACCATAATATATTCAGTAAAAACTTGCATGTCTAGAAATCAAACTTCTTTTAAGTTATTCCTTGACAGAAAAGTGCAAAACATTTTTGCAATAGAGCCTCTCCTTAGGAAGATGCATTACCATTACCAGTGTCCTTTTATTCCTATTTGTTCACTATTTTTACACACTTGCAGAAATGCAGAAAATTACAGAACAAAAATGACTTCTTTTTAAAGAAACTATTTGTGTCTTTAAGTATAAAGTTTATTGACCTTTTTCAGCCAAAGCATCAGAAGCTCAGCAAACATATTCTATTCCCATGTTCTTCCATGTGACATAAAGTATATTTGTACATCAATACAAACACATAAAGGAATCTGTACCCAGAGAAACATATTTCCCTTTTACAAAGTATAAAAAAATAACTAATATAAAATTTTCCAGCTCGTGCCTTTTCCCACTCCCTATAACAACAATATCTTGTAGGGGCCTACCTGCTGTGTGAGTTGTCTGAGAATGTGAGGGAGGGACTGGGAAGCATCAGGGGACATCATTCTTCCTAAAAACAGAAATAACCATACGACAAATCTTTTAAATAATTTTAGTAAGTGTTTTACGGCACTTGCAATACAATAAGGTCATATAAATAAGTGCCGAAGATTAGAAGTGTTACAAGAGAGTAACAAACACAAAAAAGAAGGAGGGGAGATAAGGACTATAGATGTTTGATAGGAAAGAAGAAGCAAACCACACCAGAGCCAGAGCACCCGCCAACCACCTTTTTACTGTATAATTTCTCTGAATAAAATAAAACCGTGAAGACAGTACACAACAAAAGAACATTGCCCATGTGAGTGATGCATCTACTCTCAAACAAAAGAGCAAGGAGTCATAAAATTCTACATGTAAAACGCTGGTCCCTCAAAACGAAGTACCAGTTTTAATCCCAGATTCAAATAAACATGACCAGTTGATAACTTTGACTTTTCTCCACAGACAATGCACAACCATAGTGTGGGTAAGATTGAATTCCAATCTCCTCAGACAAGAAAAGAAACAGAAAAACAAAAATTGAACATGCTTAGAGCACTTAAACACTAAAAAAGAAAACCAGGCCTGTCAGTAGAAAAATTCTACACTAATTCTCTCCCCAAACTGATGAGACTGTGGTCAGTATCAATTCAAACATAGCACAGGTGACCTGAAATGTTGAGGACACTACATTCTGGTAAGACTAAGAGAACTGATTATCAGCATAAAAATCTGAAGTATTGAGGGCATGAAGAACCCGTTACTGACTACCCCTGAGATCTAGTGAAAGGGAAAAGAATGGAAAACAATTTTTAAAAATAAACTGGGATGAGTTACATACCAACAATAGCCGGGAAAAAAATGCTTTCTTTCAGAAAACAATATAGGCCTACCTTTTGCAACATCCTTTGCAGCACGTAAAACCACAATATGTCCACAGGAGTTCCTCTTCACCCACTCTGCACACAATGAGGGAAGCTGTGGGTGAAGGTCCCCCTGCTCAGTCAGCAAAGCCTCCCACTGAATGAGGAGACCTGGCATTTCATACTAATGGAGGAAGAAACAGAAGATTTTAGCAAAACCAATTAAATTAAGCTGTCAATACCAGAATTAATTCTTGGTCTTTACGTCTGCACCATATTTCTGGGCCTAAACAGCTAGAAGATGCACATATTTTATTTATGGTAATGATAATGTGTGGTTTAAAATAAAAATAAATTTTAAAATTTTAAAAGATAAAGAAAAGGATTCTTTATCCTACATTAACAATTTACCATTTCACTGGCAAAAAGCAAAAATGCCAGTATAGATCCCATAACTTCAGGAAGAAGAAAAAAGTTGACGACAGATGAAAAACAGACTTGAAAGTTGAATGGTATGGGCAATTTTTTAAAGCTTAAAACTTTAACATGAGAAAAATAAAAGCTATAGATTTTAGAGGACTTACATGCTACTATCACATAAACAGGTTAAATCAAGTTTTAGCTTTGATACCTTGAAGTGGCTCTGTGCACATAAAGGGACATTTATTTCTTGCACTTGGAAGCCTTCATCTGGTTTTGGGTCTTCAACTGTTCATACCATAGGAGAAAAGCTTTAAAACATTTCAGAGCATAGGATTTGAGGATTATTTATTAGGGTTAATAACAGTACAGATTTCCATCAAGAAATGAGTACAATGTAAGAAAAAATTAAGCCAGTGCTATTTCACATATATTCTTGTGAAACAAAGTCAGTTGTTTTTTTAAAAGAGTATCATTCCCAAAGAGGCATTGCCAAAATACATGCTGGTGTTGAAGTTTCCTTGTGAGATTATCAGAAGTTGTGTTATCTGCACACACTCTACTCAAAACACAATAGGGTATAATTAAACAGCTTTACACATATATATCAAAATTGCTTTTCATTTCATAATTACCATTTTCTCCATTTCTGTTTTGTCAGCCTAGTGCTATACATTTGTAAGCGCTACAGTTAAAGAAATGTGGGGGGGTTTTCTCCAAATTTCATACTTCTGTTTCTAAACTATAGCGTCATTAAAGTTGTAACATTTAACTCTACTGTCTACTAAGAAATCCAAGCAACCAAAAAGCAACAGTTGTTTTGTTTTAAAGAAGTAAAAATATAATGTGTTCCATAACAATTACAGTTAAAACTACAAAATGTTCTTAGTGAACCATTCATCAACACCCCCCCCCCCCCAACAAAAAAATGAAAGATCATAAAGACTAATAAAGGATACATCTGTTCACACCCGTTCATACCATATTCTGACTGGAAATCAATCTTTTGCAGGGATGAATCAAACCACTTCTTCACAGTAGTTTCATCTTCTACAAAAGAGACTTTCTCCATGGTCCAAGAGGAATGCCAAGACCACATGACTTGGGAGAAACCTCCAACGGGCAATAATTTCACAAGTAAGATGCTGCAGGAGGGTACCTGGATAATATATTTAGTGTTTATATATACATACACACATATATAGATATCCAAAATATGTTGCTTGAAGATGTAAAATAAACAACAGAAATACAAAAATACAAAAACTCAAAAGACAGTCATAATGGCTCGAGCATCCCTATTTTAATCATAAAGGTGCATAAAAGGCAAGTAATAACGCTTTAAAAATGCAACCATACCACATGAAGGTACACAGAAAACTGTGATGCAATTGTAATATCTTCATTCTTTTCAATAAAGAGAGTAAAGTTGTTCACTTGTGAACTACACATTATACACTTACTCATATTATTTGAGCCATGTGTGCCTGTCTTTATTGTTACCCCTTCACATAGGATAATAAAACGCTCTATCTTCTCTGTAGCTTAGTCTTTCGATTCACATTCAGACCACAATATCCATATAATATGAAAACAAATATTTATTATTACTGTTATTATTTCCATTTGTCTGCCTTTTCCCACAAGAGCTCAGGAGTAGCCAACTATCGCTTCTGTAGGTCTATTGAACTGCACGCACTCGATCATGAGTTAAGAGAAGAAATCTGGAAAGTTAAAGAATCTCTGACCTATACACACCAGGGCTTACAAATACTCTTTTGAATGGGTCAAAAAGAAGGAACAACTCCAAAGCTAGGTCTAACAAAAACATACCAATATCATAACATCAATAATAAATGAAAAAAAAAGACATTACCAATTTTTTCTTACCTTTTTCTTAATAGTTTGAACCAGGCTCTTTCTCGTTGCTTTGAGTAAAAGTTTGCCATCAACAATTACTTGACGATTCTGAGGAAAAAACAAAATAAAAACTTTCCACTTCTGAAATGCCACCTTTTATATCCAAGGTTTACAATTCATCTTTTTTGTGTACTCATCTCTTATACATATGCGCCTATAAATCCCAGGCAGCATCTTCATCTGGACAATCAAAGCGATACATGTTTGGTGAATAACATGACCTGTTAAAAGAACGGTTGAACAACAAATAGAACGTTGTGTAAAGTCAGGTTTCAATTCAGTTTTCAGTTCTGGTTTGGCCTGAGCATTTTCGGAACTGGAAATGAAAAGTCATCTGTGAGTACCATACTTTGAAAAGACAGAAAGGAAATGAATAAAAAATCTGAACTGAAGTTTCATTTTTCTGGTCAGTGTCAATGATGTAGAGATTCATTCTCAGATGTTTTAAAATATAACTTTTCCACAAAACAGACAGACAGACAGACAGACAGACAGACAGACAGACAGACAGACAGACAGACAGACAAATAGACAGACAGACGGACAGACAGACATACTACAGACAGACAGACAGACAGACAGACAGACAGACAGACTGCTTCTCTAATCTCTTCTTCTTTTGTGCTTCCTTAAATGAACATAGGGGCAGCCCAAAAGAGATTCTTTCAGCCAACACCACAACAAACTTCCACAAGTATCCTTCTTATGTAGATACATTTGTAACTTAAACCCTTCAGGACCATTTTTTACTGGCATCTTGTTCACTTTGTTGAACCACTAAGTAAACTAGAAAACTTTTGTGAGTCACTCCCATTTTGATTCAAGTTTCATGCATAATAAGTACAAAGAATATCATAATATGGAACAGAAATTGAGACAAAAATCTGTTCAGTTAAATTTGTGTATTCAAAGTTATTGAGTCACACTTGTTTGAGCTAGCACTGCTTCACGTTATCTAATTTTACAACTAGAAATTAGCATCCCTTAACCTACAAAAAACCTGCAAGCCAAATTCAATAGTAAACTAAATTATTTGTACTGCCCAGATTATTTTTCCGAGGGGAGTAATATATATTTATAACGTCTTTCCCTGGCAGCTTTTCACAACAGGGTTATTGTTCTTTTGGGACTCTCAAATGCAAAGAGTAGTACACAGGAACTCAGTCAAGTACTTTGATCTTATTTGAAAAGACTTATCTCAGTACCACAACCCCTGGGCGAAAACAAGCTGAAACATCCTTCAACCATACCCAGGACAAACAGTGGATCAAACTCCAATCACATTCGGTCTGATGAGCCCCTTCATACTATCATCATAATATATGGTACCAGATCTGAAACAAAAAATTTGCAGAAATGGTTCTCCATTCACTTTTCCGCTCAGATGCTCTAAAAAAAACATAAATCATACTGGTGTTTCCTCGTCACCCATCAGTTCAGATTTTTCCAAAAAGTCTCTCTGGGTCTACCCATGCCTTATTGTTTTCTTTCTTCTATAATTACAGAGATAACAGATGCCAAACCTTTACATCAATCAAGTGTCCTCGAAACCGCATAATAAAATGTTTCGCTTCCCCATTGTTCTTATTAGTGAACGGCCCATGTGGACTTCTCTAACTATAACTTCCTCAAGATACTTTCACAGTATTCCCTTTTTTAAAAATTGTCAAGCTTTCCTCACCTTTTTCAACTCTTGAACAATTTTCAGAGCAGCATCTCTCAGCCCAAATTGTGGATTTTGATGGAACATTTCTTCAATACACAGTGATACAAAATCTGCAGAAAGGATAGATTTCGGAAGGTAACTCTCCTTCATCTGAAACAAATCAATTCAAAAACAGAATTTAAAAGAAAAATAATTCTAAGAAAATACAATCAAATGTAAAAGTGTTAATTCAATAAAAATCTTGAGCCTTAAGCGATGAAGCAAGAACGCCTAAAAGTAAAAGTAAAAGCAAGTCAATCTATTTTAAAATAATTGCTTTTAAAGTCATTCGCTAGGCTATTAATAGGCCTAATGATGTTTTTAATGATAGCCTGGTGTTGTTATTGCAAACTATATGAAAAGTAGGGGAACACAATGTTAAAAAGAGCACAGACAGTCATTTGAGTCATTTAATTCAATAAACTGAGGCTTCTTTTTATCTGTGCTCTCTGTGGGTTCGGAGGGGGGGGGCGGGGTAGACATTGAACACTCAGGGGGGAGGGGGTAGCCATTGCACACAGCATGACATGTAATCCCTGTAATCCTGTCGTAACACTAACAAATAGCTACAGAATACACACACACAACAAGTACATCGTCAGATGTAGGCTAGATATCTACATGAAGTTTTTTTTTTTTTTGGGGGGGGGTTCAAACTGTGAGCCCATTTAATAGAATTTAGTATAATATCCAAATACCTTTACCTTCCTTCTATTTTTTCTTTCTCCTTTTAGCTTTCCAGTAAGTTAACTAAGCGAATTGGTATACTTAATTAACATTCGGTTACATTCATCAACAAGCTACGCTACGCTACATTATATTCGTCTCAAGTCTCAAGTCTTACAGCAACCCAGTAAAGTAAGAGCAACCTCCGCTTGACTACTGACAACCCAAAAGAAAGAAATGACGGTAGTCGAAATGACAATTAATGTTACAAAAGTAAAGCAATACTGCCCGCTCTCATCACAAAACGTTAGATAACGGTACCCACCGGTAATGAAGGACCAAATAGGAAGATGATATCGAAAGTAGAGTGGGCGTCCATTTTGAAATATGTATCACGTGATACGCCGAATGCGAAAACACCTCCGGCCCCATTTATTATAAACAAGCAAAACAAACTGCTATTTTCGCTGTAGGGATGTCACAGTAACCCTGGTGACAGTAGCATCGACAGAAACGGCAGCATTAAAATGAATAAAATAATTCATTTTTTTTAAAACAACGTGATTTTGTTGTTGTTGTTGTTGTTGTTGTTGTTGTTGTTGTTGTTGTTGTTGTTGCTGCTGCTGCTGCTGCTGCTGTTGTTGTTAAGAAATGAAGAAGAAGGAATTATTGTTTAAAACAATAATATTAATATCAAGGATGTTAAACAGTTGTTGTAGGGTCCTTTGAGTGTAATACATGTGTATATTTTTGTTTTTTAAACATCTCAACGAATGGAACCTCTAACTGCTCCTGTAAAAAACAAACAACCAAAAAGGGGAGGGGGGAGACAACAACAGCTTAAAACAAAACAAACAAACAAAACAAAAAAACCCAGCGAACCAAAGTTAACATGAATAGTGCAGAAGCCTGCGTCAGCGTTGCCAAATGTGCGTTCATTTATAGAAACTGTATAGTATCAATGTTATTAGTATCAACGACTACCCCTACCACAGGCTGTCTTCTTTTCTTTAAAATGCTGTGACAGCCTCTGCAGCTGCTGCTGCTTCTTCTGTTGTTCTCGTTTATGGTACTGTTACCCCTTTCTCCTCCCCCATTTTATAATAAATTTTAATGTTTCCTTTAACCCGCGCCCTACATTACATGATTTGTTTGTTGGAGTTTGTTGGAGTAAAAAGAAACACTCGACACAATAATGGGCTTTTACTTTTAGTGCTAGAAAAAAGTAAGACAGAGACAACAGAAGGAAAGTAAATAAGTGGACCTAGATTCTACCAGCGGCGACCTCCATCACCGTGTGTATCATCATCATCAATGCCTCTCTTCCACGCACCTCCTCCATGTTTCCCGTGGCCTACCCCTGCCTCGTGCTCCTGGAGGGTTCCACTGCAGTGACTGTCTTGTGATGTTTCCGCTGGGCTTTCTTAATTTAAGGTGTGTCCCATCTATCGCCACTTTCTTAGTCCTATTTCTATTTCTATCCTTTTGTCCTTGCATCTGAGCATGTGATCACCCGTGTATACTGAATCAAAATTTTAAAAAGATAATGATATTTTTGTTTAGTCGCTGGCCTTTGGACAGGCGTGCCATGCAAAGTTAAGTGCGCACTGGCAAATTAATAAATGGGCTGCGTAGTAATTTAAAATAATGTTTTTTTTAATCTGACCACTGTTCAAGGAAATAAAGCTCTGAGGTGTGGAAAACTTGTGGAAACATTCGAACGAACCAACTGGAAGTGAACTGGATATCTGGACTGTAGGAGACGAAATTAAACATGACAAAGGAACGGTCCAGACAAACCCACATGCCAAAAAGAGCAGTATCTCTACTATGTTTTTTGTTGTTGTTTTTTTGCCTAGATTTCTTTTCGCTACGTATTAAATTAGAGAGGAAGTTCATTAAAAGGGGGGGGGGGGGGGGGGATTACCATATTTCACACATATAACAAGCATAGTAAGGAGTCTTAAAATCCACCATCAAATTTGAGGAAAAAGTTTCGTTTCCATGGATACGGCGGACATATTGGATTTTGTTGACATGTCTTACGTAATGAATACCGACCTTATTGCTCCTGGAAATTATTTGTATGGGTTTGTTGTTTTTTTGCATACATGTTAAAAAACATTACATGTATATCTAAAAATCTGTCTGTTGTGGTTTTTTCCCTCAGCGAATTAGAAAATTTTTCATGAATTTTTCCTGAGGTAGTATTCGAATTTGCAAAAAAAATCCGTGAAAATCCACTTCAGACACCACCAACAAAAATCTATTCAATATAGACTCTATCAAAAATTAAACAGACAACTTTTTTTATATTACGTCTTCTCTTCATTCTGTGAAAATTTCATGAAGATTGGATGAAAAATGGTGGAGTTATTTAAAAAAGTATAGAGAAAAGTCGCGTTTTGAGAAAACGGCAGATAAAGAAAAATAAAATATATTGACTTTATTAGGAAATGGTGGTGACAAACATGACCGGTATGGGAAGAAATCAGGGGGAGGGGGTGTTCTAATGCGATGAAATAGTTGTAGGAGAGGCTGAGGAAGCTAAAAATATACCTACAATTGAACTCAAATTCCATAATTTTGAGCCGAATCGGGACTTTAGGGCCTTATCCCCTCAATCCTCCTACCTCAAGACACAAACTGGAGGGTTCCAGTGGCGGAGAACATGCATTGTAAATTTGCGGGCAGCGTACTCAAAGTCCTTGTATCGGTCTTTGGTGTAATGGACGAGGTTTAAAAAAAACAATACATGGTATGGGAAAGATAGAAAAAAAAATTCTGACACTACTCGGATTTGAACTCAAACCATGTGCATTATGAAGTTTATTGTAATCACCTGCACTACTGGGGCTGGCTGGGAGGCGGGATGATAGTTGTAATCATGTACAAAAAGAGGAGTGCAAATTGGTCAAGAACGTTAAAACTTCTCTTCAAGTTCACAACGTAAGCCTGTAAACATTTGAAAGTGAGAACTTCAAGGTGAGATCCTCAGGTGTAAGAGAGCAGCTCACAATGATGCCCATGCATAGTCTCTCTCTGCTTTGTTGTTGTTGTCGTTGTTGTTGCTGTTGTTGTTGTTGTTGTTGTTGTTGTTGTTTTACAGCGCTCGAAACTGCATGAGGTCATATGAGCGCGCGTGGCACATTAAATATTTTTAGTTTGTAGGAAAATTTGAATTTTGCCCGGATGGCGGCCGACGCCTACTGAGATTTTTAGCCCTTATCCGAGAAGGCAATGTGTTAGATCTTACACCTACCATAAGATCAGGGGTGTGGCTGAAAGACAGCAGTAAGAAGGAGCCTGCAAGGATTAGCTGTAGACATGCTGCAGAAAGAGTCTGTGGCCTACAGCTGATAGGGCTCTCTCTGCATTGGAGAGGAATTTCAAAAAGTGGTATAGGCTTCTGACTGACTACCCCACTCCTTCACGCCTCCCTAACCTGTAGGCTTCTCCCCATCCCTAACCAAATTGTACATCCTGTGTTTCATCCAAATGTTTTAGTTTTGTAAGAGTTTTAGAACACACGCAACACAACAAGGTCATTTATAAGTGTGTATGTGTACAGGTGTGTGTGAGAGAGAGAGGATGTGTAGGAAAATGTGTATGTATGGTTTGCGCACGTGTATGTCTGTGTGTGTGCGCGTACGGGAGAGAGTGTGCCCGTGCGCGCGTGTGTATGTATCTATGTGTGGTGAAACACCAGACCAAAGAAAAAGCATTTGGACAAATTAAAACTTATCTTATCTTAACTTACCTTATCTTATCTATAAGAGTGGAAGGAAAAAGAATGAGGTGTCCACAGAGTATATGATGAAATGTATTACTATGTAGCCTGCCTGTCTGCCTGTCCTGAGCAACAACGTCATTGCACACCGAACAGGTCCATAAGTGCTCAGTTAACCAAAGCCCGCAAGGTATCCACACTGATTGTTCCGGTGGCTGTCTGATTATGGCGATATCTTTCCTTTCCAGATAGTTGTTCCTTTCTTCCTCTCCCCTCTCTATCCCAATTTCCCGCATCCTAATGATTGCTGGGTGTTTCGCCGTCTCCCTCATCCCGCAACTTTTTCTCCATGGTCTTCAACACTTCTCCTTTGTCAAATCTCACCTCACCATCAACCACGGCACTGCCTGCCAGCCCATCAGCCTCCTCGTTGCCCTTCACTCCACAGTGCCTAGGACAGAATATCAACGTGATGGCTCTAAGTGATGAGTGTTGTATTGGGTTCATCCTTTCACTCAATTAAGCAGGCCTTTCTCAACCCTTCGCAGGATGCTCTGGGAGTCTGAGACAATAATGAGACGGGTAGTTCTCAGTCTTGTGTTTTGAAGCCAGCCAAGCGCTCTTGTTACGGCCTCAAACTCCATTTGCATGCTTGAAATTGTTCTTTCTATGGCCCCTGACATGCTATGAACCTTTTTGTTCCCACTGTACACCACAAAACCCTACCCACTTCTCTCACCCCTCCAGACAGATCCATCTGTGTATAGATCACTGGGTCCTCTGGCTTGGATGCTCCTCAATTAACTGTCATATGTCATTGTCGTTAATGACAGCAGCACATTCCCATCTTTCACGACCCATAATGATGTGAATGTTGGCCAGGCTTCTGCAATCGGGGCTCAGTTCAAACCATTTCTTTCCACAGCATATTTCATCGATGCCACAAACTTTCTTCAATGAGTCTTCGGCTTCTGCCATCCATGAGCTGCCCTGTTTAATCCCGTTTCCTTTGATGCTGCCCAGGTTGTCATGCAAAGGGTGGCTTGAGTCTCCCAAAACATTCAAGTACAGCTTTGCCTGTGCCACCTTATGCCTCACTCTGATGTTGGCCAGGTCAAGGATGTATCTCATTCAGACAACATGGGTGTCCTTTGTGCAACCCAGAACGGCCCTCATAGCTGCATTCTGTACTCTCTCCAACCAGTCTATCTGAGTCTTGGACAAGGAGAGGATGCCCAGACCATAGTCTATAACTGACAGAACCACCAGCTGCATTAGGAGAAAAAGAACTCTCTGTTGAATTTCCGCTGAAGCTAAGGTCTTCACTACATTGATGCCCTTCTGAGCCCGGACAGCAACATTGTCAATATGTCTTCGGAAAGAAATTGTCCTGTCCAGAGTGATTCCCCGGTACTTCAACTCATGCTGTCTGTCTATGAGAAAGTGGTCAAACACAATTGGAGGGGTAGGATCTTTCACAATACGGTTGTTGAGTGAGCACCAGATGACCTGTGCTTTGTCTGGGTTGATGACCGCATTGTATTCCTCACACCAATCTGCGACCTTGTTCAGCCTGTCCTGTAGCACCCATCCAACCGTTAGCCTATCGCGACCTTGTCAGTAGACCATCACATCATCTGCAAAGGGTAGGATTCTTCCTGCTCCACTTACACCGATCCTGGCAATTTTGGATGTATATATGTAGCCTATTTTGAAAAAGCTACCTTCATTTTTTTTACACACCCTTCAAGTAGTACAAAACAATGTTCTTGAAACTACATTTCATGACAAAATCACAAAACAAATCTATAACTATTATTACGTTGTTTATTTTTTTAATATAAAAAAAAGATTTACATAATCATTGCTATTCCCTAGTTTCCATATTATACACAACCTGTATAATTAATATAATATAGATGAATATCTAAAGGTATCATGTAAGGCCTGAAAACAAAATGAAATAAAAAAGAAAAGCAAAAGCATCTTTGTAAAAGTGTAAAGATAAATTATTATGGGATATCACAGATATGGTTATTTTCAAGCGCTAAAAAGACATAGGTTATATATAAGATGAATTACATAATCAAAATCTGCAACAATATTTATTTTTGATTGATGAGCTAATGGACATGCATTTAAAAAATGATGAGCAAAGAGCCTTCAGGTGATACACAACAAAAAATGTAACATACTTAAAGCCAGCTTGCGAAGAATAGGAAGCCTTCAACTTGATGTTAAGATTATCGAGTTTCATGTAAGCCCTGGTATACACCAATATCTTTGTCTTACATAGTCTTAGAATAAAACATAAAGTAAAAAGTATCTATTGAAACCTTTTTAATGAGCTTGAAGAGAATGAAAAACTATTGATTTAATTAATTATGTAGGATTGTATACAATTGACAGCAAAAGATACAGACTTAAGTCCAAAGAATAAGCCTATGAATTTCAGGAAAAGCAAAAAAATATATAATTTCGGAATTGTTTGATGGACTTTGACAAATCTGACGTGCACTACAGATACTACATCATTAAACTATTAATATGAGATGAGCCTAGCTTTTCTGATCATGCTTATAAAAATGCCATAACAAAATGGAATCTTGACTTATAACAGAATTATTTCCATTCAGGTGTAAAGCCTCAAGCGAATACAGTCAAAGTCACATTTGGTGAATGAAAAGATTGCCCACAAATTCTATTCAAAGAATGTGGACTACTTCATCAAAAAATGAACATTACTTCAAGACAGACACATTTTCAACATCAAAGTAGTAAAAAGTTATGCAAAGATTTTTTTACAAATCATTCAGTACAGAAAATTCATAATGACAAAAAGTTTATGAGAATTTTGCTAAATCATCTGAATCATCAGTTTCAATTATAACAATAGATTCGAATGTTCAGTAAATTAAAGTGAGAGTAAGAACAAACCCCACCATACAACAGCATTTTATCTTGGCGCCATTCTCAGAAAACATTTATAGTATGGTCAAAAATTCGTGGTGCGACTTATTTTCAAATATCTCCTCAACTATCGAACATAGGTTCTCCAATTTTTGCACAGTGACTTGTATCGATTTCTCTTAACAGATCAACATTTTTGTTAACACCCACAAGCTGTATTCTAGAAAATTCCTTAATAAATACTAATAAAAAATCCCAGTTTGTGGTTTCTACAGACTTTTAAACGTTTGCAGCTGGGGCAATATAGCTTTTAACAGCAAGTCCGTCAGGTTTTTCGAACCAGGACATTACGCTCATTGAACACATGTTTTGAGAGCCATTAGTGCAAAAATGTGTTCACTACAACAATAATTTCTTGTAACAAGTTTTGCAAATAAAAATTATCTTTGATGAGCTGTGACGTAGGCCATATGCGTAATCAAAATGTGTAGGAGAAGCGGGAAGTGCTGTGAACAATACCATTTTATGCATGACAGAGATTTCAAGTATTTTATAAAAATTTATGAAAAAAAGTTTTTTAATCTAGCCCCAATTGTCCTTGAAAAATATGATTCAGTTAGACAAATTGATACAAACCGCTGAGCAAAGTATGGATGACATTGATTCACCCGTTAAAGAGATATTTGAGGATAAGTTGCACCATGAATTTTTGACGGCACAATAAATATGGGACAGCATGTGTAAGCAAGCTAGTTCACACAATGACATAAACATGTGTGTACGTATACTTGTTTGTTTGAGTAAAGAGAAGCGCATCGACACAATAATGGTCATTTAGTGCTGGGGAAAAGTAAGACAGACAGAAACAACAGAGGGAAAGTAAATAAGCTGGACCCACCAGTGGTGCCCTCCAACCACCTGCATACACATGTATATATATATAATGCAAAAGCTCATAGATTCAAGTTCACATCATCACAATGAAATTAAACAAAGACAATGACTTCCTGATTTTTTTACAAGTTCAAGTACCCGTCGAGAGAAGAACTGAATTACAAAGCATAAAGACCCTACCATACAACACCTGACGTTTCTTAGTAAAGCAACAATAAAGTGTCAGGACTATCATTAAGTAATTATTACACCCATACAGCATGCTGGTGTTGGAATATCTCATTCAAAAAGCTGAAAATTCATTTTGAATAAATCTATTCTTTTCACCTGAATCCCAACATTTGCTACATGCAAACAGTGAGTCTTGATTAACAGTACTTATTCCTTCCATTTACAGACATTTATCCCTATGTTTAGTGTGGTGTGTGGGAGCATACATGTACAGGAATAAGTTGAAGAGTACTTGGGATTGCTTTCAGTTATTCGAGCTGAGCCTGATCTTTGGGGTAAGAGAGTATGGTACAACGAATTGCGAAAAGGAGAGCGAAAGAAGGAATAGCAACAACAAAAAATCAAGCATCCACACAAATACATGATATGTGAGGCATCGAGGTGAAATAAGGCGCTTGTCAAATAATGAAATCGAAGAAACTAGCATTTGTCCGCTGATTTGGCAATTTTTATCAAATTTTTGTTGCTTTGAATCAACATTTTTTAGGTGTATTTAAAAACACTTTTCAGAGTGGATTTCACAGAAAAATGTTGATTAAAGGCACAATAAATGTAAATTTTCAGTTCAAAATCTCTCAAACTTTAGAAGTCGCCAAACTTTGGAATCCATTTTCTCGCTAACCTTACCACTGAAACCAGGCAACCCCACCTCCTTCAATTGCAAATACTTCGACTTCAATAGATGGGTAGTTTTTCATAAAAAGCAAGACAAATGAACAAGCTTTAACTACTTTAAGATGATGCCAATAACTCCACGTGCCCAAAACTTGACAGGCGCCCTATTTCAGCGCATAGAGACACATATATACTCACAAACAAATAATAAACATGCTTCTGAGCAGAGGTCATTCAAACTTACACTCATCTGATCATTTCATCTCATTCAAGTTTTTCATAATCAAGCAAAGCAAGTTGAATCAATTTAAAGGTGATTCCAACTGATATGGTTATAATGCTTTTTCAAGAGTAATAAAGTGAAAATTTTTATGATGTATGTTTTAAAGCTTCAGTTGAGGAATGACTGGCAAGAAATTATTACCGGTTTAAGAACAAGCCTGCAGTTATGATAAAGCTTCTCTGCATAGTGAAAAATTGTGAGGGAGATCTTAATTGCCAGATTACGTTGTTTTCAAGTTATGAAGTTTAAATTCTGGCATATTTTACTGTACAACTCATTTGTACATGGTTTTAAAATGTGCCAAAAAAGGAAAGCAAAATGTATGGACAGAGAAGGCTAAAGAGAGACTTATATTAAAAACATTTGAACTCTGTCGATTACGGACCAATTTACGGACCAATAGTATAGTAGGAAAAAACTCCATCAATTAAGTTCTTGCCAAATGAAAATCAGTTCGAGAACTTAGAGCTATCTTGTCATAACTCCATTTTTCTGGCTTTTATGAAAATCACTTCAAAAGAGCTGAATTCCAGTGCTGAAAACAGGATCAAGTACAAAATAAAACTGAACTTCTAAGGAACAAGAGCCGTAATCATTTTGGACCCAAAGGGAATTTTTTTTTAAAAGTCTTGACAGCTTTGATAAAACTTCTTAAAGTCTGAAATAGGAGTTAGCCCTGGATAGCACTCAGCACGTAATTGATCTTCAACGATTACTTCTCGAAAGTTCCTAAATTCACATTTCTTAGTTTTTTTAAGGGAAAGATTGTGAAGGTGCTGCCTGGAGTAATCACAAAACATCAGATCTAGTAAACAGTTTATTGAATACAGTAGATAACAAGTCATGTAGGGGTACAAAAAATTCGCTAAAGTCACAAATAATACCTCTCATGAGCATTTTTCTGAAAGCAGGTGAAAATATTATAATGTTTCTTTATCCAATTTAAAAGATTTTCCCCTTAGGTATAACAAAGAATATGTTAAAATCTATATTAAAATTATTATTTCTTTATCGTTTTAAAATCTCTAAATCTGATGAATATTGCTAATGATTGGGTGTTCTTTGTGAACCTACAGATAAGTTCTTAATTCTGTCCAGATGTATCGCTGATATATCTGCAAGGCTGGGGTGTCTCAGTTTTGTTTCGTTTTAACATGGTCCGTCATAAACAAGTACTTATTATTGTCACTAGAAAACATCGGAAGGATTTAGAAATTGAAAACATCTAGTTTCTCTCGTCAAAGCATGAGTTTGGCAATAAACGAATGAATTCATTCTTGCTGCTATGCATCATCAGAATGATGTAACCCCACTCAGTACAAATATCATAACTCAAACAAAAATTGAAATACTGCTTTCAAATAAAAGGCTATCCATTCAAAAAAGTGTGGATTATGCTCTTGGGCTGTATCTGATTCGACAGCTATACTGATTTGCTTTCATAAATAAATTTGGTGAGTGTATTTTTTTTCAGTTAAAATGTATTTTTCTCATCCCTCATTCTGACCCTTGCTATACATGCTTATGTTCAAAATTTATCCTTGTTTCATGTCTGAATGCATTCCTCATTCAATTTTCTTCAATTTGATATATCACATGTTACTTTTTGAGTGATGGCTTTGCTTATGAAGTTACTTTGTACGTCACCCGTAAAGCCATATCGAGCCAAAAATTAATTACGTCTAGACCCTGAAAAACGAATTCCAGAAAGAGTAAATCTATCCCTTTTCCAATCCGCACAAAACTTTCTATGTTCTGTTGTATACCTGTGTGTTTTAAATCCATTAAGATAGAAAACTGTAAGTTAACTCTTTTAGTATTCCGTAAACTAAAAATAAATGTAAGCACATTACCAGAAGCAAAGAAGATGACAAAGGTATACAAAAACCATGTCAATCTGTAGCGATTTGTACCAACAAATCTGATCCAATTCTCTAACAAAGTAACAACAGTGAAACAATAATTGATCATCGAAGGACATGTGCATGCCTACAATGGCCAAAAACCACAGCTTCATAGAAAAATACAAAAACCACAAAGAACAAGTCTCTGAATTTTGTCATGAATTAGGAATGAGGTCAACAACTTCCTTGAGCAAACTGGCTTTCATTGAGATAAGTAAATGCGACAATCAACAAAACAAACAGAACTGATAACATAGAGATGGAAATTTATACCTGTTGAGCCAAGTCATTTGTTGAACCAAATGATCACAGTCAATCTTAGCGAAAACTAATATCTCTTTAAACAATGACAAAAGCCATCCTAAAGATTTTGACAACACATCACAAAAGAGGTGATAGAAACAAAATAAAAGTGTAAAAACCGGTTACGCTACACAGATCATATTATTTCAAGCAGGAACCTTTGGATACAAATCTTTTGTACTGATAATTCTCCACCAAGAATAATTTGGATAAAAACTGGAAAAGCCATTAGCACAGTCTGCAAATCTCAATAGATGAAATATACCGGTACTGAATTCCTTGAACTCTCACACTTAAATAACAATTTTTCTCATTATTTTCCTGTCAAATCTGGTGCAGCCCTTCTGTTACTGAAAACTTCTGTGAAGGAAATCATTTGCACAGATACCATGTTTGTTTTTTAGGTGTGTTGTTCAGTTATCCTCCTTAATAATAATAATTGCATTATATAGAGAATATTCATGCTATAGGCTTTACAACTACCATTATTTCAGCAAACCCTGGAACACTCAGAACATTCTCAGCTTCCCATGAGGCGTATAGTGCAGGCTGCCATACAGGTATTAAAACACTAACATACTGACAAAGATCTGTCGTTGTCTATTGCCATGTAACCATTCGAACGCGGGAGGGCGATTCGCGTAAAGTGCCTTTCCTAAGGACACAACCATCAGGCCGAGGTAAGCTTCAAACCCCCAAACCAGCAACCTCAGGATTATAATTTGAGTTGATCTCCCCAGAACCATCATGAGGAAACCAATGCTGCAGTAAAAGCTTCAATCATTAAACTATATTATTATATGAAGAGCAGCCTTAACTAATACAATAAAAACTCTCATGACCACAGAGAAGTTACAACTGAGCTGCAACATCTTGTGCGCAAAAAGCAATAGAAGATAGTATTTGTGCTTAAAGTAGGCCTACTTATTGTAATTCTTTATAATAGGAAATCATTCTTGTTCAAAATCACAAATTAACATATTTCATCAAAGCCACTGATAGAAAATACCCCAAAAAATATTTGCATTCAGTTCTAGTTATCTACATCATACATGTACAATTATAACAAAGCCCAACAAATAAGGCCAAAGATTACAACAGCAAATGTTCACTTCACCTGACACATCCCAAATGCATCTGCCATTTGATACAAAACATTGCTGTCCAGTGTTTAAGTTTGGATGCTTCCCAAGAGATTTTAAAGCTACATCAATTAAATTAAAGTTTATAACATTTCGTCGTCATCCTCATCTTGATGTGCCATCTTTTTCAATAATCTTTTCTTCTTTCTCTTTCCCTTTGGCTTCTCATTATCTCTCAGAGGAGGCAAACGACCTGAAAAGTTGTTAAGTTCTTGTTCACTACTCATACCAACTCCCATACCCACATAATCCATCCCCTCATCGTATCGATTTTGTCGATTTCTTTCGCTAATCTCATCATCATAACGATTCCGCCTATCTCGTCCGCCATAATCATCCTCACGCCACCTCTTCTGATCATAGCCTTCTACCTGACTTCTCCTCCTGGAACCTTCATACTCCTCCTGTGGTTCGAACTTTCTTTGGGAAGATCTTGAGAACTCTGTGAATGGATTTCTTGTTGCTGAGTAATCATCTCTTGCATTTATACTCATCCTTGAGCCTTTCCTTGACAACTTCCTAGACGTTGCACTGAAATAACACATAATTTCAAAAGTCACCAAGGTTTCAAAAAAAAAAAAAAATCACCAGACGTTCCTGTCTCTTTAGCATCTACCCAAACATTTATATTATACATACCAAAAGTCTTTACCTTTATCCCTGGAGAATAGAGACCATGGGCGTGCATAGTAAGTCAGGTAGGCTTTAGTTCCCAATGGAGACCTCAACTAGACTTTCATTGTCTTTTCTTTCTTTCTCTTCTGCTTATTTCTTTTTATTTCTATCTCAAACAGGTTAAACACTAGTAATATTTACTTCTACATTTTCACTTAAAAACAGGGTTAATGTATTATGCCATTTCCAATAAAAGCTACAGTATGATTGACTGCTATCAAAGAATCAACCTCTAACATAGCATATTTGCTAGGAGGATAGGCAACACATTAAAGATCAAACCATTTTCTGACAGCAACTGTACTACAATGCCATACTGATTTAGAACAGCCAAAATGGCAGCTCAGATTCAATGAAGTCGCTTGCAGGGTGAACAAACCCCCCCCCTCTTCCCCCCCTTGTGGCTTTGCTCATTTTTTCTCCCGCAACAAACTTTATGGATTCCTGGAAACCATCTATGGCATTTGTATTGTGAACCATTATTCGCTTGGTCAATTGTTTATTCTTATGCAAAAAATCAGCGGCCTTCTTTCATACCACATGCACACACACACATACACACGTGTCTTAGCAAGTATCTGGGTCGGACATGCGGCCAGCACATGTCATGTTCATTCTCTCAAAAACTGAATTTAGCAGTTACAATTGAAGAAGTAGCTTTGACGATTACTACTCTAAACACAGTCTTATGTCTTCTTGCTCATTACACAAGGTAGACAATAACAAATTAATGCAAAAATAGTCACAAAAATACCTCTTATTCAAAGACATCACAGACCCCCTTCTATGCAACGGGGCAGGGTTCGAGTACTGTGCTGTGTAAATCCGATCTGCCAGAGTGCTTTGTGATGGCTCGGGCCTGAAAAAAAAAAAGAAAAACTTTTGACTGGACTTTTGGTGAGGTAAATTAACATTATCAAATATTTTTTCATCCTCTTGAAAAAAAACAACTAATTCCACTGCTGCATATTCACCAGCAACAATCATAATTTCAATGCTACAAATATTTCAGAGCATTTTTGTGAAAATGGACATTGATTTAAGACATGTTTATTTCCCTTGATTGAGCCAGTTAAATAATCATAGTACATCAATGTGTAATGTATAATATTACTGAAACAAATTCTTCCCCGTCTTGTTTGCCTCTCCTAAAAATAAATTGTTTGAATGGAGAACTATTAGATTATGATGTATTCACATACCCCTTTCTAAGTAAGTCCACGTTTCTTCAATCCAAATACACTGGGTTTTTTTTAGCAAAAGCACAAAACAAACGTTTTTGGAGGGTTTTTTGGTAGAGAAACAAAACCTTATCTATTTACATTTGAGTAAACTACAGAATGAATGACAGAACCCCTAAAATGTTAAACAGAAGCCATCCTGACCTAAGCCATACCCCAGAGGCGTTTTCATGTTCATAGTTCAGAAATACAATTAAGGAACTTGAACCAACCCAAAAAATTGAGAGAAACAAAACATAAATAAAAGGAAACATTATGAAATAACACTCTCAAAGGTGAGCAAACAATGATTTCGTACTGGAGCACCCCTGCATTCTAAGAACAGATTCCATATATTGTTACAAATTACAGTTTCATAAATGATAATTCAATCCCAGTTGTTATAAAAACATTTGTAAAGTAGCAAAATATCAGGCCATTTAATCCAACAAAAAAAGAAAAGAATTCATTTAAATCCCATTTTATTCCCACTACACAAGATGGGATTGCCAAAGGTGCATGTAAGGTTCCACTAATTTTTTCTTCTGGTGTGACTTTTATGATGGAGAAACTTAAGCAGATGTCCTGGCTATCACAATGGTCCTTTCCGACTTGCTTGAAACAATATAAAATGCTTGCAAAATAGAGTTCCACTCAAATCTTTTGTTAACATTCACTAACTTGCATTAGTAGAAACATAACATAGACAGAACTATCTGAAAATCCCTGACCTTACTGTTATACACTCAGTGAGGTGTGCAAATAAAACAAATGAGGAAAATATTCAAATAAATTCAGAACATGAATAAGCATGAAACCTACTCGATGCAGAAACACGACTCAGACTGCAAGCTCTGAAGCAAAAACATCAGGAACCTGATGCATTCCTGGATTTGTGTCCGCAAAGTCCATAAATAATTTGGGACTTTTAATTTTAAGGTGGTTTTTTTTTACACTTTGCAGTCACACAGCCAGCAGTAGTAAATATCCAATCTGGTCACCCAGCTAAGAGAGTGACTGCAATGGACTTCTCAGGCCTGGCGCAGTGACTGGTACGGATAATTTTCACCGTCGCATTATTGCACCAAATGACCGCAAAGTGATAAACACCTACACGGAGTCAAGCATGGAGTCTTCTCAGAAAAAACTTGAGGTCAAGTGCATACCTTTCACATGTAAAACAAACCTTGGCTACTTTGACAATTGAAAAATAAAGAAGAAACAGATCAAAAAGAACATGCAGAGTACTTAAAATCAGCCCATATATAGAGAAACATAAGGGACAATAAATTCTAGTAAGAAACTTGGCCTAATTACTTTATATGAACATTGCTTACTCAGTATAGTTAACAGCCCCTTCAATCTGGAAGGGAAAAATAGAGAACTAAGAAGATGGAAAAATGAGAGACCAAAGGAGGGAAACATGAACAATAATTACCAGAGAGCTTCATGACTCACAGGTGACCTCAAAGGAGACAAAGTTCACTCTAAGAGGTTTATATCTCACACATGACTCACAGGTGACCTCAAAGGAGACAAAGTTCACTCTAAGAGGTTTATATCTCACACATGACTCACAGGTGACCTCAAAGGAGACAAAGTTCACTCTAAGAGGTTTATATCTCACACATGACTCACAGGTGACCTCAAAGGAGACAAAGTTCACTCTAAGAGGTTTATATCTCACACATGACTCACAGGTGACCTCAAAGGAGACAAAGTTCACTCTAAGAGGTTTATATCTCACACATGACTCACAGGTGACCTCAAAGGAGACAAAGTTCACTCTAAGAGGTTTATATCTCACACATGACTCACAGGTGACCTCAAAGGAGACAAAGTTCACTCTAAGAGGTTTATATCTCACACATGACTCACAGGTGACCTCAAAGGAGACAAAGTTCACTCTAAGAGGTTTATATCTCACACATGACTCACAGGTGACCTCAAAGGAGACAAAGTTCACTCTAAGAGGTTTATATCTCACACATGACTCACAGGTGACCTCAAAGGAGACAAAGTTCACTCTAAGAGGTTTATATCTCACACATGACTCACAGGTGACCTCAAAGGAGACAAAGTTCACTCTAAGAGGTTTATATCTCACACATGACTCACAGGTGACCTCAAAGGAGACAAAGTTCACTCTAAGAGGTTTATATCTCACACATGACTCACAGGTGACCTCAAAGGAGACAAAGTTCACTCTAAGAGGTTTATATCTCACACATGACTCACAGGTGACCTCAAAGGAGACAAAGTTCACTCTAAGAGGTTTATATCTCACACATGACTCACAGGTGACCTCAAAGGAGACAAAGTTCACTCTAAGAGGTTTATATCTCACACATGACTCACAGGTGACCTCAAAGGAGACAAAGTTCACTCTAAGAGGTTTATATCTCACACATGACTCACAGGTGACCTCAAAGGAGACAAAGTTCACTCTAAGAGGTTTATATCTCACACATGACTCACAGGTGACCTCAAAGGAGACAAAGTTCCCTCTAAGAGGTTTATATCTCACACATGACTCACAGGTGACCTCAAAGGAGACAAAGTTCCCTCTAAGAGGTTTATATCTCACACAAGCATGAAACCAAGACTTCAATTTGTTCATCTTTGACACTAAGAACTACTGTCAAGTGGCAAACTTTCTGATCACAATCTCTAAAAGGCATTTTTTTTTAAAATTCAGACTTTAAAAAAAGCTTGAGTTGGAGTAAAGAAGCAACATAGACACAATAATAATAATCATTTAGGGCAGGTAAAAAGTAAGACAAACTGATAGAAACTACAAAGGAAAAGAAAAGATACAGGACCCTCCAACCACTTGTACCATAAAAGTTAACTAAACTAAAAGTTGGCCAAACAAAAAGTTTCAACATTACAAGGAAATCATAAAAATTATGAAAATTATCACAACAAAGACAAAAGAAAAAGAAAAGCAGGACAAAAGTTAGGCTGACATCACACTTTATAAGTCCAGGTCCAGTCTATTGACAACATCAACCACAAAATGAGCCAGCAGTGAAAAAGCAAAAGCACTGAAACTGCACTGAGAACAACGCATCAGAGATATTAGTGGATGTAGAGCACCAAAAAAAAAATTGCTAAAAAAGCAGACTACATCTACAATCCAATGTTTCAAAATATTTTTTTTTAAAGATTAAACCAGAAAACAATAAAGGATTTAGTAGGAGCAAAAACTGAGGTAAAACTTTGTACCAGAATTAATAAAACATTTGAGAGAATCTTCATGCAAAATTAACTGAATATTACAACCTTTATCACACATGTACTTTAAAAATGGCAACACTTTTATCAAAAACACCATGCACTTGAATATAGACGAATAACAAGCGTGAGTTGCCTTAAGTGTTTTTTTATATTTGATTTTTTTTTTTAAGAACTTTCAAATACCAAAACACCCTGAGGGAAACGTGAGCTTGTGCTTCCTCAAACGATAAATTAGAGGAAACAAAAGAGAAAGATCTATCATTGAAGAGCTATGACATTTTTTTTTTTGCCATTTTGAAAAGACACTGCAACCAACAAGTGCATAATTCTACGTACGTACGCTCCAGATCTGAATATTTTATGTCAATAGGAAAAATTTAAGAGAGGTAAATTCAGATTTTCATTTTTAAGAGGTATAGACTGCAAAACCATTGTTCTTTTGTCCCAGCTTGTCAGCATGACTCAAGAGTTAAGAGAAAATTTACATCATATAAAATGAACAATACTCAAAACAAATGAATGTTATCTCAAAAACATACAAAATTATTTATCACTCAAATTAAATAATAACACCTTGCAGATCTCTATTATTTAGACAAATATTTGTCCTCTAGAAAAAAAGTAGTCCCCTCCTTAAAAGTATCATATCGTATTGTATCTCATCATGTGAGTAGAACACCTTTTTAAGTGCAGTAAGAATGTTTCAGAGACAGGTTCTCTGAGATAAACAAGCCAAGGAATGTTGGGGAGGAGGGGAGTGGGTGTCTTGAAAAAACAACCTGGGATAAAGGAAACCACACTGAGTAGTCCAGTGGTCCAGCATTCTAGCATGATAAAACCCAATATTGCCATGCCCCATTTTCTGAACTAAGAAACTTATAACATTTAAAAGAAAAAGCCATCCCAGGATTGCCATGTTGCTGTTATCCCAAGATGTCAATGTTTTGTTGTTTTGTTGTTTTTTATTGTTGTTTTTTTTTTAGGGGGGGGTTTCAACTGAAAAGTTTATAATACACTATGAAAGCCATTGAAAAGTAATTATGGACAGTGCACTGAACAACTCCACTTTAAGAACAATTTGCTTTTCCAGCCTCTGTGACAAGAAACCCGATATTTACTCTGTTGCTGTCGTAAATAGTTTCATACAAAGATTATCAACAGACAATTCAACAAATAAGCTTGAGTGGAGGATCAAAAGAAAGAAGAAACAATGCACAAAAACAAAAGGCAGACTCTTTAGAAAACAGAACACTTCAGATCCTACGTATTAATTTTTTTCAGGCAATGAAGACTCACAGCATAAGCAATGGGCAGCTTTACCTTGGCTACCAGGTAAGGTCACTACAGCAGTCTCCGCCTCAGATCCCAGTGCTCAGGTATACGACAACAAATTGGTTAAGTTAGCCGAATGGGCAAGTTTTGAATGTGATTGACCAACTATATTGTCTGAACATGCCACAAATTTCAAAAATTCAATTTTGAGTCTTTATTCTCCTCTTCCTGTGGCCAGAACTGAACTGACATGCCCTGGGATCTTATATCGCAGACAACTATATTTACATCACAAACACTTCTCCTGCTATAAGCAACAAAAAAAAACCTGCTTCCTAAAAAGCACCACTGGAGGTGATTTCCATTAAAACTGCTTGCACTGACCGGGGATTTTACACCTACAGTAAAATACCAGGTCAGAGATAGCTGCAGCTCCTGTTCTCGCTCATGAATGAAAACTGCAATACAAACCAGCAGCAGAATTGCATGAAACCAGGGTTCTCAAGATGAGAAAATATGTTACACGCTGGAGAAGTGTTAAATGGCTACAAACAAGTTGTGACACACAAAGGGATTTTTTTTTAAACAACAGAATATTAAAAGAAAAACTCAACTGATCTACAAATTGAATTTCAGCTTACATGTTTTTGCTGTTTTGATCCTCCTCATAGATTTTGTTGAGCATTTCACTGATGGACTCCTCTGTCTTGCCAGGGAATAGCATGTGCAAGACATCTGTGAGTTCATTGCGACTCAATTTGCCAACTTTCACAAGTCCAGCGATGAAATGTAATTCCTCAAAAGGAAAAAAAGAACAAAATTAATCATTTACTTAACAGAAATCAAACAGACAAATGGGGATAAAAGTTTTCACGGTGAGCACAAAGAATACATCAAAAGTAGTTGGTTTGTGACTTCAGCCATATTGCACAGGATGAAAAAGGGACACTTTCTTTTTTACCACTGTCCTGTGCGTTGAGGGGAAAAAAAAGACATTTCAGAGGAAATGCTTACTATGCTATTGCTGTTAGAAATTAACATTTTTCTGAAGGATATAAGTCCTCTAAAATTGACAAATTTCCCTTCTTTTTTCAATTTCCAATCTTCTCTATACTTTATATAACCTTTTTGAGAACAGACAAGCCAAAAGTCAGCATGGGTTAGCTGGTTGTGGGACCTAAGTACATTCTGAAATATGTCTATAGATAAAGAAAATTACTTTTCAGATACAGAAAATAATCATTTACAGATTCAAACATACCGAGACAAAAACATAAAGGGAAATTGAGCCCTTTTATTCCATAATGCAAGCTGATGAACACACATAAACTTTGAGTAGTTTACACTACAACTTAAAGATTAAGCTTGAACAGTACCTGTTCTTGAACAATCTTTTGCTTCTGGATATCAAAATCTCTTTTTGTATTTTCTAGAGATTGGTTAATTTCTCTGTCCAGTTTGTTCCTGAAAAAGAAAATAAATGTATATTTCTTAATTCAACACATTATCTTATTCCTACATGATATTATCAATTTTTCAAATTGCATGATAGCAAAATGAACGATGAATGAATGAATAAATTTAACTAAGTAAGGCAGTAAGGCAAAGTTATTTGAATTACTATGAAGAAAAACAATACATACCACAACCAGTTTGCATGGACACAAACATTAACTTGATAAACATGAAATTGAGAACTTTCTCTACTTTTCAAAATACAAGAACTCCCTTTAACTCACTGACTACGGATCCCATCACGGGTACGGGGCGGTCGGTTGGTTCGCAGGTACTGATCCCGTACCCCCGACGGTTTTGTTTCGTATCTTGTGCTCCCGTCACATGAACGGGAACGGACTCCAGTGCTAGTTTTGCCTCTTGTTTCGCTTCGTGCCGAGTTTGGCGGAAGTTTCGTGGTAAATTTTTAAGCAATTGAAGGTGAAGGACAGTCACCTCATCTGGGGTTGACCTGACCGGAACTCGCGTTATGTTTTTTCTATACAAATGATAGTAATCCGATAGTTGTGTCGAAGTAACGGTTGCATGAACAAGAATCAAATAATTTCGCTGTTTTCGATACTGTTGTACGTTTTGCTAGTTCTAGTGACTCAGGATATGATGTGTCTGATAGTTAAGACCCTGGATAGGTACCCGAACACGGCCCGAGTCATAGTTTTAGGGCTAAATCTAGCACTAGTACTGTTGTGTTGTCCGCGCGATGAAATCACAACTTCGTTACCTACATCTGTGTCATGTAATTCAGTGTATGGGACTGAATAAACGCACAGACCAGCTTTTATATTTTCACCAAACACTCACACATGGATACAAATCAAAACAGAACACTTTGAACTTTTATTTTTGTTGTTGTTGTGAATTTCATTCTATCTGTCATGTCTCTGGAAATTTTTCGAAAAATCAAATTCGTTCCAATTTTGAACAATCATATGAATTAAAGTATTAGACTTAGAGAACTTAAATTTTTTGCAATAGATTAAGCTTGAACGCTACTTTACTGTGTCAAAAAATAATTACAATAGGGTAATTCTGAGAGTTGTGGTGGTGTTTTGAAATACCCCCAAAAATGCCAGTACTCAGCGCTAGTGATTTGTGAAAGGGGCCAGTATTCAGTGAGTTAACAAAGAGCACACTATAACACACTTGCAGCTAAGTGTGTCATACTACTCCCTCCGTTCAGTTGGATCATGCAACAGCCAAAGAGAGCACATGAATCAGTGGAAATACGTGAAATAACACTGAAATAAAAGGAGCAAATGACCATGGCCATTTTAACTCACTCGGTCCCACAACAGTCAGGACAGCTGAAGGAAACCAGAATGTTATGTACCCTATATATGACACTCCCCCATCATCCACAAACAGTTCTTCACACCAAGAGTGTTTTTACCTTTTTACCTGCACTGATGACTCTCTTTTCAATATTTTTACTTTAATTGTTAATGGGGGGGGGTCTGGAATATCCCATTGAGAGCATATTTGATTGCAAAACTCCCATAATATAGTTTAAGAAAGACAAAAAATATCATTACCACTTCTCCAATATGATAGGATGTACTAAAACATTACCATTCAAACAAAACACTGTTCTGTCAATAGATTAATCCTCTACTTTGTGATTAGGGTAATTGCATAAGCTTTGGATTTTACTTGCCAGACATTCAAAGTGTTTTTGCTTCAGATGTTCTTGGAGGCAATGGGAGAGAAGACATAGGCCTACAACAAAACTTGTGTTTTTCCTTACACATGGCAGATGCCCCAGAGAGGTTGAGGTAATCTCCCTTCAGAAAATGGTTGCACAGAAGAACATTTTAACCTTATCCGTACGCCTGGGATCATTTGGTATTTAAGAATACTTCTAGTGCGAAGGTCTCTTTGAAACTTTCAGTATACTCAAAAAATCATTTTGACAGACTGCTATGCAAAGCATACAGATCGGATAAACGAGTAAATTTCCTCTTTGGAAAGTGGGGGCACAGAGTTCCCCACGTCGTATGGATACGATAGTAAAACACTATGTACGGATAGGGTTAAAAGTTGTTACCTCTTCTGTAGGCACCAAAAAGTATATATGTACTTTTAGCTTGACAGAGTCCTGCATATCATACATAAGCAAAAAGCAGTGCTAACCTACATGCAAAGTCATGAATGTCAGCTTCCTAGAGCTCTACTTTCCTACATATCCACACAGCATGAACACAAACAATAAGAGGGATTGTAGCCCTATGTAGCTAGTTGTTCCATTTGGTTTACGTGCTGTGTTACGCCCAGAACAAGTGTCACATATCAAAGCCCTAAACAGTTATGTAAAAATCCATAACAGCAAAGCAAACTAAAAAAATTTTAAAAAACACAGCTTTGAGCAAGAAGAATGCTGCTTACTTCGTAAATTGAATGATTGGCAGTCATGTATCTCCAAGAATATTTCTTCCTTTTGTGTCATGATTCAGGCTTTGTTTAAATAGGGTCATGACTGTGTTACAGACATGGTTGCAATATGCAGGTAAAGAAAATGAAAAATGACCAGGCAACTCTCAGAAGTGGTCACCTAAACAAGAAGCTGGTTTGCACAATAAAATTACAATTATTGTATTTTGGAACATTTGACGACTACCAAAATTCAGTCATTGTGGATAGGAAATTCTATGACTGAACTCAATACACTTTATGCTCTCTCAAATAATAGATCTTGCAAAAATTCATAAAAGCAAATGTACTGTGGACATAAAACAGAGAGTATTGATGGAGAGGGGAGGAAAGTATATATGGGCCCCTCCCCTTCCCCCTTACTCAAATTTCAATTTCAGCTTACTTAAATTTCTCCATTTCCACAATGTGCTTATGCATGAGAAGCATTCTCCGGATCTTAGCACTAGCTTTGTTGGTGGCTTTCTGAAGTATGGACCTCATCTCATTGTCTTGTCTCTCCACCATGGACTTCTCTCGCTGCATCAGTCGCTCCTGGAGTTTGGCACGAAGCATCTGAAAAACATACACCTCATTGTCAAGTCACTTCACCATCTACAAGATAAAGAAAATAACACTTGGTTCAAATATTCCATTAAGTCTTGGAGCTCATGTTTCTGAAGCTTTCATAATATTTAAAAGAATTCTAAGAATATTACTACCGTTAAACAAATTCAAATGCCAGATCAACACTTTCATTTTTAATAGGTAATAGTACAACCGTGTGATCACAAACATTATTCTTAAAACTTATAAACAAAAAAAGTTTTACAAGGTTCATAAAACAACTAAATAGGATTCCTCTAACAAGAACAAAAAGTTGCCTTTTTATAAGTTACAATGCTATTACCATAATTCATTCAAGTTTTTATATGTATATCCTTACAATTAGAAGCATGAATATATGGGTTTAAGACTACATTCTATCTTCTATATTCTGACCAGTGTATGCAAGGCAAACGGATAATAAACCTGCCTCCACCTGGGGGGTTTGTTCAGACAAAAGTCAGCAAAATTGGAAATTATTATGTGTGCACATGAGCAGCTGTCTTGAACAAGAAACTTGAAATGTTATCAAAATCCTTAATTAATGTATGCTGTTACAATACACAAAAACAAATATGAAGAGAGGCACAAATATGTTGACATACAAATACAGTATTGCAGTGACAAAACTTTCCTCCTCACAAATCAAGGCAAACAAAATTTGCAAAACAGGCAATTACAAGTCTTGACGATCTTGAGAAAACTGACAGAGCATCTGATGTCAAAAGTGCTTTAAGCACATTTTACGATTTGATACAAGTCCTCTGCGGACATATGGTTGCTAAAGGTAACACTTTTTGTACCACACCATGCATAATTTAGTTGAAAGACCGAAATGATATGATGCTCAGTCACAAAAAGGTAACTTTAACTCCGGGCAAGCTTTGAAATAACAAGTTGGGACTTGTCAACGCACAACAATGCACACTTTCAAGCAACAGAAACGTCTATCTCAAGTTCATGACTTCACTTACAAAAGCAAAATCATTAGTAAGCAATTTTTTCTTTCAATATATCTGAAAAATGTCAGCTCAAGCCACCTATCCAATTTACCTGTTCTTGTTTGTTCCTTTGTCCATCCAGCTTTTGGTTGAGTTTTTCGTGCTCCTTAAATATAAACAACAGCATATTATATTACAATCTTGAATTTATTTTTAAAATATCTTGGAAGGTAATGAAAACTATCAATATCTGTTTCCTACAATGAATAGACATGACACCATCATGGCCAAATCAAAAATGCCATATCATTGTTCCAGTGGGATCTTCAGTAGTCTCCGACACTCATTTACTCGCTGTACAAACTCATCAAAATTTCATTACACTCAGCTTCCAAGTTTGTATTTTATCAGCAAGTTTATATCCATTTACAATTTCCTACAAGTTTTATCTACAATTAAGATAAGATAGGATAAGATACCATTATACTTTATTATCCCAGGGGGGAATATTTTTTGGCTGTACAGGACCCTAAAAAGACATGCAGTTATACATAAAAATTTTAATGACATATTAATCTCATTAAAATTCAAATGAAAAGAAAAGTGAAGCTAACAAAATGTACATATCACTTCAGATGCATCATTCAACCACATGAAGGAATTTAATTGCAAGACCTTTAGAGTTATACGAAGAATATACTATTGTTATATTAAAATATCCAACCAAGCTGACCAAAAGAACAAACATATGAATGCTTAAGTAAATATGAATATCATTTTCAGAACAGTCAGCATTTTTAAAATTATCAACATCAGTACTGCAAAATGTTTTTTTAACAATCTATCAATTTATTGCAAAGCATCTTATCAAGACACGATATATACACAATTGAAACTTACTTGTTTATGAATATCAAGAATTTTCTCCATTTCCGGAGTTGACAAAATTCCCCTCGCATTCAAGTCATCCATCAAATTAGCCTTCAGATTGTTTATTGCTTTCTGCTGTTCTTCGATTTTTGCCACCTGTAACAAAAGTTATCCAATTAAACAGATGTGAATAAAAATACAATAGCACTCTTCAGAGAAAAAAACAACAAAAACCTTGAAATTGATTCTTTTACACCCCACTGGAGAACAACCATAGTTTCCCCATCTGATATGAGCTACAAATACATTTCATTAATATTTCTTGCGATACAACAGAAGATGGTGGAGTTAAAATTTGCAGCTATATGGATTTGTTTCTTTGGTTTTTGGTTTGTTGTTTTGTTTTCTTGTATTTTTTTTAGGGGGGGGGGTGGTGGGGGTATGAGTGTCTTTATTTTGGGTCTATATAATTTATACATCAATGCAGTAGAGTATCAATGAGAGAGAGAGAGAGAAAGAGAGAGCGAGAAAGAGAGAGACAGAGGGAAGGAGAGAGAGAGAGAGAGAGAGAGAGAGAGAGAGAGAGAGAGAGAGAGAGAGAGAGAGAGAGAGAGAGAGAGAGAGAGAGAGAGAGAGAGAGAGAGAGAGAGAGAGAGAGAGAGAGAGAGAGTACACAATCTAGAATCATTCAGCACTGTAGCATATCATGGTCAGGGTCAGGATAATTTTCTTTTAGTGACACCACGAAAGTCAATCACTTTCACTATGTTATACAAAAAGAGAAACTTCTTTGTTTGATACACTATAACATGAATTTTTTATACGTATTAGAGATTTCTTTTTAAAAACATCTACCTCTCTTGCTTTGTCCATCTGCAAGGATGTGATCATTGCACCAAGTCTTTCCTCTTGACCCTTCAGAGCCAATGCTCTCTCTTTGGTCATTTCAGCCCGGATCTGTTGGATCAATAGCAAGATGCCAGACAATATTAAATATTTTCAGGAAAATACTTTTTTAACCCTCTGTACTGTAACAGTCAAAACTTCCTACACAAGCATTTTCCTGAGTTAGGTATATTATAACAATTGTTTGTATGAATTCCAACACTATCACTCCTTCAACCTTCCTCAAAGATTAAAAGACATACAAATGACAACACATAGGGTAATGCATACTGTATGAGGTGTCGAGCATCATTGTACATATGGGAATACAATAGTTTATTCTCAACCACCTAGTGCTATCAGATAAATGTACAGAATGGAGCAGGACACACAAGACATTACACAAAGCCAATTCAACTCTCACAAATTCTCCTTAATAAGCTTAACTCTTTGAAGTTGTAGACTATTCCCTGTTTCATTGAAGCAAGTTTAGTTGAAAATAAGCGCACATTCACATTCGAATAACAAATTCACCATGAAAAAGATAGGTTTCAAGCTACAAGCTTCTGTTACCCTCCAACAAATGAACATTTGACGAATGAGAATACAATTTGTAACTTTCAGTACTGTATAGCAAGCTGATATTTATGATAAATGATGAAAACAAGAAAAAAAATGTAGTGTCTAGTCAGTAGAAGTGCCTACTTTTCAGAGTTAAATCCCAGTATAACATCAGTCTTTGAAATAGCCTCTTTGCAACCATTGGAATGTTCAGTTCATAGAAACACACAGCAAATAACCCATCTTTACCTCATCCATCTCATCTTCAATGTTCAGATCCTGCCCTTGGGCAAGAGCAATCCTTTGTTCTGCATGTTTTTTCATCAACATCAGTTCCTTCCTATGAGTCTCCTCATCATCTTCTTCTCCATTGTTTTCAGCAATTTGTCTTTGTTTCTGTGGAAATTATTTAAGAAGATGAGCACCCTTAGAAACACATATTCTGGATGAAAACACGAGAGTAATAGGTTTAATCCAGGGTAAACATCTTTAAAAATCAAACTTACTTTTTTAATGGTAAGTAATTACAGAATAATGGTATGATCACCAATCTTTCCCATTTATTTTTTTCTAATTCATACTCATATCTAAGTAACAAATTGGTCAAAGCATGGAAAAAGTGTTCAACTGTTGTGCTTCATGGTCAAAAGTTACAATAAATAACACACCATACATTAAAACTTTGAAATGTTTCAAAGTTCGACCACATGACGCCACTGCTGATGCAGAAAATATGTATTCAAGACTTCAATCTATACTACAATATCAACACCATCCTGAAAAATACCTACCATCCAATCCATCATGATTGTAACACAACTATAGTGGGGGCAAAGCGACAACTCGTCTATGAAGCTAACTTTACAGAGAAAAGCATATTTGGGCGAACACTTTTAGTTAATTATTCTTATGAGGATGCATAAGATGGATTACATAGAAAGCAATTTTCCAATTTCTGAAGAATATTTCCATCTATGTTTCTTGAACATTTGACTTGAATTTCCACATTGAGTCTGCCTAAACAAAACAGTGCTTGCTCCTAGAGCCATTCAAAGACACATCTCCTCCCTGAATATTGTGAATATACTGAGGTAATTTTTCCTGTAATAAGCTTTGCTAAAACAGCAAGACTTAACAAATGAGAGGTCAGGCAAGTATCTCGACTACCTAGTGTAAGACTCTGTCATATACTGTTTTGAAAAAAGACGAATGTGGGAGTTTTAAACTGAGGCGATCTGAATTAGTTTTTAAAAACAATAACTTACGTCCAGCTCAGCATTTTGCTTTTTGCTCAACTCTTCCATCTGAGCAGCCTTCCTTTGAGCAATTTTTTCTTCCAGCATACGAGTCTGACGCAGCTTGTTCAAAGTTAAACTGTAAGAGAAATAAGCGTTGCAGATAAACAGAGACAGAACAATGGCTACAAAAATATCAATGAGAGATAAGGATAAAATATGAAACATACAAGTTGCGTGTAAAGGAATACAGGATGGCAGACTGGTAAATGTCAGAAGTGCAATTCCTTATGTTCAGTTTTCCTTTAAATATGAAAAAAAATAAGGCCAAACACTGAAAGTAACCACAAATAATATTACTACAAGCATAGTCACCTTACGGACTCACACATCTCTCTGCTAGAGGTTTGATAGTTGTAAAGCACATAGAGCATGCTATGAACATGGAAATGCACCATATAAATGCAATTACTATTAGCATCACTACAGATTAAGGACAGCAAATTATGATGTAGAAAGGGGCAGCAGTTATATATGTGGTGGAGAAGGGGAACAAAGAAAAGAATCAAATGAGAGAAATGATGATGTAACAGGAAAACACAAGAAGGGAAAATAAGGGGATGAACTGAGACCTCTGCAACCTTGCTGACAGTGATTGTGGCTGACCCAGTAAATTTCATAATGAATCATTTCTGATTGTACTAGAAACTGGTTTTATTCAAATCGACAAGCTCATTAACATCCATCACATTCTTTCTCTATCCCAAACCTACCTTTCTCTACACTCTGCCAAACTGGAGATCACAGTCTACAGAAGAAACAAGTCTTAAGTGGAACATTCACTGTCCCTCCTTTGCCACTCCACTGTAGACAAGTTCAATTGTATCTTCCCAATCTTTTTCCATCTCACAAACTCAAAAACAAAAGCAAGGTTAACAATTTCTAAAACTATCTGATCACAAAAGTTGCCATCATGAAAAAAGATGACTTTATTTCCTTACCTGTTTTCCAACTTCACCATTTGCTTCTCATGTTCCTTTAGGATCCTGTCTCTTTCTTCTTCAGAGAAAGACAACTGACTGCTCAGCAGTTTACTGAAATTAAAAGCAAATCCAAATAAAAGTAATTGATTGGTATGCATTTTACATCAAGAACAAGTAACAAGTAGGAAACACAAAGAGCACAAACAGGAAAAGTCAGTGCCAGCAAAGCTCATCTTACAAGTCCTATCTAAAAATTATCCTCTTTTGCACATATAAAATTTACAAATATCTCAACAGAAACTGTGCAGCTATTCTAAACACACTGAAGCCTATCCGACATACACTGAAAAATAAATACTGAAAAGTTGCAGAATTCATAAATTATTCAATCACATATATCCATCTAGACCTGGTCTCGTCTTATCATGACAAAGACAAATAGTTCTAGCTTTTTCCCAAAAGTGGAAAGAATATTCAGAACGCCTAACATTCTCACTCTGCTTGGTAATTCTCTTTATAAAAACTCAGTGATGTCACAGATTAATGTGCTCACTTGATTTGATCATGGGTACATGAAAAGGTACTTGGGTCAGACCTTAACATAACCTAACTATTATCATTTATTCACTTGTCCATCTTATCAGTTATTCACTTATTCATATTATACTCATCTAGTGATAACTGCTTCCGATTATACTCCTTTTACTCCTCCTATTCTTTTGTTTCTGAGCTCTTCTGTTGTAGACTTTTCCATCAGTCATCCATTCATTTCTTCATATAATACTCACTCCACAACGACAGTCTCATGCTCCCTCAACTCCTCTTGTTCCTTCTTTTCTTGAGCCCTCCGATCATCCCAGGCTCTCTTTCGACGAGCCAGCTCATCCTGAGGAAAACAAATTTTTCAAAAGGAATGTGGTACGTTGTGTCGAAGCTTACCAAGAGTCAGTATGACAGAACCTAGAGTAAAAGTCAGCTGGAACTAATTGGACAACAGTAACACCAGAAAGAAACTGAAGGGACAGACTTTAAAAAAGTACATACTAACCACACACAAACTAGGGGATGGAGAAATGACAAGAGTTACCACACAGGATGCAGAAGAGATGAGAGGAACAGCAAATAACAATAAAGGGTCTTTGATATAGGAAAGAACAACCTGTGCTGGAATAGAGGGACAGAACGTTGACTCATAATGACTGCAAATACGTCCCAATTATTCGATGTCACACAAAAAAGACTTTACCTTAAGTTTCAGTTCTTGATTTCTCCTGTTTTCCAACTGCTTGGCAGTGAGCTCACTCACAGTCTTGTCATGGGTCTTCAAGATTTTATTTATGGCCTCATCTTGCATTCCTAAAGGACAGAATTGTCAAAATATAACAAAGTAAAATTTTCTGCATCGCAAAAAAAAAATTCTGAAACGTTATTTCTCACTTTCAATATATGAAGAAAGAGTCCCTTCCACAATGCAATTCGCATTTTGTTACTGGAATGTAGTTTTATGGCAAACTGTATTTCTTTTAAATGTAAGGAACACTTTGAGAGCCTGTGGCATATTTATTTATGTGTTACATTTCAGAAAATTACTTTAAGGTGGGGGGGTTGGTGTTGAAGTAATTTTCAATTTTCAAGAATGATGTCGCTACTGTTGCATTTATCACCAAGTCAGCAAAATAATAGCCATGTTCTGCTTGAGGGGCAAAGTTACAAACATGCAGACCGTGTATACATTCAAATGGGAAAACATTGCAAAAGGGAAAAACAAACAAAACATTTGAAAACAAGAGTAATCTCATAAAAATCAACTGTTCTGATCTCACCATCACTCTTCAGTTTCTCAATCAAGTTCCTTTCCATGGTCTTGAGTTCTTCTTTGGATCCCTCAGCCAGCTGATCTCTAACTGTTTCAAGTTCCTTTGCATGAGCCTCGTCAATCTGGTTCTCCAGCATTGTCAGTTCCTTGCGGTGCTTCGACTTCAGGGTCAACAGACCATTCACGTACGACAACGGATCTACAAACAGACAAGATTTTCTTTTCCATGCAATGGTTCCTACTCTCAAAGCAAGTATTCCACATGTTCGTGTAACCATCTGATTTTTGAAAATAGGGCATTTTACAAAATGAAAAAAAAAGAAGACATTTTTTAAAATTTCTATTCCTCATGCAGTTAAATACATCTGAAATGACAAGCATCTTAAACATGACTGGAATGGAATAACGTAAAAACAGTTTTCCTCTAAACAAAAGTTGTTTGAGCTGCTGACTACATTCTTCATATGCTCCACACAGGTGAAGGTGAAATGTGGAGAAAAATAAACGTCTTATTCACAAAATTACAAAGGTTCAATTCAGCGAAGAAAAAGAAAAAAAAAATCCTGAAAAGTACAAAGATATCATTAAATACACAGAGTGGTACGTAGAAAATAAATCTCGTCAAAAAGAAAATGTTCTATGTAAAAAGACATACCCACAGGACCCTCAGTTTGCTGGCTCTTATTCTTGCTGATGTATTCCTGCAGTTCAGCTGCGTGTTTATTTATCTGAGGGGGGAGGGGGGGGTTGTAGATGTACATACTTGTTATTCTTCAGTGACTTTTAGTAAAAGTACTGACTACATTATCAAAATATTTGATTCCTATAAAACTTCAGAAATCCAAAAACAAAGTTGAAATGCTGTTCCTGTTCTGTGACAAACATTAACATACATAGATCAGTTCCTATTCGCACATCTGTTTTGGGGGCAATATTTAACAAAAGTCATCTTCATAGATACATGTTCAATCAACAATGAAAGCAGAACAGTTTAAAATATATAGGATAACAGGCCAGAGAGACAGCATGAGACACCAGCTTATCAAGCACTGAATTAAGTAAACTCTTAATTCTTACAACACTGGGCTAATTTTAGCCCTCATTTCCCTCTGGCACAGATAACACAGAGTCCTTAATCCCTTTGGCCCAACCAATACTAATCGTGTCTGTAATTTTTTGCAGATTTAAAAATTCTATACTGCCTTTGTTTGAATTTTTACAAAATAACATAGAATACTTTTCAGAGACAAAAAGATAGATTTCACTGATTGGGTTTGAGGTGGCCAGTGCCCTGTGAAGAAAATCTACTCGACTGGGCCTTGGAGAAGGAGAACTTGAGAGGAAAATATACATGAACGGAGATTAAAGGGTTAATGAGTACCCTTTTTGGGGGTTCACAGTCATTCAAAATAGGGAGCTATGTTAATTTCTTTTTTTTTTAAATGCCTCAGTCAAGTAAAAACAGAAACAGTATTCACAATAACTATTTTCAATATTTCAGAACTCTGAATGGATTACAAATTCCTGTAATGCCAAATTCAATCCAAAAAAAGTAACAGAATAGATCAACTTCATCACGGCTCACCTGGTCTGCCAAAGATTTTCTTTTGCTCTGGCTCATGCGTTTAAACATTTCTTCCTCTTTCAACTCCTTGCTTTTATCCAATTTGTCTTTAACAAGTCCAATTTCATTTCTAGCATCTTTCACATATTCATCTATCTGATCAGAACTCAACTGGCCAGACCTGTAGGGGGAAAAAATTATATCTGTCTTTTGAAGATATAAAGAGAAGCAAAGATGATGACAAAGAGATATTTAAGACACAGCATGAGACCAGCTCACAAAAAAAAATATTTTGATTCTGGAAAAAAAACTTTCTAGTATTTTTTAGAGCAAGTAAGAAAGGTTTGATAAAAATTAGAACAGCTTTCTTTCTTTACTCAAATTATTCATCTAGCAAATCTGATAAACATAATCATCATTTCACAAATGAATCAAAACAAGAAAAAAATCTGAAAGAAGTATGTATCAAATACTATGAAGGAAAAATAGTTGGAAAGAACACTACTTCAACACCAACACCTATTTCATATTTCTAGCTGAGCAAAAGAACAAAGTTGAGCTTAACAACACTGTTATAACAGCTAGCACTCACTGAAGGTCAATGAAGACCAATTCCCTCTTGCTAAGAATTCAAATCTTTCGCAATAAATCACAATGAAAGGTCTTACTTTTTCAGCTTAGTGAGGAGGGTCAGTTGAATAGCAGCCACAGCGTTGAGAAGATCACTATGATCGTCTTCCTGGGTTTCCTATAATAACAGTAGTACAAAATAACGACAAAGGAATAAAATCTGTACAATGACAAGTGCATAAAAACAGAATTTTAAAAGGGTCCAAAGACAGATTCTAAAAAAAACATAAGCTGACACAATGACAAACTTTTCAAATCTATACGAAGACAAAATTCTAAAATAAAAGACACTAATATCACCTGGTTACAAGAAAGCATACTTTATAAATTCTGAAGAACTGATAGTTTAAAATTCATTGCAATAGTGCACATAACTCCAGGTCACATCTGCATGCATTTTGGTATTGAAAAGGATAAAATTTTATTTAATTCCTAAGGACTAAACAGGAGTGGTTTTGCCAGCGCTCCACACTGATTTTTAACTCACAAGCACAGAAAAGTCCACTCAAAAATGAGTGGACCGGTTTGAGAGCACTGAGTTAAACGATTCACTAATATCATTCGCTTTTGACTCTAGGTATATCGCTAATCACCAATTCAGCACATGGCATGCTCGTTGCACCCCAATTCATAGACAAGGAGAGGCTGCATGACACACTAGGTCTAACAATGGGCGGGCTGTATTATCATAGTGTCCGGGCAAGTGCTTAATAGGCCTTGCTAAGATTCATTAGATATACTCCTAAAGAAACTATCAAGCAAGGTGACCTTGCATGCAGCCCAGATTAGCGTCCCTGACTCAGCTCCCCGCTCTTTCACAATATCACAAACAAGCAGCATCTCCAAAAATGAATAATGAACTTTTGTGGGGAACCAGTAAACCTCTGCCCACTCGCAGTCCGATACAGCAAGTAATTCATTTATTGGCTCATTTTTTTGCAGACACTGGAAACAAGTGCTTGTTTATTCACAAATAAAAGTTTTGCTGTCAAAACTCAACACTACATAATTAAAAGCTATGATCTCAATTGCTGATTAAGTAAAAGAAGATCTTAGTTCCTACAAGAAAGCCTTTGAGGGAATAAACTTTGAAAATACAACCATACTTGAGATATCAAAATAAATTCCTTCAGAAAATTAAGAGACCAATTAGTAAAGATCATACAAAAGGATAACAATATGTCTAATGCTTTTGCATTCTTGAAAGAATGCCTGTGTTGAAATAACGAATTCATTTTATTGGCCACTTACACTAGCTTGCGCTAAAGCTTTTCTCCTTGCAAGTTTTTCCTCCAAGTTCATTCTTTGCCTGGAAATTTCATCATCGTACATTCGATGAATTTCTTCTTGCTGTTCTTTGTGCTGTTTGATAAGCCACTCAGCTTTCTGTGCATTAAGATCTCCTTCTTTCACAACATCATCCATGTAGTATGACTGCAGTTCTTTGATGTTCATACGCTTTCTGATAGCAAATTCCTGTAGAGACATGGGGTAGCATGCTTTGAATTTAAAGAGGTCTCAGTGAGGAATAGTAAGAAGAGAGATGAAGGAGAAGGTGGAGGAGTTTGAGGGGGAGGTGGAGGGAGAGAGGGAGGGGAAGCCAAGTTGTCGTTCAAAAAGGGTCTAAATATGCAGCACTCCATGCAAACTTTAGTGAATGTGAAAAATAAAATAAAAATAGGCATGATACGCACTTTGTTCAAAAGGGGAAATAAAGCACATAATACAGAAGAAAGGGAAACATAACTCAAGTAACAAAAATTACATATAATTAACACCATGAGAAAGGATTACATTGTTAATATGAATAAGTACTTGTCTTAGGGAAAAACCGGACACCGTGTAGCAAAATCTCCAAACAGTGAAATTATTTTCTATGAGGGTGAATCCTTCATTAGAACTTCCTTTTGAGTGTTTCAACTCCCAAACATTGCTTACCGTTCAACTTCCCAATATTGCATACCACCATTTCAGAAACACAACTTTATCTCATTAAAACAACAAAACATAAATGCTCCATAGCTGAACACACAGTTTAAAAAGTAAATACCTATTCTGTGATACAAATTATTTTCATGGAGGGAAAAACTCCTTGTTTTAAGTTTTGAAAGGTCGGCTCCCCAAAAACAACGTACCTTTCTCAACTTCTCCGCCTCCTCATTCTGCTGTAGAGCCAACTTGTAAGTAAGTTCATTCTCTTCCGTCTGCTGTTGTTTGTCCATCAGGTCCATCATCTGCTTCTTCTCCTGTACCAATTCCAATCAAGTCTATTGCTTATTAACCCTTTAAAAATTGAAAAATTAGGAACATAACAGTGATAGTATTTTCTTTCACTGAAAGGACTTCAAACATCCTTCAATCAAATACGACACACTTATTTATCTGGCGCTCATATGACCTTATGTAGTTGTGAGCGCAGTAAAACCCTCTACTATAATTTTTTTAATTTTAAAAACTTATTTATCCATTGCGATTGAAATAAATTACTAAAATAATTTCAGTGTTGTAGAATTTTTAAATTAAAAATGAAAGATCTCATTTCAGGCCATCTTCAGCTCGGACATTATGTTCAATAAACATCAATATATTTTCAAAAGTGATACTTATATTTTACGACAAAATAATGCCTTTAATCAACTAAAAAATTAATATCTCTTTACTAATATTTCTGTATTAACCCGTAAAACCCTATACTGCTGGTAACAGCTGACGCCGTATTTTCCTATACCGCTGGTAACCGCTGGTCAACTTTATCGTTTAATTACCAGTGCTAGAAACAGGGGATATAACTCCAGCTGACTCTGTTGCGAGCAGAAAGTACCAATAATGCCATGAGAGCAGTTCTACACCGAAAGTTAGGAAATTTTGCGAGTTTTTAAGAAAAATTAGTCACTTTTCGCTGCCAGGGCCTTCAGGCCGCAAATTTGTTGACATTTTTTATCCTGAACCAGACCCCAAGAATGATCTCCTAGTCGGATATATCGATAAATATGACCGTTGAAGACGATTGCAATGTTCCGCATAACATCGATGAATATTTTGAAGATAGTGGAAGTGGCAGGGGATCACCACTAGAGCTACCAGAGGCTAGATCTACGGCTGGGTCTAATGATGCTTTGACTGAAGTGGAGTCAGGGATCATACACAAGACGTAACTCATAGAGTTGGTCCTAGAAACCAGTGTTTTAACCTTTTCCCCTTTTGTCCAGACTGTGCATTCATAAATAACATTTTCAAAACAGTAAAATCTAACGACAATTAAAGACACAGTAAATAAAACAATGAACCAACCTAATTTTTTCTAGTATCTCAATTTCAATTCAGGATTCTCGGAAGGTATGAAAAAAAAGAATTCAGGGTTTTAAGGGTTAAAGTCCATTCTTTAAATGAAATACAGGAAATACAGTATAGTGTAAACCCAGCTACAGGTTGTGTTTCTGCATAGGAAATGTCATCATTCAACTCACAACATCTGACAGATCTTTGACGACCCTGTAGGCCTCTTGTCTCTGCTCCTTATGCTTTCTCAAGAGGTCACCCATCTTCTCCTGTTCCATAAATAGATAATTTATCATTGAACTGATGGTTTGTTTGTTTGTTTAAGTGAAGAGAAGCACATCGACACAATAATGGTCACTTAGCGCAGGGAAAAAGTAAGACAGAGAGACAGACAGAGAGACAGACAGACAGACAGACAGACAGACAGACAGAAACAACAGCGAGAGAGTAAAAAAGTAGGACCTACCAGTGGAGCCCTCCAACCACCCGCTTAAACTGGTGGTATCCGATAGCTTTTTTCAAAACAGAGAAAGAAGGAAACAACGCAAAAAATAAAATTTCAAGACAAGGAAGTTCCAGGTGCGTGACAGAGGGGCATGATTTAGATCAAACTACCATTTCTAGTCTGTAGAAGAATATAAAATGCACTGAACTGGATAAAACGTACTATAATTAATATACCACTAGGACCACGCAAGCACACAAGATGAGTACAAGATCTCGTCAACAACGGCACTCAAAGTTCATCTAAAAATTCAAATAAGGCGTACAAAAAGTTCATAAACATTTTGAAAACACACAAAGAGAGATTAGAATTTAAAGATGGCTGCACAGCCCTATAAGGCATTAAGAAAGTAATGAATCCCTATATCAAATACCTTGTTCTTGGCTTCGACATCTGTATAAACAGATTCAAGCTCTTTTTTGTAATCAGCATCAAGCTTTCTGTCAAGCTCTTTAAGCTGATTCTGAAAAAGAAAATCATAATGGGATATTTTTTTAAATTTCTATTATCATCATCATCATCATCATTATTATTATTATCATTATTATGGTTATTATTATTATTATCGTCATTATCATTATTATTATTAAAAGAAAATCAGACAAAATGACTTTTAATGAGCACCGAAACATATAATATAATGCAAAACTGTATGTGCTTTCATGAGGCACAAGAACAGAAACTTTCCCCGACAACTGTTTTTCTTAAAAGTTACTATTTATCAGCCCACATCCCTCCCCACCCCTCCTCCCCATATGACATGTACCAAGCAGTCAAATGCGCAAAAAAAATAATAAAATACACATTATTGAAAACCTCATCATCATCATTGTTCAAAGTACTCAAATGCATAACATGTCATTCAGACAGGCTGCACATGTTCTAGAAAAATGAAATAACTTTTAAACCCACAAAGTATGAAGCAACAATCATTCCAGAGCACTTCAGAGAGAAATTATACCTGAAACTTGGTGTTAGCCCTATCTTCGGCTGCTTTGGTAATATCTCCATTGTGTCGAAGACCTTGAACCAATAAGAGACTGGCTTGCACCGAAACGTCATTTTGTTCCGTTTCTAAATCTGTGTCCACATGAATCGTGGAGAGAATGTCCAGGCTAGACAGAAAACACACCCAAAAAAAATTCTTTGCAAAACAAGACTTTGGGAAGGGCTAGACAGAGCTCTCGTCAGAACCATAAGACAAAGAAAGGAATAAAATTATAATCAATAAACTATAATAATATATGTGACCCGGCATGGAGGAATCAGGTACTTATCAATATTTTAGCATATTGAGTTATTGATATTATCTTAAGCGTTTTTTCATTCGTCTTGCTTTCAAAGAAAAAAGTATCTATCTATCGAGAATAGAAGCCGAGATATTTGCAATTTAAGGAGGTAGGGGTAGCCTGATTTCAGATGTAAAGTTAGCAAGAAAATGGCAGCAAAAAATGTTTGTGACTTCTATAGCTTGAAAGTATTTGGAAACTGAAAACCTATATGTCTTGTGTCTCTATTCATTTTTCAGTAAAGTCGAAAGAGAAATTAACTTGATATCAAACATTAGTTATTCATTATAATATGTCTAGATTGGCACTCTGTCGCTCATTACTGCTCTCTCCCCCCATACCTCTTTCAACATTACACAAAATCAGTTGCATTTACATTACAAGGGGAAACAAACTTACTTGTCAATTTCACGGAACATGTGCAGCTTGTCCTTCATAGCTAGGATACAGACAATGCTGTCATTCCAGTCAATCAAACTGATATGAAAAGAAAACGCAAATGTTACTAGAATCTTTTCACAAATCGAAATGATAGAAATCGTTGAACAACATGACTGTAAAATTAGGAGTACAAAGCAAAATATGAGAAGATTTCACTATGATATCAAGTAATACATTCATGAAACAGTTCTCATTTTACTTACAGTTTTTGATAATTATTTTAAAAATTATTAAAAAAACGATTTCTTCCCTCTGCAATAAAAAAGTTGACTTCTGTGAACAACTGCTGAAAGATAATTATTATATCTATATCTGCATTGATGTACTTAGGCTTTTTATTTCAACTCCTTCTACGGTGCTAATAAATTGCGACATATTTAGATTTAGAAGAATATTATCTAGACCCTGCACATTAGATCTACTACAAAATAATTTTTTTTAAAGAAATATGTGTACTATTGGATCAAGACGAGAAAATGTCAAAAGTTTAATAATAGCTGTTCTAAACAGATAAAACAAAGTCTCAAAGTGAAACTTGCTGGGTACTCGATCTTGCACTTAACTTCCTGAGCACAGTGTAAGCGATGTTAACATCCCAAACCCTAATAACATTTTTACCTAAAATCTTTGATAGCATTATTTCCTCGTTTCATAGCCGCTTTTGCATCCATGACAATTTTCTTCCCTTTCTCTCGAATGCGCTTGTCCTGAGGAAGGGCCACAACAAACATTTCACACCACACAAAATACTAAACAGCTTACCTACTTATTTTGAAACAGAGGTCTAGCAAGCAACAAATCAGCAACTTGAGGAACTTTAGCTATAAGTACATATTGGTGAAGCTACCGCAAAACTACACATCATTTATGCCACATCATCTTGCAAGACACAAATAAACAAACAAATAATCAGCCGAACTTTTCCAAGACAGCCCCCCCCCCCCTCCTCCGTCCCATTGTGGAAATGAAAAATGATTGTCTTAGACAGGAGGACATCTTGAACAGTGTCGATTATCTTGGACAAGTGGGCGATACATCAAATTTAAGTGTAATTCAACGAGTGAAATCTCCAAAGTGACAACTGAAAGTTCTCATATGGACTGTCGCCCCCACTACTACCTGATTGGAAAATACTTTATCTGACAATAAGGGTTGAAATAAACTTTCTTCCCTATAATGATGAAATCTGAATAGGACCTGACCCTCTACAACACCATCATCATCATTGCCTTTCTCACCCTGCACCAGGGTATAGGCCATGGACAAACACTTTCCACCTTTCTCTATCCTGGGCTAGCCTCTTGATGCTATTCCATTTCTTCCCACTTTTCTGTACATCGATTTCTGACAACGCCATACTAATCCTTTTTCCCCTGACACAATTTCATTCATTCATTTAGTAATAAACTTATCATTGCTTTAAACACTTTCTGACTCAGATAATTTTTTTTCCTTCCCACGAAATACAAGCCGGAGAAAAAAATAAAAGTAAAATAAAGATGCAGGAAAACACACACTGTGGATGTAAATAATGCATTCCATATGAGTAAAAGAAGAAACTTAACATTTAAACTTGACCTTGAGCAATCACAAAAGTTATTCAATATGAAAACTTGTATCTACAACAAGGCTAAAATGTATTTCTTAGTACTTAAGCATTGACATACATTTATCTGAGGTGTAATTCACAAAAGGTTCATTTTCTTTTCACATGTATGCTATCACACTCCATAACTTTCACCAAATAGAAATCCCTTACGTGTTGAAAGTGTAGCCTCAGTCAAACACTCAAGGCATTTTCAATGGGGTCCGCCCATTAAAACTTGAGGATTTGGGTAGCTCAAAAGAGGGAAAAGATAAACTATCACCAAATGCAAGATACCAATTTGTAAAACACCAGCAAATCAAATCGATGCAAACTAATAGTCAGTAAACAAGGAAGTTAACAACAAAAGTAACGATATCACACAAAATCAAGAGACTTTCACATGCAAACACACACAACAAACACAATAAACAACCCAGTGAGAGGTCCTTAGAGCAATTTAAGCCGAAAAGTTGTCAGGTCATTTGCACTTCCTTCACCTTAAAGTATCTAGGTTTTTTTTAAGTTGTGTGTTCCTCATAAGACATGCATCCTGACAATTTCCACACTCAACCTCATATAATAATAATAATAATAATAATTATCACTTACATTCTTTCTCTGTATTCCCAATAATCTAATAATGTGAGCAAAGGCTACTTGAATCACCAACAAAAAGCATAGGGACTAACATGCGTTGCTTATCCGTTCGAACAGCAATTAAAACATGCTCTCTAGACATAGCAAAATACTGGAAAGTACCCTACCACGCACAATGATTTAACGGCACATTACCCTCACATCTCGAACAAACGATAAAAACAAGGAAAACTCTTACATCAGATTTGGATGGGGAAATTGAGGCATCCCTCCTGCGTCTCCTTATGCAAAGGAACAAGAAAACGCCCAGTATGGCAAGTCCAATTCCGGCAAACAGCATGATAAAGAAAACCAAGGCGGTGAAGCCATGTTCATACACAATCTGTTAAAATAAAGAAAACTACAGTTGAATTGAATTCTTGAAATTGGCATGACTTGACAGGGAGGCTGTAAGTTATCAGTGTAGTATGAAATCAGAAATAAATATTTAAACATTCAAGAAATTTTCCAACACAAGGAACAATCACAGCCAATAAGAAAATTATATCTTAAAATACTGTCCTTTGTTAAGGTTCTTTCATAAAAATGTTTATGATATATCATTCTACTGGTTACAAATTCCTTCAAATCCTCAAAAACCTCTAAACAACTAAGTTACACGACAGAGCAATTCGGAATATTTCAAATAAATGAAAACAAGGAAATTAGCATAAAAAAGGCCATTGACAAAGATTAAACAGTAAAAGTCAGTAGGAACACTAATACTTACACTTCCAACAAAATTCGTCTCTCTTTCCACACACACAGTGGGAGAGATCTTTTCATAATTTGTTCCACCCTGAAACAAACATTTGAAAAGTGCATCAGACACAGAAATGACAGAAGAGCTTGTATCTGTATATACTGTGACATCTATAAACTTCTAAGAATGTTGCCTTTCTCAGGACAAAATTAAAAAGGTGGTCGCTGAATAGACAGTGACTGATAAAAAAAGAAATCTCCTTCTGGTGAGAGTTTGGGTTTATGCTTGATGAGGTAGGGTATCTTATTCTACCCTCATACACCAAGGATTTTTTTTAGCCAAATAACGTAGCAAGCAGGCATGCACCAAAAGGTTTATGTAAAGGTCTCATTTTATGTAAGTCATAAATGTACACATATTTTATCTCAGCTTCTTAGTTTAGAGACTGGTCTCAAGGGTCGCCCTTATCCTTAAAGAAGAAATGTGGTTTCTCAAGGGTACATACATATGCAGAATTAAATGTCACCTATTCATACCAAGGGCACAATACATTCACATATACCAATAGGACCTACTGACTGTTGCGCCACAAGGTTTTACTTTCTTTTGTATTTCACACACCTGGCCCAAGGACAAATTCAAAAAAGTCCTTAATTCAAAAGCAATGGTCACTCGAAGATACTGGATGATATCTAAAATGAAACTTCTTCCTTCTGATCACATACCCCACCCATCCCAAACAGGATTCAAATACAGTCCAATCACATTCTCATTATTTTTGGTATCGGGTCTAAACCTCCTTTGGAAAACAGAAATCCGAAACTGTCTAAACTTTATGTATTGTATTACCCCTTGATGCCTCTGGTTCCACTATTCTCTCTGCACGTTTTGTTTTGTTTAAAACCTATTAGTACTTTCTTCACGATCCTTGTAACATACACTCCAGTTTCCTGGTGACCTTTTACATTTTTCCACTCTATACCATATCCGTCACTGGCATTTTGGCCGGACATAGTCCTTTCTCTCACCACAGCACACATCCCCTGCCCATACATTCATATTTATGACTTGTTATTTTGTACGTGCCATTTACAAGTAAACCTAAAGCTAATCATAGGATAGGTAAGATCTGACACCTAGCCTTCTCAAAAAGGGTGTAAAAAAATCTTGGAGGTCATGTGAGTAAGCTGTGCACGTTAAAGATTCTTGGTGGTCCTAAAATAGATAAGAGTAGGCTTCAGCCGCAACTAGGGCAAAATTCAAAATTAATTCCTACCAAACAGGAAACGCTTAATGTGTCCTGCGAGCCCATATGACCTTATGCAGTTTCGAGCCCCGTAAAACGCTTACCCCCCCCCCCAAAAAAAATAAACAACCCTTAAGCTTGCTGCCAACCAATTGTCACAGGGAATTAAGCCTCTAGCAGCACCCTTTATGGGCTTGAAAAAGGAATTGATGCTTGTCGTAGGAGAAGTGAAAAATCCAAGACTGTACTTATTTCTCTTAAACATTAGATAAACTTATATCATCCTAAAGAAAAGAAACATAATCAAGGTAAAACCAAACAATAAACTTACTGCTGTAAAATTGACCCCTACAGAGAGATGAGTAACTCCGTCGGGTAAATTAGTGCCCCCTGCCCCAGTAGGTTCTGCTAGGAAGGTGATGGTAGCGGAGTCACCAGCAGCTGCGATGAAATAGTCAAGCAGAATATGTAAAAGCAATAAATATCCAACTGTAATACTTTTTGGTAGACATCAAATCTAAATACGAGAAAGGAAAAGAACGACATAATATATAGTGCTAATACAGTATTTAAACAATGCAAAAGGCTCTCAGGCTCAGTAAAAAGAAAATGAGATTAAAACACAGAGCCTGGTGAAATTTATACATTAAAAAAATATGCCTTTTATGTTGAAAGCACATATTTACAGTTCACCATTTTCCCATATTTTTCAAATCCAACCTCTTTTTTATTCTCTTACCTAATTTTTGTGAGAGCATCACTGGAGGGGAAAGGGGAAAGACGGTTTTAAGCTTTATCAAAATTTTTGTCTAAATGAAGACAACACAGGAATTCCATATTTCTCATGTGTCTGTGTTCAGGAGTATCGTACCGGTGAGAGCTGATGTGGAATAAGTAACTTGCGATCGACCAACAAGATTTGCTGAAGCAGGAACTCCAACATCCCAGTAGGCTTGAAACACAGTGCCAAGGTCAATGTCCAGTAATGCATCTGTAATTGGTCCACCTGCCAAGCTTACCAGAGTCAACGTAAGGGTTATGTTAACTATATCAGGACTAGCACTGCTGTCATCCATCTGAAACAATTGAGAAAATGGGTGGCAATATTAAGATTCTGTCTCTCTCTCTGTGTCACATCCATACACACACAAACACACACACACTCATTCTCTCTCACACACACACACACACACACACTCACACAAAAGGTTTCTCTATTCATCTGGGTAATACAAGAATAATTGTTCTGATAAGTCACAACAAATAAGGCCAGTCCGTAAAAATATCCAACCAACATCTGTGGTGCAGCTGTTTGGGTCTTCACCACTGTACACAGAATCCAGGAGTTTGAGTGGGAAAGCTTTTTTATGCTCTAACAACCACCTGTTCAAGACAACCACCAGTACAAAGCGTCACTTCCCATTTCCCCCCTTACGTTTTTTCTATATTACAATGACACTATACCAGAGGACCACCTGTCTAAGACGATCACTTTCCTCCTGGACAACGAGTTGTCATCTCGGACAGGTTCAACTGTATCTCCATCAGTCTTCTAGAGTGTATCCCACTAAGCTTAGGTTGGCCCTAACAGGCAGTGTGGAAGCACCCACCTCCCACATGATCTAAACTGGGTTAATTGGAGCAAAAACACTTAAAATATCAGATTATCCAGCCATAGACAGAAATGCAGTAACTGAACTGATAGCCCCGTTTCCTTTTTTGAAGGCAGAAACTGTCATGAATAATTCATTCTGTCTGAATCAATGTTCAAAAACAAAAAAGTGCAAAAACTGTTCGTCAAAATTTCACCACATCAACATTCTGACTCATACCTGAACAAAAAAGTCAATATCGAAAACGGGTGTGGATGTATTTGGGTCCGAGATTTTAGTCCCAGAGAAGGAGGTGGCTGCATTGTCCACAGTATAGTTTGGGAGCGTCCCAGTAACAGCTGCTGTGTCAACTATGGCTGTGCCCTGAAACACAAAGAAAAAAAAAATGACTCAGTATTCTTGAGATCTGGGCATAAGTATTGTTCAAATGCACACATACAGTCAAACCTGCTGAAACAGCAACCTGAGCAAGATAATCACCAATACAAATAATCACTACCGATTTGCCTATTAATTTTTTTAACGTTTAATAAATGTGAGGCAGCATGGTGAAATCAGGCGCTCATCAAAATAATGAAACCAGCAAAATCTGCCTTTTCCCACCGGTTTTGCTTTCTTTTTTTTTTTTTATTGGTTCAACACCTTTTATATCTATTGAAAAACACATTTCTGTGAAGATTTCAGTGAAAAAAGTTGATAAAAGGGACACAAAATGTAAATTATTTGTTTCCAAGATCTCAAAGCTATGTAAAATACCAGGCTTTGACAGCCATTTTCTCGCTAATTATACCTCTGAAATCAGGCGACCCCCACCTCCTTGAATTGCAAATATCTCAACTTCTATTTAAGATAGATGGGTAATTTTTTCATCACAAGCAAGACAAATGAACATGCTTTATAATGGTACCAATAACTCCATATATCCAAAAATTGACGAGCACCTGATTCCACCACGTCGTAACACATATAGGTCATATCAACATTTCCTTTCAGACAAGGAAAGAATATGAAACTGCAAACTTTTTAACCATTTCTCAAGCAAGGTGAGTCATTGGAAAAGTATCTCAAAACAGTACAAAGTTGTGTTGTGTGCGATACATCAAATGTACTTGCATACTGCAGATGCCATCTTACAGAATAGAAAACTGGGCTGTTAGTAGTCTACTCTGTCGATATCCCATGATGAGACATGTCACATCATGGCCTCTTCAGTGTTCTTTGTAACTCACACTTGAGGAAAAAGAGCAGAAGATTTCTCAGTCACTACTTTGAGAAATCTTACAGATACTTCACGTCTGTGGGTGGTTGGCGGGTGCTCTGGTGTGGTCTTCCTCTTCTTTCTTATCAAACATCTATCTTCCTTATCTCTCCTTTTTTTGTGTGTCTGTTACTCCCTTGTAACTTCTCTAATCTTCGGCACTTATATGACCTAAGTGTGGTGTAATTACCATAAAACATTTACTAAAACAAAAACAATATTACTCGCCACCATTTTTACTATGAGGTGCACTTTGTGATTTCGGTCTGTGCCTAACAACCGTATTACTTTTCTGACTACAGTCAAGCCTGCTTTAGCAGCCAGATGTCTAAGATAATAGCCTGTACTAACGAAGATCGACTGCCCACTTTACCTACTGTGTTTTTTTTATACTATATTATTATTGACACTGTCCAAGACATAAACCTGCCTAAGACAATCAAGCACTCCACAATTTTGGGCATACTGAGTAATTATTGGTATCATCTCAAAGCTTGCTTATTTGTTTTGCATTTGATTTTTTAAAATACTCATCGAATGAACGTCTAAATATGTGTGTGTGCCCACAGAAAGGTACCAAAAGTCGCCACCGACCATTTGGCGCGACAGGCTGATAATGACAAAAAATCGCTTTTTTGACCAAAGTGTGTTTACATTTTAAAAAATGATAGTTTCATCATTTTTAAACAATATTTTAAAAAGGTTTTTATTGATTTGACTTCTAAATATTCTATTTTGAATTATTTTGAGGGTAGGGTATGTTTTCAAAAGATAATTAAAACTGCTTGTTAAAAAAGTGTTAAAATCTATTCTCAAAGCATGATTTCTCTTCCCTGCTATGTTTTACCATTAAATTCTAATAATGATATTGATGTCAACTGAATGCCGATTTGGAAATAAATTTTCCATGAATAAATACATAAAGGAAACAATTGAATCTTCATTTTTTTCAAGTTTGTAGGTCTTCTAAACTTAAAAGCTAATTTTCTCAAAATTACATCTTTATACCCTACCTTGCAAAATGTTCAATATCTCAAAAACTACTTGAGATATCTCAAAAATTAAAAAACCACTGTGTTCAGCATTGAATTTCCTATTAGGTACAACCGTTAACTCAAAATGGTTAAAATCCGACTTTTTATACCTTTCCTTAGGCACACACACATATTTGCGATTGAGGCAGTGGGTTTTGACTGGTTTTACAGGTAAAATTAGCTTTAAAAATGCTGCTAAAGTTTGGTAGCATATTGCTTGAGAGTCCCTGGAAACTGAAAATTAACATTTTTTGCGCCTTTTACTTTACTCAACCTGTTTCCAGTAAAATCCACACAGAAATGTATTTTTTAATGGACATACAAGGTGTTGAGCTGAAAAACACAAATTCAATCAAAATTGCCAAACTAGTGGGAAAATGACAGCATCTTCATTCAATGTCATTATTTTGACAAGCACATGATTTCACCTCTACGCCTCACATATATAAAAATAATTAGATTATCTACAAATTTCATTATCTCTGAAGTTGTCTTGCCCACTTGAACGACAAAATAATATACTTATCTAGAACAAGACTCACAAGGGAAAGTTGAATTAATTTATAGGAAGCTTAATTCAAGGCCAACTTGACAAACTAGATAGCCTTTTTTATTTTTTAAAGGTTTTGGCCTCCTCCTTGAGCAGTGCTTGCCAACCTGGGCAACTGGTAAAATTTATGGTGGGTGGTGGGGATCATTCTGGTACTGGCAGGTGTTATTTTACATGTTCGTGGGTGGTACGAAAATTTTAGCCTCTGAAAGGGGGTAAAAGTGGGCCCTGGCTATAAAACGGTAGACAAGAACTTTTCTAGAGATTTTGCGAGATGGCTTTCTGTAGACCCTGTCTTTTCCTACATTCTCTATAAGCTGTGTTTGTTTGATGCTGCCCTTTTCGAGAAACTCACTTGTCACAACGAATAACAGCAGCTAAATGCAACCCACTTAGTGAATTATATGAATAGGAAGCCTTGAAAATAGAAGCCTAAGAACAGTATAACATATAATAACCTAGAACAAAATTATGCAATTTATCTCATAAAAACAGATTCAATAAATCTGAAGAAAAAAAATGAATATTTCACTTTCAACAATAAACATGTGAAAAAACAGACTATAGGTTGGTTAGCTTACCTCTGGATATAAGGCAGAAAAAGATCCGGATGTTACAGGAGTGTAGGTACACACGGAAGATTGCTGGCCTCTGCTTCCAGGTATCAGCCCAATGAATACAATGGCTGATAATAAACGAAGGCACCCCTTGATACCCATAACGACTATTTTTGGCAACTGAAAAACAAAACAAAAGCGGAACAATTTAAATACTGAAAGTGATAAACTCCATGTGAATACTTAGTACAATGTAAACAGAATGTTCCTGCCTACATTGCACTAGGGGCATTACTAATGGGCCAAGCGGGGTACTTTTTTAGTTTTTTTGTTCATTCTTTTAGCATAAGCGGAGCCGAATAATTGCTCCCGTCATGCATCAACAATGGCATCCTAAAATAGTCATAACAACATATTTCTTGCACATCTCAAACCAAAACTAAAATAAGTGGTTTGAATTTGGGGGAGGGGGGGAGGGGTGATGGACAGCATGATCAGAATGCCTACCCTAACTAAGTTTAGTTCGCCAGCCCAATGTGCTTCAGGCACTAGAAAATATTGGCCTAACCCTTGGCAGTGAGACCCAAAACTCTATGGAGGCCTGGAGGACCTGCAGCGAACAGCAACCTTCACACTAAAGATTGGGATTATATCCACTTAGAGAATGAACGAGAATAAGAAGATCAAGGTCAGTTGAAGTTTCAGCAAACAAGAGACCAAAACGATAATCATTCACTCTTTGAATCCGGCTATCCACTTAAGTGACGTTTTTGGTTCCGCATTTCACCAGCTCGCCACTTACTTGGCGTTTTGACGTTACTGACTTCGTCAACTCCAAGACCTACACCTGATCCTGTACGCTACATTTACTACCTATTTTCATCCATATTGTGATCCTTTGTCCAATTACAAAGAGTTTGAGTATTCACACAAACAAAGGGGGCTCTTGTGGCCTTGATGTTAAGGTGTTCGCCTCTCATTTAAAGGTCCCGGGTTCGAACCCAAGTAGCGACCAAAAAATTTTCTTCTCTAAAGATTGTCTCCTTTCACCTCCTAACTTCCTGCTCTCTAGCAATGTTCTGTTGTCTGCTTTCGTCTCCACTTTCTGCCCCTACCACCTCCTTTGTCCCTTCCTCTGGGCTCCTGACTCTTTCTGCAGCCTTTCTACTGCTACTCCTTGACTCCTTTTTACTGCTGTCTTTCAGCCACACCCCTGATCTTCTGGTAGGAAAGATCTCTACACTTACTTAACCTTCTCAGACAAGGGTGAAAAGTCTTGGAGGTCCCATGTGCAAGTTGCACACGTTAAAAATCCCTTGGTGGTCTAAAATCGATAAGAGTAGGCTTCGGCTGCCACCCGGGCAAAATTCAAAATTTCCTACCCCCTGAAAATGTGTCCAGCGCACTCATATGACCTTATGCGGTTGCGACCACCGTAAAACACTTACCAAAAAAAAACAAAAAACCCACAAACAAATCCATTAATCTGTCATCTATTTTGGTGGCCGAATTTTGCTATTCAAAAGACTTTTTAATGGCTACATCGATCGACATGCGGTTTCTGCCAAAAGATTCTTTCTCCAGATCATGACACCCTTCGTTTTTTCAGTTTTGAGACAGTTTTGCTGCAAAAATCCAAATTTCTTTATTTGCGCCTATCGTTTTGTAGGCCGACGCTTTTGTCTCTGAAATTTTAGAAAAACCGCCAGGTTTGTTTATTTCAAGTCGTACTTCCGTTCGATAATATCGCGCATTGTCGCGCAATACTGAGCATTATTTCACTGGGTGCTAAATTCGACCATGATCCTTTTGTTTGATGCCCATCATCGCTTTTTCTGGACTCCTTTGTCTATTAAATATTTGGCAACTTGGAAACACAGGTTACTTTTCTCTCAAGATTTATTGCTCCATTCCAGTAGAGTGTAAATATAGTAGACCCATGACTTTCAGTTGATGTTAAAGCATGGATCATTACTTTCATCAAAAGGGGGCCCAGCTTGTATGATATATGACTGAGAATGATAGTCGTTTTTAAGTAACATACCCTTTGCTGCTGGATGTGTAATATTGTGGAATCCCTTGCGTATTTTACTACTTAATCTACTTCACTTGTCATCATCAATTTGTTCCCACTTTTCCGAGGAAACAAAAAAAAGCTAAATAAACCGAAGGGCATTTTAAGTAACAGAAGTTTGAGAAACCTTGGTGGAGGACTAGGCTAGGCTCCGATCTTCAACTCAAGTCCCAGAAGTCTCAAAACATAGCCTAACAAATTATATGTTTTTTGTTTGTTGACTTTGAAGCAAGAAGAAGTGTTGGCTAATTAATTGTTACAGGTACTGATTTTGAAATACTATTAGACCTATATAAACTCAAGATCTAGATCTAGTACTAGTAGTAGGGGGTTTCACGAAAAAAAATTTTAACGATTAATTTGACCAAAATATATGTCACTAGATGGAACTAAAGGAGCTGAGAAAAAAAAAAACTGCATGAAGATTGGATAAATGGTTCAAAAGTTACGCAAGTGTATAGTTGCGAATTAGAGCATTTTTCGGGGATAATTAATTACTTACGTATATAGACAAGAGGATGGCACCAAAATGTGCGAAATGAGGCATGAGAAAGACAACTTAGCAACAGTTTTCCTTAGTTCAAAGAAAAAGTTGTCTGTAAAACAATGATAATCACACATTTCCAGAAAGGTTATGCAATTGCCTACATGATAAACAATGTATTACGTAATATGCAAAGTCATGTGACCAAATATGGCCGCCATTGACGAAATGCGCAACTGATTTTGACTTAAAAGTGACATAACATTAATGTTTAAGTCAAAAATGTACAAAAGTATATATTTTCTTAATCAGCACGACTAGGCGCATCTAACGAACTGTAAAATAAGCAGCAATAAATCCATTTTATTTTTTAAAAATCATATTTCACCCCGAAAAAATGAATGTAGTTGGGCACGGAAAACACGAACACTGAAAACTGAAAATCATGAAAAGCTCGTACAAATTGCCATTCCCTTACTGATATCTCTTCAATTTTTAATCACCTTTAGCTCTTAACCCGAATTATGGATGTGTTGAAGACGTTTGTCATTCCCCGATGTATTTAAGTTATTTGTGCCTGACTTTAGTGATTTTGAATCTAATTCCCAAATGCCAACAGTCTTGAGAAAAAGTATACATTCTTTACATCGGCAAAAAGTGATGCATCCAATGAAAGAGCATACAACCAAGGATCAGATGGATACAGAGAAAGAGAACCAGCGTCTGTGGTGTAGCGGTTAAGAGCTTCGCTTTCTTAAGCAGGACATCTAGTGTTGATTCCCAAGAGGGGAGAAAATTGTTATCTATACTCTTCAAAAAAAGAAAAGCATAACCAAGTGCATGTGTTTTCATGATAATAAAATATGTAAAGATGAGGTTTTGTGCATGCTAGTTTTTTTCTCCCATATCTTGAACTTTTCACAACAAAATTCATTGTTTAATCACTGTCACAGGTAGGCATAGCCTAAACTGTTGAATTGTGTGATAATTGAGTGTTGGAGGGGTCAAAATTCGGCTCAAAATTATGGAATTTGAGTTGTAGGCATTTTTAGCTTCCTCAGCCTCTCCTACAACTATTTCATAGCATAAGAACCCCCAAAAACCATACCTTTACCCATACCGGGCATGTTTGTCACCGCCATTTCCTCATAAAGTCAGTATTTTATTTTTCTTTATCTGCCGTTTTCTCAAAACTCGACTTTTCTCAATACTTTTTTTTAATAACTCCACCATTTTTCATCCAATCTTCATAAAATTTTCACAGAATGAAGAAAAGATGTAATACTAAAAATTAGTCTATTGAATTTTTGATACATGGAATAGTTTTTTGTTGGTGGTGTCTGGAGTGTGGATTTTCACGGGGTTTTTGCAAACTTGAATGCTACCTCAGGAAAAAATTCATTAAAAATTGTCTAATTCGCAAAAAAAAACGACAAATTTTTAGATCTTATGTTTGTAAACACGCATGCAAAAAAACTGTCTAATTTTGTGAGTAGTCGAACGAAATTTGGCGTATGAGTTCATTCACTGGGTGACTCTATAATGGCTGAAAAAATGGTTTGTCAGTTCAGCGATACGCCATGCCACGACTAACGATAGAAGAGCGAAACCAGGCTATTGGACGCTTGCAAGCCGGAGAGAGTCAAACAGATGTTGCCACACATTTCAATGTGTCAGTCTACCATCAGCAGACTTTTTGTAAGGTTTCAACAGTCCAACTCCACTGCTGAGTAACCGAGAAGCAACAACTCGAGCCTCGGATCGCTTTATTCAGCTTCATCACCTGCGGGATCGTTTTTTGCCTGCCTTTTCAACCGTCCAAGGGCTTCGGAATGTCATCAGAATTTCCGACCAGACAGTACGCAACCGACTCCAAGAAAGAGGGCTCCGCACATATCGACCTTTAAGGACATTGTTGACGGACCGGCATCGCCAACAGCGACGACAATGGGCCACTCAGCACGTCAACTGGAAGCTACAGAACTGTCGGCACGTATGGTTCAGTGATGAATCCAATTTTCTCATCTCTCGACACGACAGACGACGTCGAGTTTACCGACATCGAAATGAGAAGTTTGCAACTGAATGTATCTCCCAGGCCTTATCGCATGGTGGTGGCAGTGTGATGGTGTGGGGAGCAATCAACCACACTCGCAGGAGCAACCTGGTGAGAGTACAAGGTAATCTGGCAGCCCAGGCCAACATCAACAACGTTCTCCTACCACTGCCCTTCCATTGCTTCAACAAACAGGGGCAATCTTCCGGCAGGACAATGCTAGACCGCATACTGCCAGAGTAACTAGAGACTTTCTGGCTAGAAACAATGTCCAGACACTCCCATGGCCTTCAAATTCACAGAATATGAACGCTATAGAACACATTACGGATGCTTTGGACAGACGTCTCTGGAACATAGTTGTCGGCCCCTGCCACTCCTGATGAACTGTTTGCTGCCTTGGATGAAGAGTGGAAGGCAATACCACTCCCCAACATTCGTCGTCTAATTGCCTCCATGCCCAGAAGATGTCAAGCGGTACTCCAGTCAGCAGGAGGCCACCCCAGGTATGAATGGCCGCCCTTGGACGGAGAGATTGGAGCATCCAATTGATTGTTCAAAATCAATTCAATTTTGTTGATAATCAATAAACAGCAATGACTACAATTTCAAAAAGTATTTTCTTTCCTTCATTTATATCAACAGTTATTCAGTGCTGTACGATTATACACTGTGGACAATTTGGTTATGCGTTGCTTTTTTTTTTTTTTTTGAACAGTATAGTATCTCTGTCTTTCTACTGTGATGTAGTATCTCTCTCAGCCCAGGTTGACGCGAACAGATAGGAAAGGGGTGTAGAATCACCTACATTTAATTAACTAAAAAAACACACACACGAAGAAGCAGGGCAGGAAAGGCAGAATAATAACAATAATAAATCAACAACACAGAGGTGTTTTCAACTGCTGGAACAGTAGGAGAAACATTGAACAAAAACAATATAAGCATACATAACAATCAAGAGAAAGATGTTTGCTTCTCGCCTCGACACCATAAGTATAAAAGGTAACAGAGGCAAAGTACAATAAGTAAACTCCCTACGATACCATGTCATATTACTAATTACCTGACCAGCAATATTCTCAGTCAACAACAAGATTCCGTTTTTTCATTTCACAACTGAAGTTCAAAGTAACATGGGCTTCTGAGCCACTGTACTTGGCAGGAGCAACAATCATCCTTCTTCTGAGGAGCTCAATACTAATTATTATTTCACCTTGCCTAGCTGCCAAGTGAACTTTTCATCAAGATTTTTCAATTTCAGCACCAAATGACTACTGTGTAAATGCACACAGAGTCTGGGAAAACGCATTTTGACCTGACGGCAGCCCCCCCCCCCCCCCACCGCCCATCGATCAAGATTTTCTAGAGTACTTGACCTGCGCTTTCTTCAATCAACCTTTTCCTTCTTGGATTGATACAATTTCACTCTTTTTATGACATTGGATGAAGACCAAATCCAGGGGCGTGGCGTCACTTCCAGAGAAGGTGGCGCCAAGAACAAATTTATCACAACGAATAGTATTGCCTGCTTATTACAGGGCTATAAACTGTAGACCTACTATATACGCCTGTCCATTTAATTTTAATACTGATGTAGGGACACCTACTTCCATGCGAGAAGAATAGATAAGTGCTGGTACAATCTTTTATATAGATCGAGAGAGAGTTCAGCGCTCAAGATGCGCATAATCACATCACATCGTAATCACACACAAAACAATAACTTCCAACTGATCAACAGAAAAGAACACATTCACAGTCAAGAACTCGCATGCACTATTGCCCACGGGGCGTCTTGACATAATGACCCCATCGCCCGACTCGATCGCCTGAAACTGAAAACAAACACGTTTGTTTTTGAGGCGATCGAGTCGGGCGATCGGCCCGATCAGCCGATCCTATCCGTAGTGGGCACCAGTGGGCACCCCGTATTACCCGCCCTCCTCCCACTAGCCTAATAATAGACACCTTAACTAAAGACTGGAGTACTTAGGAATAAGAGATTGGTTTGAAAAAAAATATTGTGATATTTTGTTAAGTTTTGGAACATCGTATTCCCTTTTTTGAAAATCCTTTCTCCTTTTCAAAGGGTGGCGCCATGGCTCCATTTGCGCTTGGAGAGCCACGCCACTGACCAAATCCCACCACATTTTTCAATATCCTTTGACTTTCAAAGTTTAATTTTAGTTTCAACTTTCTTAGATTCAGTATTCAAATATAAAAAAGTATCTTTGGCCGTTAATAATAATATTCGTCGCCCTTGTACTACCAGAACTAGTCATACATTTGATGGCAGTTGTTTGTATACAGTTACATTAAAAAACCAGAGAAAAGCCATGACTTCTGGCTCTGCGGGTGAATTATTTTTTTACCTTACGAAGTGAGCTAGGGTGGTGTAGTAAAGTTTGATTTTCCTCGAGAAAACTTTAATCATTTTTAACAAAAATGATATTTCTAGAGAGTTAAATGATATATCTATCAATATAACTTGCCCCAGGAGAGTTTTACATCGTTAATAAAAACGAATTTAGAAGATAAAATATATATTTTACCATAACTTTTTACACAAGCGTCGTACAAACTCCGGGTGGGTTGCAAACTCTTCAGCGTCCAATTCTACTACAGAATCACGTGATTTCAACGGCCACCTACAACATTTAGCGATGGAAAATTCAGCTCGAATAAACTGCCCGAAATGCGCTGGGCTCTAAATTTGTCAAAATTTGCGTGCCACGCGTTGTGGCAGAACGTTACGACCCTTGTAGTTTTAACTCAAAAATCTATAATGTTACGCATTTCTCCCCCCATTGAAACTAACATGGAAACAAAAAGCACATATATATATAGACCTCTCATTTCATGTTAGTTTTATGATGCGAGGCTAAGAACTAATGCGGTAAGATTGAAGAATACCAGACCAGCGGATTGACTTTGCCTATGTCTCAACCTTAGGAATTCATGATTTTCTCCAGTTTTTAATAGGTCTCGCAATGGAGAATCTCGGACCGGTAGATCTATTCATTAATAGTTTGTCAGGGGGGAGAAACCGGGATTTTAGCGAAAATCCTCACTCGCCGGACGAGCGTGAAACCCCCTACTAGATCTAGTTTTGTCCTCTACCCTTGTCACAAGATCGTCAAACCAGACCCTGATATGTTTATTAGTGTCAGCGCCACAGAGCTAAACCTTCAAACGGCTCACAGAATTTATAATGGCACTCTATGTCACCATGTGTATGACATGCCCTACCTACCTATCTTAGTATCTATTCTATAGATATAGATCTAGTAGTAGATCTACAGTATAGCATTGCCTAACCTAATCATAGCATAGCCTGGACCTCTGCCATTATGATTGCCTCTACTCTATAAAAAGTATATATACTATTCTATACGATACTGTCGATATGACGTACTGACATACAACTCATCATACCTTATATAATTATATGACTGTAAAATAAAATCGAGATGGAATCTGGAACAATTAAAATCTACATCCTTTTGGAAAACACTAAACTATTGGTTGTTATCAGATCAAGGAGTCCTGTAGACGAGCTCATAATTCCGAGCGGCGAATCCTCCACTTCTCAGCTCCGAGCGAATCATCCGAGGAATCTCATTGGCCTGCGTGCATAGAAACGCTCTTTGACATGTAAACAACTTCACAAACTGTCATGGCGGTCCCGTTGTATTGAATGTTGAATGAGAGCAGCCTGGTACAAGGCCAAGCACTGCGCGGACAAAACGATTAAATACTATCGCTGGACAGACCTTATGTCCGCTCTTGATTTTTCAATATGAGTCTGTCAAACTGTACTTCCATAGGTTACATCTATCCTGACAGCTTTTGCTTGGTTGTAGAGGTAGACCAGGATCAGGATGAATTTACAATCGATGAAGCCTGGATTGCTGGTGCTTTTTTCCTTGGCTTGTTTGTGGGTGTAGGAATCGTTCTTCTCCTGGCGAGACCCTTTTTAGCTGCTTGGGAAAAGAAAAAGGTATTTATGCGTTTCGTTATTTCAACTTCAAAGAAATAAGAATCACGCAATGCCTAGAAAAAGAAATGATGATGCTATCATATCATCATAGACTCACCTACCTAATCTACTGATAGAATTTTGAGTTTTATTTGAAGTTTAGATCTAAAGTTAATAAAAATGTAGATCTAGATCTAGATCTAGACTAGACCTAGGCTAATGCCTAAATTAATCCATTTTCATTGGTGTTCATATCTAGATCTAGATCTAGTATTGGATTGTTCATGTCACAAAATTATATACGTAAGGGACGTAGATTCCATCCTTTGATCAATAAAGCAGAGATGTAAAAATAAATAATATAGGCCTATATATGATTGTCTTCTGACACTGCACCGAAACCCAGAGATTCTAACAATTTCTTAAATTTGGTATGATCCACACCTAGATCACGCCATAAACCTCATTTGAACGGTTACAATGAATGAGTCTGGAACGTATGGTGGTTCATCAGTTCCATCTTGCCTTTGGCCTTACAGTAGATCTAATTATTATTATCATAAGTCATTCAAAAGGTTCGTTAACTGATTTTAAAACTTTTTTTTGCTGGTTGTGTTTTGTTGAATCTTTCACTCACAGCATGGCTTATCTAATTCTTCTTTTCTTTAAAATACCTACGTTTATAGTAAATATATTTCACTTATAATTCTTTCTTCTTTGATTAGGGGAGAGCGGGGAGGCTTCAGACACTTTTTACATTTGGCTCCACCGGTCGATTCAGGAACAATTTAAGCCTAAGAAAAAGGTTTCACCATGCCATTGTATGCCATTTGGGTATCTCCCTTGCCTTAAACTGATTATCAGCTTTACGTATCATCACACTTTACTGTCTGAGTATTGTGAGGCACCCTTTCAGAGATGGTGAACCACAGATTTTACTTCCTCCACTTCTTCCCATGGGCTGTGTGATGCATCCATGTTTTGTCTTCCTTTATCGATAATTATTGTCAAGAAAATCCCCAACTGGTCCTGTGACATCACCATCAAGTTCCATACCATCTCTACTAGGTCCCATATTTGGCCATCGGTGTGATGTACCATTCCAAAAGTGCCTTCCATGCTTTGCCCCTTGTGATCATCTATCTATTGTTTTGGCACTCAGCGATCTGAAACTTTACAAAATCCAAACTCTTTTGTACACTATTCCATGAAGAACAGTCTTTGGGATGTCAAGATTGTCCCCAACTCCATCCCAAAGTAAATGAAAGTTTTTTAAATAACGAAATAAGCAGTTGAAACCATTACGGATAAAGGCAAAAAGTCTCGGAGGTCACATGTGCAAGTTGCGCACGTTAAAGATCCCTTGGTGGCCCAAAATCAATAAGAGTAGGCTACAGCTGCCATCCAGGTAAAATTCAAAATGTCCTACCTACTGAAAATGTTTAATGTATCCCACGCGCACATTTGACCATATGCAGTTGTGAAAGCCATAAAATACTTACCTGGAAAAAACCAGAAAAAGACAATATTATGCACACTGAATTCATTTCACTCTTTTTTTTTTTCACATTAGTTTTCCTAGGATTACATCCTGGGTAACAAAAAGTGATGTTATTTATGTTAGACATTTTAATGCTTTCTCTTTTTCCAGAGACAAGATGAAGAAAAATTGCTTGAAGGCGGAGGAGAGTCAAAGATTGTTGAGGCCAAAGCAGTTAATGGATGGGTAAGTTTTCATCTCTGTAAAGGCAACTTGTCTTTTCCCAGATGTTTCTCACTCATGGAATTGTGTTACAAGGAGGTCACGGTTGGACCCCCAGGGGGTGTTCCGATAAAACAGAACAACAAGAAATAAGGAAAAGTGGAAGAATCTGACCTTGATTTGGGACAAAACTGCTCTCTTACAAGACTGAATTCCTTGGCTGTTTTTTTAAAATTCTATTTTCCTAGTCAATTTCCAGATTAGACTTTATAAAATTTGTTGCACGAGATGAAAAGGATGAAAATTGCATTTTATGGATGTTTTGAGTCACTGTTGGTTGCGGGTTCTATCTGCAATGAAGTACATGGTGATAAATGTTTCGTTCTGAAATGACCGTTCTGCTCCAAACAAACAAAAATCACAAAAGGGTTCTATCGGCTTTTGCGTTTAAAACTCACAGTCTTTTACCTCCAATATTACCTCAAAAGTACCTAAAATGCAGATAAAACTTTCTTAATCTCATATTACTAATTGTAGAAATGTTGATTACAGAATTTAATTTCCAGATCACACGTTATGTAACTTATCCAGTCTTGTTTAGGCAGGCTTTTCAAGCTGATTAACTTATCCATCAGCTGTGACTGAGAGCTGTGTGTTATGTCAGAAGTATTTGATGGTCAGTCCAATCTGTGGTTAGGATTCAACAAGTGGCTGTTTCAGATTCAATGCAATTCTGGCCTCCAGGTGCCATTTGAATAGAGGGTTCTTTCTTGTTCTCGTGTTTCTTTTACTAACCTTATTAGAACAGGATATGCAACTTAAAAAGAAACAAATTATACATCATGTACTAGTTGTCTGCTTTATCTTGTAATTGAGAGTGAGAGAGTCTTTAAAGAGCCAGAACAAATGCACATTTTGCTTTATTTATAAAATGTGGGTGCTGTAAGCAGGCATAGTATGCAAGTTCTTTTTAGACAAGAGAAGTTGTGTATAGTATAAAGCATGAAAAGAAAACTCTCAATGTTTCAGTGTTGACCGGGGGGAACATGAATTTCACAATTACTATTGCTAGTCTAGCAATAGGGTGGAAATTTCAATTTTATTTCAAGCTTTTCAGTTCCTTAGCTTCTCAGTACATAAACAAATTCTTTGAAATTGAGCAAAGATGTGTCTCTGCCTGTTTAAGAATAATTGCTTTAATTGACTTGATTTAGAGTTCTTTAGTTCCCTGGCTTCTCAGAAAATGTCCATGTTCTTTCATTAAGCAGGTTTCAAGAATCAATGTTTTAAAGGAATCCTTTTCCTTTTTCCTTTTTGTAGGTTGACGATGGTGCTGTGAAGGGTGGCCTCATCATAGCGCCAGCTAAAGAAAAGAAAGGGCTTTTTAAAGGTGGCAGATTCTGGAGGAAGAAGAAGGAAAGTATTGTTGAAGGTGAACCAGTGAAAGAGGAGAATGTGGACCCAGCTGTCTCTCGTGGCATGTTCAACATTTTGACAAAGACTAACAGGTGACTTACTGCCCTTCGTAACTTTTCACCTGTATATTATGGTAGTACTCTTTACAGATTGAAAACATCGTAAAAGGCAACATTCCTATTGATGCTTAGAGCCCTGCAAACTTTACATAATTTGTAAACATCCAGCTAAATACTGAGTGCAAGTAGAAAATATGAGTAGTTACTGGCAGCAGAAGTGAATCTTACCAAAATGACTGTATTCAGAGAGGAAACGTTAAGGTACTGACTTAAAGCTTATGTCTCTTGACTGTCTAGCTTGTATTCTCATTTTATTCAGTTTTACCATCTTGTCTTCTGTATTGGCATCTTTTCTTCTGTAACATTTTTGCCTTTTTTCTTTTGAGTTTTTGTGTTTGTTTTGTTGATTTGTTTGTTGGTTTTTTTTATGCTCAGCTGGACGTGAGGGGGTGGGGGTATTTTGGCGAAAATTTGAATCATTGTTGTTCTCTTAACTCACACCTTGTGAGACAAATGTAGGCAGAAACCAGTTTTGCATATGTTTATATTCTTTACTAACCTTATCATAACCTAGTGTGGATCAACTCATCACTTGCACAACGTTATATTAATCAGATGGGGTCATTTTAATAGTATTGGGCACTCGAAAAGAAAAATGTTGAGACGCTTTAGGCATACATACCTCTTACACCCTCACCCATCCTATCTTTCAAGAGGCTATAGCTAACTATTAGATACAAACTGACTAAATTTCAGATGGGTAGAAAGGATTGGTACCTAAGGCTGGTATGTCGTTCAAGCTAACTGAGTCTCCAACAATTGTTGTAGAGAGAGCCAAAGCAACTCAAGCTGTTGAACAGAGAATGGAGAAAGTTGAGCGTATATATTTGAAATGAAAAACGGGATTGCATATATATCTAATATTAAAATATCCATGGTATGGTTAACTCGCAAAGATGCATCAGAGATGATCTCACAGCACATGACAAGAATGCAAACTTTGAAGATATAGCAAATGAACCCAGAAAGTAGAGAAGTACTAAGCCATAACCCAAGTCTAAAAGTAACAAAGAATATCATTATAATACTGGCAATGCAAACATTGTGATTTTTTAAAATAAATAACAGCCCCAGAGGGCAGGATGAAATAGTGTAGAGGAAAGGGAAGACAAAGAAATGGATGGGAATGAACAGGATGTCTTTGAATTGATTGGTTGGGAGGGGTGTGGCATCAGAGAGAAGTCTTGGGCTTACGTTAACTTACAACAAACAGAGATGCTCATGCTGTTGGAAGCATATATGTATAGCCTACTGTAAGTTCTTGGAAGAGTTGTCTTGCAGAGCCTTACTGAAATGATGATGATGGTGATGATGATGGTAATCTTTTTTGGAGTGTATGTCTATGTGTTGATATGTATTTTTATGAGTGTGAGCATACAGCAAGTTACATGAACATTCCGCTAAATATTATACGGAAGGATAAGATGAGGATTTCATGGAGGTCTTCCCGATGTGTTATTTTAGAACTGTCTGATCAGTTTATTCTCTTCTTGTTTTTGTTTTTTTAATTGGGTGATGCCATGTTCAATATAAATAGATTTGAATTTGATCAAAAATAAACTATGTTATGAGGTTTTTTTAAAGTCAGTGATTGCTTACATTTTGCATGTCCAATCAAATTATGGCGCGGAGGGTGTACTTTGGTTTTTTTTGGTTGGAGGTGAAAAATGTGGAAGGGATGATGGGTCTTGAAAGAGTGGGGATTTGGAATGCTTTTACCATTTGTCGTTCAGGACACCCCAAACCATTAAAGACAGACATTAAGAATGACATTGTCACTGCTTCATAACTGACTATGAGCTTGGCTGGTGTTCAACAATTTAGAGGTCTGAATTTTTGTCTCAGCCCAGACATTTATTTCATCTTCGCATGTTTCAAACTAATATGCATCTTTTAGACCGTAACCTGACCGAAACGTAAACACAGAAAAACTCACCAGGACTGAGTAGTGAAATGTGTGTGTGTGTGTGTGTGTGTGTGTGTGTGTGTGTGTGTGTGTGTGTGTGTGTGTGTGTGCATGCGTGCGTGTGTGTTACTTCACACCACCAGCGTGTCTTCGTAGGGACCGGGTATGCAGACTTGAAGATGGGTCGAGTCATAAGAGAATGTCTCGATTTAAATTTTTGTGTTAAATTTGCAGTGCAGATTTATTGGTGTTCAGGGTAACTCTGGTGGTCGTGACTGTTGTGAGATGACATGTATGTTAACTCCATGGCTTTGTACGGAGTATAGAGATACATGTGAGCTAAGACAAGAGCAAAATAAATGCCACGAATGAGTGAAAATATATTTCCATTATTGGATTTCAGATATTTACCTTTTTACCATCTACATATCTGAGGTGTTATGGTTTAACTTTATTTTCAACCCACTGAGTAGTCTTAAGAACCGTTGGTATTATTTTTTGCCCCTGGTTTACAAAAATAAGTGTGCAATGATTTAGCTCGTGCTAGCGTGTCGGGACCTAGAGTCATTAATATCAAAGTGTTTTACGTTACACTGGTTGTTTCTGTTGGCATCTTGCTGGACTGCTGCGTCCGCGACCTTTGTTCGAATCCCAGTGGGACATGCAATGAACATGGGTTGTTTGATGAGATTTTATGGCTCTCCACTCCCTTTGCTTTGTCCAGTCAGACACAGTCGATGACATTACACAGACCTGCCACTCATCCCGATTTAGTCGGGATATCCTGATTTTTTTCCCCAAATCTCAATCCTCCCGATTTTCCCGATTTCGATCGCATGTATCCCGATTTTTTGTCCCAGTCTGCTGTTGTGCCGGATCTTTCTAAAAACTTACTCTGCCTTCTCCTTTATCGCGGGAAGCACCCGCCGAAATTTTTGTCAGTAGGAACTCGGAGCACTATTTCTCGAAATATCGATGCCGCATTTAGTAGTTGACTCGCTCCCAGTTGTGTGTGATTTTGTCCCGCTCCCAGAATTCTCCGATGATAGCCTGATAACTGTTACAATTTGGGACATTTAATAATCAATTATATTCGTAGTTCCGCTGTTACTTTCAAAACAAGCCTTGTCCGAGGTCTGGTAACTGCGCGTTCACATCAAACACTCGGACGAGCGACAGTCTTTCTAACCCTTACACAACTACATGTAACTGCGCTGACAAGACTAACATACGGCCGTTGTCGTTGCCTTAGTTTGAACCCTTGAGGGATAAGAGATTTGTTGGTACATTTTGTCGGTCAGCCGCCGTCGTTATCCTAGAAGTAGAACGACTGTCGCTCATCCGAGTGTTTTGTGTGAACGCGCAGTTAGTCGGACCCCTTAGTAAAATTGTTTCAATCGCGCATTCTCGTCACGTGACATGGCATCGCCGTGTGAGTTCTGCGTGTCAGGGACCGTCCGTTGACGGGGTCAACTTAAGTTCATGTATTACGGGACTTATTGGTAGGGGTGGGAGGGGGGGTATAGACACTTGGACTAGGAGTGCTTGACACGATGCTTCAGGATTTACAAAAAATAATGATAACTCGCACGTACGCACACACACGCGCACGCACGCAAACAAAGACACGCAGAGGGCATATAGGCCAAGGAATTTAAGGACACCCCTGGAAAAATTTTAAGTCAGCTTTGGCTGTCACCTTGGTGATTTGCTGTTGATCCCGATTTTTTTCACTAAATCCCGATTTTTTCTTCCTGAGATCCTGATTTTGAGGTTTCATAGAGTGGCAGGTCTGCATTACAGGGCTTCCATATTTTAAATTACATAATGTGCCATGTTAAGAGGGCGTTTTACCAAACCTTGCAAAATGGCATGACACCATAGCCCACCACTTTGTCCATATCATGCTATATACTATATTATTATTATTATCGCGTAACCCTTACCACAAGGCTGTTTCAATGTGCCACCACTCAGGGAGTGGATATACACCCACACACACACCTTTCCCCCCTTTTTTCCTTGTCTTTGAGACTGAGAAACTACCTATCCTGCTCTTATTTGCTTACGTTTGTGTTTATTTTTTGTTGTCTGTTCCCTGAAACAGAACTTTGGAATTAAATTTGTTGATGTACAGATACTTTCTTGCGATAAGCCAATTCGATACAAAGGATAGAATGGCCCATCTGATGAGACAGAGCCAGTGCATGTGCCCTTTAGGCACCGAGCCTCCAGTTATAGGGAACATTGGGAGGCGAACCAACTTTTAAATATTTGTTAACTTTTTTAGGATTTACTTTGCTGGCCACTTGCTGGAAACTTCGAGTTTTTTTGTGTTTTGTTTGTTGTTGTTTGGTGTTTGTTTTTGTTGGGGTTTGTTTTGTTTTTGTTTTGTGTTGGTTTGTTTGTTGTTGGGTTTTTTTGGGGGGTGGGGGGGGTTTAATGTGCACACCTATTCATGGTTTGTTTGATTTTTTTTTAAACAAGCTGGTTTTGTGCTATCTTCTCTGTGTACATTTTAATGATAATTTACCCCCTCGCCTCTTTTGAGAAACCCAGACTAGGAAATTACAGTTTTCATACACTATTGAAAAAACGTGTGTGTGTGTGCACGTTTAAAAAAAAAAAGGATACGTGCCACATACACTAGTTGATGTTTCCGCCAAGTAAAAGTTATAGATTCGATCTAACAAATAAAAAGAAGTCGTATAAAAAATGAGTGTGTTGCTTGTAGCCTTTATTAAGAGACGGGTCAACGATTTGTCAGTGCTGGAAGAGATTAGCCAGTGTAGCCGTCACATGAAAGCAGTTTTCAGTGAAAGGCCTAGCACTGCGATTGGGGAGTGATATTTTATAGTTTTGTTTTGACACTGGTCTGTCGCTCTGGCTACTAGCCTTGCCGTTTCGGTTCATTAGGCGACTCATTCCGCTGTCACTCCGACGCATTCTGTCCTACCGGTCACTGTCAATGAGGGTAACCGAGCCAAGCGCGCCCAAGTCCAATGTCTCCGGCACTTGTTCGAAAGAAAGAAAAATCCTCCTGGGGGTGTTTTGGTGACTCGTTATAAGGGAGCGTCGGTTATAGCCCTTTTGAAATAACTCTAGGTATTATAATAATTAGACATAACCCTTGCTCAGATATTTTGTATCGAGCAATGCGCCAGGGAGGCCACTTGGCTGAAACGAAACTCATAAACAGGGAAGTAACTAAAGTTATCCGTAAACTAGAATACTAAGTTTTGGTTCTTTCTTTGACAGTGTTTTCTGCTGAACTTTGACAAGACAACCATTAAGGTAGTTGGTGAGAGGGGAGGGGTGAGAAAAGGGTAATTTAGAAGGACAACCAGCTGAGTGGAAATATTTTATAAATTTGGGCTGACCCAAAGCTCCGAACAAAGCTGAAGATTTTCTACTCAAAATCAAATGTGAAACCAGTCTTGTGGTATGGATGTGAGATATTGAACGAATCTCATACCCACATTCATAAAGAGGATCCAGGTTTTAAGGTACAATAATGTGCTCCGGGTTAGATGGGCTGACAGAATCACCAAAAAGGAAGCATGAAGGAGAACAAGACTGGGCCCATTCTGAGATGAAGTAGGAAAAGGGTGGTTGTTGTGGATCAGACACATCCCCTATGAAGCTAGTCAGAGATACATGACAAACTGTTGGATTTGAATCTACCGGGTAAGAGTTCAAGGAGAGGCCACGTGGAAACCTGCAAAGAGTCACAGAGAACGATGTGCAGAAAAATGGAAAGACATGGAATAATGTTAGGAGGCTAGCCCACGATAGGCAAGTGCGGAAAGTGTTTGTCTGTGGCCGATACCCGTGGTCCTGGGTGAGAAAGGCAATGATAGTTGGCCAAGTTCGTTAATTCATTTCAAATCTGAAACCGTAGGATTCATAATAATTATGAATCCTGTGTTTTCTGTTTATATTTTCGGAGATTATTGCCTAATGTTCTATCAAACAACTTGGCCGACCTCTTCTGTTTCCATTCCTACCGTCTTTCTTTCAGTCAGCGTTCGTTGATCATGGTCGGTGTATTAGAAAAGGGAAAAAAAACCCTACTTTCGTTTAGGTTCCCTCAGTGATTTGTTGTACAGGGTGTGATTATGTGCAGAATGTAAAAGGTTAAAGTAAACCCGTGTCCTTGGTGTTATTGTCCTGTTTTCGATGATGTGAAATTGAAAACCGATCTAGATGCATTGTTTTATCTGGAGGAAGGGGAGGGG